GCTGTGCCTGGGGTGCCCTCTGCTCAGCTGTGCCTGGGGTGCCCTCTCCTCAGCTGTGCCTGGGGTGCCCTCTGCTCAACTGTGCCTGGGGTGCCCTCTCCTCAGCTGTGCTTGGGCTCATTCTCAGTCCTGCCCACCCTGGCACTCCGATGACCATTTTAGCTCTGCAGCTCAGATTCTCTGATATCTCGTGTTCTGAGGCTTGTCTCCTTTTACATCATAAAGCTGTTCTTTCCCTAACACCTGTGGTGTGGGTTTTGTCCTCCTCACCCTCCCAAGCCTCATTGTCATTTGACCTAGATGAGGCCTCCCAAGCCTCATCTAGGTCATTTCTTTCCCATGGCTTGTCATACTTACTCTGTGAAATCTCCCTGGCATTAGATTCCAAAGAAGATCTTTACTTTGCAGTAGCTTAGGAACAGATTAAAAAAGCAAACAAAAAACTCGTACAAACAAACAAAAAAGCCCAAGTCCCTGCATCTCTGACCCCTGGTCTATGTCTGTTCTTTGGACTCCATTTGAACTCTGTGCCTCCATTTGTGGGGCTTTACAATTATGAGGCATGTAAGACCTCGTCAAGCAACCTGGAAGTGCTTGTCAGAATACCCTGAATAGGGAATATTCCAGTCAAATTCTAAAATATATCAAGGAGCATCATGCATTGATGCTCCTTACAAATGAATCATGTGAAGCCGTGTAGAAATACCACATGTGGAGTTTCATTGCGTTTTGAGTAAGGAAAGATTAAAGGAAGCAGTTTGGCTCCTGGAGTAGGTACTGCGACCCTGCTTTAGAACAGTGCCCTTTAGAATGCACAAATGTGTTATGTTCGTGTGACTGGTCACATGGATTCATTGGAATCTTAACGATCCAGGAGATAAATTGCTCTTATTTCTAGAGGTACATCTACATTACAAAACAGTTCCAGGAGGCCACTGCAGGGATGGGCTTTTCAAAGCTCTTGAGTAGCAGGCATGCAGCTCAGAGTAGAAACAACATTTCTATCTCAGAAACACAGGAATTGTAGTATGAAGAAAAAAATAGGAGTTATGGAAAAGGAGTGCATTTGGCTGAATTTCCTTTTTCTAAAGCCACATTGACATTGTTCTAAGAAGTGTTGGTAGTTTAGCTAATAAAATTAGTAAAAGAAAGTTAAGTCCTGAAATTTACATCTTTGAAGGATTGATTCTTTCAAATAATTGTTTTTTAAAACTTAGGAAGAGTCAAGGAAAATATAGATATCAACCAAGAAATCAAAGTTTTAAAGTTATATCTTTAATTATTTAGTTTTGACTGTCACTTAAGTTTTATTTGGAAAAGATGGTTTTAATTTTTTTTTGCATGGTATTTTTAGGCTTTTTAAAAGATGAAGTGGTAAGTTTCAGTAAGTTAAAAAAACAACTACTGCTCCATATTTTAATAAAATAATTTGTATTAATGTAAGGATGTAGAATTTTGCTATACATGTTGGGTCCAGGGGGGTCATGCAAAGATGAGAACACCACCAAGTCTAATAAACCAGAAGCAAACTTTATTCCAGAAACCAGATCCTTAAAAATAAAAAAATAAAAATAAAACACCGCGGGGCACAGAAGCTTATCAGCTAGCTGAGACCACAGCCAGAGATGGTGTTTGTTAGGCTGTGGCAAAAGGCCAGTTTTTGAACCTACTTTTTATAGTAGGGGCACCAGGCATTATCTCTGAACAAAAGAATTTTTACAACCTTGCCCTGACCCTTGGGTTGGTCAGCGGAGACCCTAAAGAGGAGAGTGAGTGCTAATGTCAATGAGTAATTAGGCAGCCATCATGAAATATGTTTTAGGGGAGACTACAACGAAAGTCACTAATTGCGAGAAAACAGATATCTTTAGCAATTCGTCAGAAAAAGGGCTGCTTGTAACACTAGAAGGTTAATAAATTAGGATTAACTGGTTCTTGGGCTGAGAACTTAGAAGAAAAGCCTTTCACACTATTTCCAGGTAAATCTTTAGATACTGCCTGCCATACTTTACAACCTCCATTATCAGAGCTCATTAATTAAACCTTTGTATTTATCCACTGTCTCCTGGTACCTCCGGGTGTAAACCAGAGTCTTATGCCTCTCCTCTGGTGTTGCCAGTTTCCCATAACAGAGACAGTGTCTAACCCAGAGGTCACATATCTCTGTCTCCTAAAGGTTAACTCAGTTTACCTTGATAAATCTGCCATTTATCAAGGATGGTCAGGACACTGCTCTTAATTTGTAGAGAGACACTCTGGCCTTGTAAATAAAACAGCCAGTTGTAAAATGACCTACGCTTCCCAAGCATCTGAGAAAATAGCTCACTGTGAATGAATGATCCTTGATCTGCTGAGAAAGCTGCTGACAGTCTGTTCTCATTCTCCTAGACTTATACCTTCATATTTCTTTATTTCTACATTTTTATTTTCTTATGCCTGGACTCTTCATACATTATATAATGTTTAAGTCAAGTTACTGATTTATCTTTCTTTTGGTGAAAGCATCCAAAATTTGAGCTTTTAAATTTAAATAATAATATTATTAATTGTCTGATAATTTCATACATCGTGTTTGATTATCCATACTCCTCAACTCCTTCCGCCTTTTCTATCCTCATCTCCACACCCAACAATTTCTAGTTTTCTTTCTTATTGTTTTTCGCTGTATATTACCTACTGCTCTTGGGGGTGGGGCTTGCCCTTGAGTGTGGTTGACCTACCAAGGGTCATCATTAAAGAAAACAGACTTTCTGCTACTCAGCTGCTATCCAATCAAATGGCATTGGCTCCCCAGCTAACTGGGGATTTCATGCTGGCCCCTGTGCCTCCGAGATCTTGTCTGGCTGGATTTGAGCAGGTCTTAAGAACACCTAGAGTTCATATGTCTGTGTCTGGAAAAACACCATTTGCTTGAACTTATCCGCCACTCTGACTCTTGGCTCCTAAACAACCTTTTCTTCCTCCCTTTTCCAGTGGTCTGAGCCTTGTAGGGAGGGTGTGATATAAAGTGCCTTTAGGGCTAAGTATTCCATGGTTTCTACAGGTTGACCAGTTGTTGGCTACTGCAAGAGGAAGCTTTCTCTGATGGAGGCTGACCAAGAGATACACTGACATGGGTTAATAAGTCATTTGGGATCATTAAAAAAGCAAATTTAATATAGTTTACTTTATAACTGTCTTGATGTAGAAGATACATGCAAAAAATAGTTTTAAATAGTAAAAGGAAATACATAGCAAATCTCCTATCATCACACATTCAACTTGGATGTCTTAATAGCTGTTATGTTTATGTCTGTCTTAATTGCTTATTTTTTTATTCTTTGTAACACTGAGAACAAAATCTTTTTTTTTTCAAAGTTTATTAAATTATAAAAGTTTCCATTTCCGCCCCCTCCCAACACCCTCCCACTCCCCCCACTCCCTCTCCTCCTCCCTCTCCATCCCTAAGAGCTGTCAGGGCTTCCAGCCCTGTGGGAAGTTCAAGTTCCTCCCCCCTCCCTCCAGGTCCAGGAAGGTGAGCATCCAAACAGACTGGATCCCAAAAAATCCAGTATATGCAGAGGAAACAAGTCCCAGTGTCATTGTCAATGGCTTTTCAGAAAGACTCCGGGTCAGCCACTTTCATTGAATCTGGCCACATTCAGAGAATCTGGCTGGATCACGTGCTCGTTCAGTCCCGGTCCAACTGGCCTTGGTGAGCTCTCATTAGATCAGTCCCCTTGTATCAATGGGTGATCGCACCCCTCGCGGTCCTGATTTCCTTTTTCATGTTCTTCCTCCTTCTGCTCCTCATTTGGACCTTGGGGGGCTCAGTCCTGTGCTCCAATGTGGGTGAGAACAAAATCTTATCATTTAGCTTTATAACTTTGTTTCTTCTTTCTTCTAGGGATGATCTCTTCATTTTTATTAGTAAGCCTGCCAGCTTTGCTCATCTCTTTTGTATCTGGAGAAGCAGAAATAAGATTTTCTGGACAAACTGAATTTTTCGTTAATGAAACAAGTACCACAGTCATTCGTCTTGTCATTGAGAGGCTAGGGGAGCCGGCAAACGTCACTGCGATTGTGTCGGTAAGAAAGTACCGCAGCCCTGCTCGTTAAAGATGAAATGCGTACGACAGTTTTTAGCATCAATAGAAACAAAGTCTTGAACTGTTTGAGGTGCTGAGTATGAGTTTCATTGTGACAAATGACTGGAGAATGAGTTACTGTATCTAAATCTGATAGGGGTTCAGAGATCGGCCCAGACATCTGACAGGCGTTTGCAAAGATAAAGGCTAATTATTTTAAATCATTTATGTGTTTGTTTTAAAGCAATACTATTTTATTTTGGATTATTTGAACTGTAGCATCTTTCTTTAGTCATTCATTGTCAGGTGACTGAGATAAAAATATTTGCAATATTTAAAAGACACAAATAGCAGAAAAAAAAAGAAAGCCTACATTCAGTTGTTAGAGCGTCATTGTTGTTGGAGAAATGAAGTATATTAACTTCACAAAAAGTTAAGTAGATTATGTAAATTCTTTATTATACAAAGTTTGTTTGGATTAGATGTTTAATGTTATGTGTTTGGATCTATTTTGCCCAGAAAGCAATGTCATATGAGCAATAAGGATATTGTTGTATTAGGGGCTCAATGTACTTTAAAACTTTGGAGCAAAAATAATGTGTGTTTGTTGCATGTTTATGTTTGTGTGCACACGTACATATGTGTTATGAGTACACACACACACATTTCTGTGTGCATAGGCCAGATCAATGTCACATGTCTTTCTCTATATTACTCTCGCCTTACTTTAAAGAGAGTCTCTTAGTGAACTGGCCACTAACCACTCACACTCACCGACTGACAAGAGTGGGTGGTTAGTTATCACCAGGATCTGTGGTATCCACCCACCCCCAGCACTAGGGTGATAAACTGAAGGATTTCTACCCTGGGCTTTTTTACCTGGTGCAGCACTGAAATCTGCACGCCTTCAGGGCAGGTAGTTTATCAACTACCCCATCTCTCAGCTCTTCCAAAGTGATTCTTTAACAATATGTTAAATTATGTTGTAAATTATTGTAAAAAGAAAAAGAGAAGAAAAACTACTGATAGAATAAACCCACGGTTATAATTTTATTCACTTTAGTTTCTGTTTAATTTGACATATGTGTATACATTTACTGATTTTGTTTCTTGTTCTAGTGTGCGCTGTATTTGGCAGTCTTTTGGTGCAATGTTACCTTTGTCAGGTTGCAGTATTTTGCTTTTCTTGGTAGATTATTGTATTCTAAACATTTCTCCATTGTTTTTCATTGATATTGCCTTCAGGTTTTGCTATCTATAGTGAATGTCATTCTGAAGAGTTGTTTCTATACATGACTAGATGACTATTTCCCTGTGTTTTGTGTTCATTCTCATAGAGTCGTTTAATGTATTTCTGTGTATGCTCAGTGCCTCTTGATAATACTTTAGTTTTCCAATGCCCTCTCAATACTCTCCAACTTATTTTGATTTCTCAACTGTTTAAAACTTAATTTTTTTTTACAAATTAAAACTAGACAATGACTAAACTTTCCTAAAATATGTTCTGATTTCTCATTTGCACTAAATAATTTTCCCTAGTGATTAAAGTATTAATTTTGAGCTCTGGTGAAAAAACTGTCATTTGAATATGTATAATGAATCGTTTCTTTATAATGTTGTGATTATCACCGTATTGAGAGTCATACTAACAGTGTTGCCTCCACAGATTAAAATTTTAGGAAGTTTTATTCTCATTAAAACTTTGTGTCTCTACTTTAGTTGCTGTGGGTAATCTAAGTACAATCCGAAAGTGAAAGTTTTGGGTATATTTTTTTTTAACCCTTTGAAAAAGCAAAAACACCATCTTAATTTTACAAGCTGCTTCCGAATCCTCAATTGTAAGTTTTAGCCATAATTTGTTTTACTAGGCTGTAGACTATACCAAATCAGTAAAGAGACAGAGGAAAAAATTAACATTTTTGCTTTTCTATTAAATTAATAGTTTTTTGTATGTGCAATCAACTTTGATTCCACTATATTAAGAACTATTTTATATGTAATTATATATTTCTGTGATTTGTATTTTTTAAAAAATTTTATCGTATTTATTTGTTTATGTGTGTCTAGGGACACACAGGTATAGTTCTGAGAACAATTTGCTGAAGTTAATCTTTCCTTCCACCACGTGAGTCCGGAATGGACCCCAGGCATCAGGTTTGACTGCAAGCACATTTGCCCCGAACCATATTGCTGGCTTTCTAATAATTTTTCAGAAGATGAATCATACATTTTGCTCAACATTTGTCTTTGGATATCCTAATATACATGTCAATGCCATTTGATTTATTCCCTTCGTCTTGATTGCTCTCTGGAGCATCAGTTTTGCTTCTCCTGCTCCTCGGTAAGTGAGGATGCTCTCCTTTGCTCTTGGTAGCTGAATGGAGAAGACACTGGTGACTTTTTTGACACGTATGCTGCGGCGTTTATCCCTTCTGGAGGAACAAACCGGACGGTCTACATAGCCGTGTGTGATGACGATCTTCCGGAGCCCGATGAAGCTTTCACCTTCCACTTGACGTTACAGGTGAGCTCATTCCCTTTTACCTTGAATTCACAGAATATCTTCTAATGCTTGAAAATCTATTTAATTAGTAGTAAGTCAAGGGATATGTATCATGGTGGTTTTTGTAGATCTCCTTGACAGATGTATAGTAGCGTGGGTGAGGGTTTGTTTACAGGAGCACGTGCTCCTTGCCGGTGGACACACCACTGAAGATCTCTTCCTCGCCAAAGCTGTGAACTGCCTGTAGATGTTAGAGAGGGCTGGATTTTTCATGCTCTTAATAATTAAAGACAGAAATTCTGCTGAAAGATTTTTTCTAATATTTAATTTATTAATTTGTTTATTTCCGCTTTAGAAACCCTCAGCAAATGTGAAACTCGGATGGCCAAGGACAGCGACTGTGACAATATTATCAAATGACAATGCGTTTGGAATTATTTCCTTTAGTGTGGTATGGTTACAGTGTGCAGATGGGAATGGTTGCAAGATACTACTACATTCAGTTTTTTTTTTAACTATTTTTCTTGATGTTGACCTGTGCTACTCTGTTGTGATTTTTGGTTAAACCTGACACTAGCTCCACAGTTAATCTAAATTCCGTGTGTTTGCACCTTTGCACATTGAGGCATTTGTGCTCAGGACCCACACTTACAGTATCCGTTTCTGACCATTGACTCGGTCATTGCCTAGCCTCTCATGAGGATGTACTTTTGGGCTTTTATTATGTATTTCTTTCGAATGCCATTTAATGAAGTCTGACCTGCCATCGGGATGGCCTAGCGGTCATCAGGAAGTCCGGTCTGTTTTTCCAGACTCTTCTGTATGTTTGGAGTAAGTGTGGTGTGAGACAAACTTACAGCAAACTTAGGATTAACCTGCAAATATGACAACTCTTTCAATTCAATTCTCATATCAATTAATATTCTCTTACATAGAATAGTCTCATTTTTAGTTATCATATTAATTCATATTCTTTTAAATTGACTCATCTCATATTCAATTCTCTTATTACTTCATATTTCATGGAAGTTAAAACTCTGAGATTCTGTTCAGTGTGTTTTTCCTCCTTCACCAAATTCTCGTTCTTCTAGCCCATCCCATTGTCAGAAACAAAAACACAAGTCTCTTCTAGAGAGAGAGCGTTTCTAGCTCCCGAGCTAAAATTAAAGGTTGTCTTCAACACTACTGGTTTTGGATACCAAGTTAGAGGCTATAATAATCTTCCTGATAGTCTTTTTGAATTCTGTTGCTAAGCAACATTGAGAATTCTGCTGCCAGGGTCTCTAGTGTTTTCTTTATTTGCACTTCCAGCACCTGCACTTGTGTGCCTTGTGTCACAGCTCTGTAAAGTCCTCCTGGAAACAAGGCAAGCTGTAGATAAAGGTGCTCTTTACGCTTGTCTTTCTTAAAAGGTGGTTTTCCTAACTTAAGTTTAGTAGATATTTGGGAGCCTACAAATGTATTGTCATTATAAATGTTAATTACCTTAATTAGCAATTCTTGATTGAAGGGACCATAACGCACCAAGTTCTTCTGTCTAATTTAGTCATACATTCATACTTACTTCTGAGCCTCATACTCATGTGTCTAAAAGTTGCTTCTCTTTTCTTTTTCCTCCCGTCTTTTTCTTTCCTGTCTCTTTTGCCTGGTGTTATGCGCCACTGACTGTGGGAATGAGTACTAGTTACTGGGGTTGGTTGCAGTGCTGCTAGGCCTCCTCCGACAGACTCCACATGTGCTCCATGTCACAGTAGGTACTCAAGACTGCTGCCATCTCTAGCCTTTTAACAATTTTATTGATAACAAATATGGCATTGATACATTGATAGCAGCCAACAGTTATTGAATACTCAGCATATGTCAGGAAGTAGGAAAAGCTTTGGATGTAAATTATCTCACTGGGTCTATCCCAGACCTGTGAGGCAGGTATTCCCAGCCCCAGTTAGTGACAGCTGTGATGCAGTGGCTCCTAGAGATGCCCTCTGCTGCCCTGGGACACGGGGGCTTCCTTTTCCCCATCTGTCCTGTCTCAGCCATCCCGAGACAGCATGTTCCAACACTTGAAGCCCTCCCTGTTTTTTCTCTGAAGTGATTTTCTTTCTGGTTCTGAAAGTCCGTCATAGCTGTTTGTTTTCAGTGGCGTCTGACTAATCATGAGGCAGAAGTGCCTGAGGACAGGTGGCCCCAGTGAGTCACTAGCTTGGTCATAGGGGGTAACTTATTTTTGTGCCTTCTGGGCTCTGGGAGCATTTTAATCTATTATCCTTTAGTTTGGAAGCCTCTAAGATTTCTCAGAGCAAATACTAGTAGGGCCAGGAAGTCGGTCACTACATGCTTTGTTTTCTTTTTACACTGTTCTTCTAATTTTTTTTGTCATCTACAGTTTATTGGTGCTAGGAATACACAGTGTGGTGGAATTTAGCATTACCTTAGCATTTAGCATTTCTAAGGCAGCAGTTTTACCACCTCCTGCCTTTCTCCAACTGATCAATGCCTGATCAATGATTGTCTTTGTTCTTTCCGATAGCCTTCATCAATCTCAGTGATTGAGCCAAGGAGCAGAAACGAGTCTGTGCCTCTTACTCTCATCCGGGAGAAGGGGACCTATGGGATGGTCACTGTAACTTTTGATGTAAGTTCACTTTCAAATAATTTTAGATGATAACAAGTTAAGCGTTCATATCAGACAATTGCGGTTTAAAAACACTAAAGTCTTCTGTACAATAAATATCACACTTAAAATTAACTAAAGACAAATATTTTTGCTTTTATCCACTTCATGGTGAATAGAAAAGTGTTTTCCTTGCTACTTTCATGTATTTCCATAAGACTTTCCCCTCTTCCTTCCCATCCCTCCACCACCCCCTGGCTCTCTTTCAAATTTGTGGCTTCTATTTCCTTAACTGTTGCTACAATATATGTCTTTTTGTTTAAACAATTACAGGCAAGCCTTGTGGAGCTTTTTGTATTGCCCTATGCCCTGTGCTCACACTGATAATTGCTGCAGTTCAGGCCATCCTGTCCCCCCAGCACTCAGCCTCTCTCTTGATCTCCTTCATTTTTTCTCTATAATACTCATGTTCCCGTGCTGCACATGAATATTAACTTACTTGTCATTTGTTGTTGTCCGCTAACTGGGAGTCCCATACGGGAGGAGTTTGTGTTAGAGCTTTTGTATTCAGGGCCTGGCAGATGAGGCACATGCTGCTCATGTGCTTCAGTGAGTGAGGTTGCACCTTCCCACCTCCTCCTTCAAGGTAGACGCTCTCTTGCCCACTTTAAAGATGAGGAGAATGCTGCACAGTTGTTAAACATCTTGCACAAGGTCACACAGCCAGTGACGGAGCTGGAACTGGATCCCATTTCTCAAGGGAATTTCCTGGTCTTCGATATCTTTCTTCTCAAGAAGATGTGTTTCTACACTTTCCCCTCAGGTTTACTATACCAGTTAAAAAAACAAAACAAAAACAAACAAACAAACAAACAAACAAACAAACCCAAACCTGAGAAAACACAGAGTACTCTAGTCATAGTCAAGGTGAATAATGGCATTGCAGACCTTGATGTAATTAGGAAGGCGGCCTCTCGTGCCAGCTCATATGTCTTTTTATTTTAAGGTTTACAATGTATACAATGTTCTGTCTGCATGTGTGCCTGAAGGCCAGAAGAGGGCACTAGATTTCATTACAGATGTTTGTGAGCCACCATGTGGTTGCTGGGAATTGAACTCAGGACCTCTTAGTTCTCTCTCTTTCTCTATCTCTCTCTATCTCTCTGTTTTTGGTTTTTCCAGACCGGGTTTCTCAATGTAGCTTTGGAGCCTGTCCTGGAACTAGCTCTTGTAGACCAAGCTGGCTTCAAACTCACAGAGATCCACCTGCCTCTGCCTTCCAAGTGCTGGGATTAGAGCCTTGCGCCAGCACCGCCCGGCCAGGCAGAGCTCTCTGAACCAGCTCTCCAGTCCCTCATTTGTTTTTTGTAAACTATCTTTAAGCTTAAGAAGTTTTCCAGCTCACATGACAGTAATGACATGTTTTTGGATGATTTGTTTAACTGGTGGTACTGTTCATGTCTTCGCAGGTGTCAGGTGGCCCAAATCCCCCTGAAGAAGACTTGACTCCCGTTAGAGGAAATATCACCTTCCCCCCTGGCAGGGCCTCCGTAACCCACAGCTGGACAGTACTTGATGATGAGGTCAGCCAGTGCTAAGAATGCAGAAGACACAGAGTCTGTGACAGAGTCTTGTAGAGGGCTGTTTGTCTAATATTAGATTGTGTTTATTATTTGAAATTATTCAAGAATGCAGTCTTTTGGAAATTAATGTGTTATACCCATTTATACTCAAACCATGAGTAGCAAGCTGTTATTTGGGGATACAGCTCACAAATACTCACTTGATTTATTTCATGTTAAATTGTGCTTACAGTACTGGGGTGTGGGGAGGCATTTACCTACCACATGCAAGTTCCTGGCTTCTATCCAGTGTCTTAGAATGAACTTAAATATTGATTAACAATTAAATATAAGGTAAAGATCGAAGAATTTATAATGACTGTTTAATTTTTTTTAATCATTTACTTACTATTTGAACAGAGATATGGGTGCTTATCTAGCAACTGTGTTTTAGAACAAGTTTAAGAAAAATTCCACTACAATTGATACTTTTGTTTAGGTTAACTTGTTTGTTTACTAGTGTGTGTGTGCACATGTGTGTGCATTGCACACATAGTTCTGAGAATCAATCCCAAGTTACTAGTCTCCATGGCATTTTAACTGATGAACCATCTCGATGGCTTCTTTCTTTAGATGTTTTCAGTTTTGCTGTCATGAAGAAGAGTTTATGGTTAGATTTTACATGTGGTCCACTAGGACTTAGATACATTCTATAACTCAATTGCAAAGGCAACCCCAAATCTGAACAGTAGTGTGCAAAGATCTTCTTCATGAGTCAGTAAAATACCCCCCCCACACACACACGCAAAGCATGCAAAGGAATATTGCTAAAGAAGCGAAGACAGGAAAAATAGACAGAAATATATAACTTTCTACAGAAATTCTATAATCAAAGCACAAACAATGCTTAATAGAAGAAAATGTGTTAGACACTTTAGAAAGGTAGATTTCTCTGGAAAGTCCTGAAACATTTGGCGGCATTGATGACCTTTGTTTTTCTAGTTCAGGAGATCAACAAAAGCTTTCTCCTCTGTGATCCCTTGAATAATGTCAGTATTTCGTCAAGAAATGACTTCTGGGCCATTCCCAGAGAGCCATGGTATTCTCTTAATATCACAGCATTGACTCCTGAGTTAGAAATCACATAGAAATGCAAGAGAAATTCATATACTGAAATTAAGCAACTATTTGATATCTAGTGTACTTTCTAGATTATTTAATACTATTAGACTTTGAATTCTCTTTATGATTCTACCAATGATCTAAAATTGACAAGAATTTATTCTCATTTGTACTACGTGTACTTTATAATTTTCTTGACTCTGATCAAGATTCAGAGAAAAAAATATACATTACTGATTCTTAATATCATTGCTTTATTAAGTTATTCTTTATTTTTTCCTACTACCTGAAAGTAAATTAATATTTGGAAGATATCTTAGTATGTGGAGTCTAAATGAGCCTCTTGCCATTTTCTCTGCATTTAAACTTTACTATTTCTATGAAGCATACTCCTTTTTAAAACTTGGGCCTGCTTGCAGGTGTTTTGGCTAATGAAGTTTTGTTTGTATCCTGTAAACAGGTGCCAGAAAATGATGAAGTATTTTTGATTCAACTAAAAACTGTAGAAGGAGGAGCAGAGATTAATGCCTCTAGGAGTTCGGTTGAAATCATCGTGAAGAAAAATGATAGTCCTGTGAGATTCGTCCAGAGTATCTACTTGATTCCTGAGGATGACCACATTCTCACCATCCCAGTGGTTCGTGGAAAGGATGGCGATGGAAATCTGATTGGATCTGATGAGTCTGAAGTTTCCGTCAGTTATAAAGTCATGGCTGGGGATTCAACAGCGCATGCCCAGCCAAATGTAGACTTCATTGATCTTCAGCCAAACACCACTCTTACCTTTCCCTCTTTTGTTTATGAATCACACTTGAAATTTCAAATAATTGATGACAGTATACCAGAGATAGCGGAATCATTTCACATCGTGTTACTAAAGAACACCCTGCAGGGGGATGCTGTGCTAATGGGTCCTTCTTCCATACAGGTCACCATTAAGCCCAATGACAAACCTTATGGAGTACTTTCATTCAACAGTATTTTGTTTGAAAGGCCATTTATAATCAATGAAGATAAAGCATCCAGGTATAGTTTTCTGTAAATTTACAAGCATAAATACTTTATTATATTGTTTTTTTGGTTGTTTTAATTTTTATGATGTTGACACAACCCTGTGCTGTTAGAACATGTGCCATTTTCTCTAAAACTGCCTTGTTGATATCTTTTTGAATGTGATTTAATTCTTAAATTGAATTAATGTGATGACAGGTTCTTAGGCTATATCCAAATATATGTATTTTTATATTAAAACAAATCAGTTTTTGTGTTGTCATCTGATTTATGAGAGGGAATGAGATGACCTTACATGTTCTGAACAATTCTAGGTTTGAAGAAATCACAGTGGTTAGAAATGGTGGCACCCACGGAGATGTTTCTGTGGGTTGGTTGCTGACACGGAACAGCACCGATCCCTCACCAGTGACAGCAGATATCAGCCCCAGCTCTGGGACTCTCCAGTTCACACAAGGGCAGATGTTGGCATCGATCCTTCTTACTGTCGTTGATGATGACCTTCCGGAGGAGGCCGAAGTGTTCCTCCTCAAAATCCTGCCTCTCACAGCACAGGGAGGTGCTGAAGTGAGCGAACCAGCACAGGTAGGGCCTTTGCCGTGCTTCACTCCTGACAGATGAGAGCTACAGACTTTAAGCATCCAGGTCCAATCTCAGTTTATGTCTGTGCGGCAGGAAAAAGGCTGGTTTTGCAAAAGTGGCGGTGACTTCTCTTCATCATCTGAATTTATTCTGAAAATAAGAAACAAACTAAAACAACAAAACAAAACACCAAGCAAACAAGCACTCAGAGAGCATTGTTTTTTTGGTGTTGGGTGTAGGACCCAGGGACTTGGATGCTTCTCTACCAGCCAAAGCTTCTAGCACCATGTTTAAGCCTGGACCTAATATTTTACCTCTTAAGAAGTTTCAAAACTTCTAGTTTCTGAAAAGTTTCCAAACTGTTTTTGATTCTTTTCCTCTTCTTCATATCCAAAGTGATCATGTAAGAGATGTTGTATAATAAAAGTCAGAATAGTCTGAGTTGCCCCCCCACCGTGAAACTCCTGAACTTAACTATTCTCTTTCATTTGTAGCTTCTGCTTTACATCCAGGACAGTGACGATGTCTATGGAGAAATAGCCTTTCTTCCTGTGGAAGGCCAGAAGATTGAAAGCAGTCCAACTGAACGATGCCTGTCTCTGAGTCTTGCGAGACTAGGGGGAGCGAAAGGAGACGTGAAAGTGACTTATTCTGCTCTCTATATTCCCGCTGGAGCTGTGGATCCCTTGCGAGCAAAAGATGGCATCTTAAATACATCCAGGAGTGGAAGCCTCCTTTTTCCAGAACAGAGCAATCAAGTCACTACAAAACTACCAATAAGAAATGATGCTTTCCTCCAGAATGAGGCCCATTTCCTAGTGCAGGTACTTTAATGATTAAAATAATCTTAATTTTAGTTACAACCGCACTTGTCTATGCAGAATAGCTAATGTTATTTTCCTTTAATCTATAATTTTGATTCTGTTTGTTATTTGAAACTACTTAGGGCTGGCACAGTGGTACGCACATATAATCCCAGAGTTTAGGAGACTAAGGTGACAGGAGATGAATCTGTGGGAGTCCAGCCTTGTCTACATCCTGAAACTGTGGCAGTCCAGCCTTGTCTACATCCTGAAACTGGTGGAAAACAAACAAACAAACAAGAAAAAACAAAACAAAAAATCTTGGTAGACTATCCCTTAATCGATAGAACCTTCTATGCCATACAGATCTGAACAAGGGACGGGTTCTGCAGAAATACATGTGTCAGACAGTTGGTACTAAAGATCCGCCAGTTAGGACATGCGATGGAGACCACTGTCGTACACACGGTGACGTCACAGGCTGCTGAGCAGCACACAGGAGACAGATTCACCATAGCTTTGACTTGGTGAATCTGGTGAAATATGACATGAGAATTGAATTTATGGTGTAAATATTTCTCATAGTATCTATTATAAGAGAAGCATTTCAGAAACTAAAAGCAATCTGAAAAGTTTTTTTCTCTTTTAACTAGTACATTCAAAAATCTGTTTCTTTATTCAATGTGGGTCGGATCTCTGGACCTCCCAGGTGGGAGCCCTACATCATACCTCCATCTCGTCACTTTTAGTTTTCAACTTCTATCTGCCAAACACATTATATTTTTTATATTAAAGTTTAAAGTGACTGCACTCATTTTAGGTGGATGGCATCTCTGCATTCTATGTATCTAATAGTGACAGATTCTTCAATTAGAAATCAGTGAAGGTTGTTTGTCAGATTTTTATGATATAAATAAATTTAATACAGAAAGATAATGGAAATAGATTCATACAATTAAAATCATATCTCACACTGAGCGTTGTTGGTACATGCCCTTAATCCTGGCACTTGGGAGGCAGAAGCAGACAGGTCTAAGTTTGGGCTACAAAACAAAACAGAACAACCCCCCCCCCAAAAGAAGTCTTGTCTCACCATCCTCGGTGCCATCTGCAGTGTATGCCAAACGAACTTACATTTTCCACTGCTCTCTGTGTGTCCTGCTGCTGAATGAGTTCTGCGTTCGGACCTAGGCTTTATTTTTTGGCTTATGATGGCTCTCTAGAGGTTCTGCCCATTCTCCTTCCTCACCGGTTAGATCTCCCATCCGTCTCAGCAGTGCTGAAAGGCGAGATTAGCTGTACTAGCTGCTTTGTTTCTGTCACCTCCCGGGAGGGAAGTTTTTAATAAACTCCTGATTGTCTTAGCCCCCAGTTTCCACCTTCAGATTAAGTTTTGCTTTGCTATAATAGATTCCTCCTACAATACATATGCAGAAAGTGTGTATGCATGCCTTGGGCTTTGCCTTCCAGAGGGACAGCTCACCATGTGGCCTGGTGGGTGGCTTGGTATGGGAACACATGGTTTCCCAGTACTTGATGAACACCTTTTGGTGAGTGCTTGTTTAGTGGGAAGTGTTTGTCATGTTCTTAACGTCACTGGTGATGGAAATACTGACCTTCATCTGTATTATCATGATTTTGTTATGTGTCCTTCATTTGGGGAAATTTTGCTGTGATGTTTGCCCAATACATCCATTCTAAAGATTCCTAGAGGCCCCAGGCCCCAGCTTCTCACACTGCCCTCACACTTTCTTGGTTTACGGCATGCTCTGTGAGATGGCTGGCCACATGGCAGAGTGTGGGAAGTCGAGTACAGCAAACACTTAAGACCGGAGCTCTCTGTGGCAAGGACTAAATACAAGAATGCCGCCATCAGAGCACAGTGGGCATATAGTTAGAAATTTTTAAAAAGTTAAAAATATGCCATAACTTGTGGCAAAAAGAAAACATTTTCAGCAAATAGTATTAGCATAATTGAATGTCAACATGTAGAAGAATGCAAAGGATCCATATCTATCCCCATGCACGCAACTCAGGTCCAAATGGACCAAAGACATCAACTTAAATCTAGCCACACTGAACCTCATAGACGAGAAAGTGGGAAGTAACCTTGAACCCATTGGCACAGGAAACTACTTCCTAAATATAACCCTAGTATCACAGACACTGAGAGAAACAATAATAGAAATAGGACCTCCTGAAACTGAGAAGCTTCTATAAGACAAAGGACACAGTTAGTAAGATAAAATGGCAGCCTACAGAATGGGAAAAAAGGGACAGAGGCCTGATCTCTAAAATATATAAAGAACTCAAGAAACTAGACATCAAAATACCAAATAATCCAATTAAAAAATGGGGTACAGATTTAAACAGAGAATTCTCGACAGAAGAATATCAAAAGGCTTAAAGACATTTAAGGAAATGCTCAGCATCCATACTCATCCTAGAAATGCAAATCAAACAACTCTAAGATACCTCACACCAATCAGAATGGCTAAGATCAAAAACACTGATGACAGCTTATGCTGGAGAGGATGTGAAGTAATGGGAACATTTCTCCATTGCTGGAGGGAGTGCAAACTTGTACAGCCATTTTGGAAATCAGTATGGCAGTTTCTCAAAAAATTTGGAATCAATCTACCTCAAGACTCAGCAATACCGCTCTTGGACACATATCCGAAGGATGCATACTCATACCAAAAGGATATGTGCTCAACTATGTGCACAACAGCACTATTCTTAATAATCACAACCTGGAAACAACCTAGATTCCCCCAACTTCAGGACAGGTAAAGAAAATGTGGTACATTACACAATGGAGTACTACTCAGAGGTAAAAACAATGACATCTTGAAATATGCAGGCAAAATGGAACTAGAAAAAAACCATCCTGAGTGAGGAAACCCAGACCCAGAAAGACAAACGCGGTATGCAATCACTCATAAGTAGACGTTAAACATAAAACAAAGGATAACCAGCCTATAGTTCATGACCCCAGAGAACCCTAAAAAAAACATACATGGATCTCCCCAGAAAAGGGAAATAGACAAGATCTCCTGGAAAAATTGGGAGTGCGTGTGTGAGGGAGGAAGATGGTGTAAGGGGAGAGAGAGACGAGAAGAGAAGGGAGAGGAGAACGAGAGGAAACAGGATGGCCGAGATGGGGGAGGACAGAGAGGGAGAGCAAGGAAAGAGATTTCTTGATTGAGGACCCCATTACAGGGCTAGTGAGAGAATTGGCGCTAGGGAAATTCCCAGGAACCCACAAGGATGACCCCAGCTATGACCCTAAGCAATAGTGGAGAGGGTGCCTGAACTGACCTTGCCCTGTAAACAGACTCATGACTAATTTGTCATCATAGAACCTGTATCCAACAACTTATGGAAGCAAATGCAGAGATCCACAGCTAAGCACTGGGCCGAGCTCCCAGAGTCCAGCTGAAGATGGGAGGAGCACTTATATAAGGAAAGGGTCAAGACCATAATGGGATGTCCACAGAAAGAGATGACCTGAGATATTGGGAGCTCCCTGACTCTGAACTGATAGTGGGGGAACCTGCATAGGACCAAACTAGACCCTCTGAATGTGGGGCCAGTTGTGTGGCTGGGGTAGTCTGTGGGGCCAGTGAAACTAGTACTTATCCCTAGTGCTTGAATGGACTGTTTTAAGCCCATTCTCTTTGGAGGGATACCTTGCTCAGCCTTGAAATGGGAGCGAGGGTCTTGGTCCATCCTCAAAGTGATGTGCCAGACAGACTTTGTTGACTCCCCCTGGGAAGGAAGCCTTACTCTTTCTGAAGAGTAGATGGGGGTTGGGATAAGGGGAATATGGGAGTGGCCGGAGGAGGAAAGGGAGTGGGAACTGTGATTGATAAGTAAAATGAGGAAAAACAGTCTTAAAATGGAAAAAAAAAAACAGAGTTGCCATGGTTATAGTGTCTCTACAGCAGCAGACACCCTAACCGAGACAAGTGGGCAGCATGGCATTGCATGGGAAGCTGAGCAGAACTACAGGGAGGGGACCAGAAACCTGCTCTCCTCAGGCTTTGAGCCCTTCCTTCAGGCAGCGCACTGCTGGGCACATTGGAAAAGCATTCACTGTCAATAGCAGATATGCAAAGGCAGAGAATGGCCCCTTATTAATGCGGGGAACACCTTCATTTTGAGTCTGTTTAAGGAACCAAAGCAGCAAGAGCAAAACACTAAAATTAGCATTTATTTGATCAGTTCATTGAATGATCTTTTTCCATCATCCTTTATATCATTCCTTTGTAGTGTTCAAAGGTACAAAGCACTAGAATTAACTGTATGACTTTCTGATAAAAGAAGCTAAAATGACCTACTACTTTTTTTTTGCAGAAAGTTTTGAGTGAAATATATATCGATTCCCTTCCTTTGATGCTTTGGACCGGTGGTTCTCACCCTTCCTGATGCTGTGACCCTTTGATACAGTTCCTCATGTTGTGGTGACCCCAGTCATAAAATTACTTCATTGCTACTTCAAATATGTAATTTTGCCACTGAATTGTAATATCTTTTAGAAATTTTTTTATTTAATTTTATTTTTTCCTATTTTACATACAAACCACAGTTCCCCCTCTCTCCCATACCTCCTCCACCCAAATCCCCATCCATTTCTTAGAAAGGGTAAGGCCTTCCATGGGATGTCTATAAAGTCTGACTTATCAAGTTGAGGTAAGACCAAGCTTCTCCCACCTATATCTAGGCTGAGCAAGGTATCCCTCCACAGGGAATAAGCTCCAAAAAGGCAGTTCATGCACTGGGGATAAATTCTTGTCCCACTGCCAGTGGCCCCACAGGCTGCTCAAGCCATAGGACTGTCATCAACGGAGGGCGTAGATCGGTCCTATGCAGGTTCCCTAGCTGTTAGTCCAGAGTCAGTGAGCTCCCACCAGGTCAGGTCAGCTGTCTCTATGGCTTTCCCCATCATGATCTTGATATTTTTAGAGATAGAGATTTGCTAACACGACCGTGACCCACAGGTTGAGAACCAGTGCTTTAGGCAGTGCTTAGAGATCTGTGAAGAGCTGGGAAGGGAACTGTACTCACAGATGGTTGCTTACACATGACCAGGGGATTTCAGATACATCTTTACCTCTAACCAATACAAATTTTGTTTTCAGGTTTCATTCAGATGTGTCTATGTTACTTACTTTTTGTGCTATTTTCTGAGAGTATAGATATATAGGACTATGCATGTGTTCATTTTCTCTGGGAATAAAAGCTTTATTCAAATGGTTTAACTACATATTTGTCTTTACCGTTTATTTTGTAAACTCAATATATTTATTTAAGAATCAAACTATTTTATTTGGCTTAGTTTGTATATCAGTATTGGAAAGAATTTATTTTTATTTAAATGAGTAGTTACTAAGAATGGACTTCTTCATGCCTTTCTCTTGTACATAATTTTCAACAAGAAGTATAACATTTAAGTGAGGCATTTACATTGGCTCTTTGGAATGTGTGTTGATTGTTACAAAGTATTCCGGTCATGGGAGAACAATCCAGTCCTGTCCATTTCTGAAAAACACCACATAAGCCACAAATCTCTACTGTGGTTGACATGTGTCATCATGCCAGCCTTTCAAAGCTTTGTGGAGGAGGAGATTTGAAGAGCTTCGTGAAGCTGAAAGTCTCATGGGAAACTCAAAGCTCTGGTCTTTTATAGTCCGAGATGACTAACTCTTTCATTTGACCAGTGTGGACTCATAAAGTTCCATATGTAAGACGCTGTATGTTGCACTATATCAGTGACCCTGTAGAGCCGTTTGTCCTGCAGGGGCCAACTATAAATGCTTGTTGCATAGCCGCTGCATTTCAGGTTTGTGCTGCAGATGGGAACATGCGACAGGGACACACATGCCTTAAGATTCTAGGCAAAAATCTGAGCTATGAAGTAATGAACTAATGGCATATGAAGTTGTAGTTACATCTTAAGCTTAATCAGAGTAGTAGAGCTTCCAGAGGGGGTGGCCAGAGACACCTGGAGAATGCCAGGAAATCATCACACGGAAGAGGGGACATTTAGCTGGTTTTTAGGGTGGACTTGGGATTGTGAGATGATGAAGGGAGGAGCCATTCTCGGTGAGGAGACTACCATCTGCATCAACCACTGGGAGGCTGATCGTGTGTTAGATGTGTACTGCTTTTCTGTGAGCATTCGGTTGCTCTGGCTGTAGTTGGAGTTCTGAACGGTCTGCTTGTACTGACTTAGGTCCGGCAGAGAAAGTGTCTGATTGGATGTATGGGTCAATGGAACCTGGCAGAAAATGTGAGAGTTTTTTTTTTTGTTTGTTTGTTTTTTTTTACATTAGACTTTTAAAACATCGGTGTAGTTGAATATAGGTGACAAAGTGGACAAACAGGTGGTGACACACGAAATGGTAATGGTGGAGAGGGCCTGGAACAGGGCTAGTGATTTCTGTTTGGACAGTGTATCTGTGCAATGTCTGTGTGACATTTGTGAGATGCTCACTAGTGATGCTTATAATGACTTGGAGTCTGAGGGAGATATTCAGATATTACTAAAGCGATAGGATGATGTTACAAGGGAAAGAACCCAGGGGGAGCTCAACTCAGCAATGAGAATGAGAAGAGCCGGGGCTCTGCCAGTCCCCTCAGGAGGTGCAGGGCCAGGTACTGACTTTCAGAGTCACTCGTGACCTGTGGCTGCATCTACTTTTCATGCTGGGTTATTTTTTTCTTAATTTAATTAATAAATTAATAACTATCATATCTCTTGTTTTTGTTTGTGTTTTTTAGTTGGAAGCTGTGTTATTGGTGAACATGTTTCCTCCAATCCCACCCGTAAGTCCCAGATTTGGGAAAATCAGAAATATTTCTTTATTGGTTACCCCAGCCATTGCGAATGGAGAAATTGGCTTTCTTAGCAACCTCCCAATCATTTTGCATGAACCCAAAGGTTCTGAAGCTGAGGTGGTGAGTACGCATTTACTGGCTGATATGTCCTAATGTGTCTGAGGAATGGTAAACCTTTTTGATATGGGGCAGCGTGTAGAGTTAGTAGAATATGTGCTATTTAGAACAAACATCTGGTTTTCCTAGAATATTTACTATTCTTAAGAGGTTGTGCTTGTATATATTTGCACATATACACACAAAAATTCCAGATGCCAGTCCCGTTGGTGGACAGGTTCCAGCAAGGGAAGGAAGTGAGCTAGGCCATGGTGATCGGGAGAATGTTATAGCCAGAGTATTTCTTTATTTATACAAAATTTAGTAAGCAGGGATATATTCATGTTGTTCCAAAACATGGATCATACCATTTTTGTTTTTGGACATGTGTTTCACTTTCTTTTGTTCATTCTTTTGCTCATCCTCAATAAACTATGACAAATCAGTTATCATTTCCAATCATTTTCCTCAACCTTTGACATCATTGATTGAATAGGATGCTCAGGACTGTCCTGGGGAAGCTTAGAAATAGCATTCCTGGAAGAAGGCATAAATGATTCATAAGAAATTTTCCATCAATCCAATATTCTCAAATTGTACAATTACTAAAAGTCTCCCGAGTATGAAAACCAAAGGTGGCGTGGCGGCCGTCACGTGGCTCAGCTTTGCTGGGTCTTTGCCAGGTAGCTGTGCTGGCCTTATGACTTCTGCCGTTCCATCAGATATGGCTGTGCCATCTCCTCCTCTTTTGTTTGTGAACATAAGTTCTGTTCTGATACAAAATTGTAAACGTATTTTTATAACCCTGGAAACCAAGGCAGACTCCAGTTGAGCTGAACTAATGGCTGTAACTTGTTGACGCAAAGACTGTGTGCTTGTAGCTAGTTGAGAATTGTTTCATAGGCCATGGAGGTGGGGAAACAGACTGTTCACTCATAGTATTTACCTGGGTCCAGTACCTGTGAGAGGTGGAATCAAGTCAATTTTCTGAAGCTTACAGGAACCCTTTTTAAGTTTACAAAAAAGGTAAAAGAACATCAAGATTCCTAAAACTGTTTACTTTGACTTGGAGGGCGCCAAGGCCTTCCATTAACTTTATAATCAAGAATTTTTCTTGTTCATTCTAGTTCCATGTTTCTGAGGCAAAACACAAAAACCTAATAATTCAGTCATAGTTTGTCAGCTTCTAAAATTTCCCTATGTTTTTCTTCTTAAATGATTTGCTCTAGATCCTATATCTCATGCTTATTGGTACCACTTAAGTAATAATTTCTATAGAAGATTCAATTCTTATACAGCAAGTTCTCCCAAGGAATCACCACAAGTTTTATTCTTAACATCAGCTTTCACAAGAGTTGTTCCATTGTTCCAGTTCTGGCCTCCAGTGAGGGGCCCTTAGCAGCAAGGAATCAAACATTAAACCTGTCAAAGACACAGGAAAGAGCCATGCAGTACTTCCAGCGAGGACAGCGAAGAATCAGTTCAAGTCATCTGAGCACTGGGATCTTTGCCAAGCAGCAACTCCAGGACACTTAGCATAGTCATATAGATATATATGTAACAAGTCTAGTCATAGGTAATGATGTTATTAACTTGAGAGTAGAGGTGGCTTGGCAGGGTTTCTAGGAAGTAACTGGGAGTGGCTGGAGGGAGGAAAAGAAAGAAGGGAAATGATGCAGTACTATTTCAATTAAAAAAATTTAAAGAAAAAAGTTAATTGCTCGTGGTGAGAGTTGATTGTAAACAGAGACTGTTCTGTTATTTCCTGACTGCTCAGACATGAATAATCACACAGAAACTATATGAATTACTATAGTGAGGGGGCCAGCTTGTTGGGGTTTCTGTCCCGCTCAGTACCCCACAGCCGGCAAATCCCAAAGAAAATCACACACAGTACTCTATAAGATTATAAACTGATTAGCCCATTAGCTCAGGTTTCTTGTTAACTCTTATAGCTTATATTAACCCATTATTCTCATCTATGTTAGCCATAGTGGCTCAGTACCTTTTCTAGCGGGGGCAGCTCACATGTTGCCTATTCGGTGATCTGGGCAGGAATGGTGGAGGGACTTCCTCCTTCCTAGCCTTCTCCTATTCTCATTGCCCCGCCTCTACTTCCTGTCTGGTTGACCCGCCTATACTTCCTGCCTGGCCAATCAGCATTTTATTAAAATACATGATTGACAGAATACAGACAATTCTCCCACACCAAATTACAATATTGTTTGGCCAACAACTCAGGCGTACTTCTAGCTAGCTCTTATATCTTAAATTATTATTATTTATTTTACTATAAGACTCACGGTTTATTACTTCTTGCTTCTTGGGCAAGAAGTAGACAGGGTGTCTACTTCCTTCAGCAGCTACATGGCATCTCTCTAATTCTGCCTATTCTCACTATATATCCCTTTTAGCCTGGCTGTATTCTGCCTTGCCATAGGCTGAAGCAGCTTTATTCATTAACCAATAAAAGCAACATATATACAGAAGGATATCCCACACCATCTCCCCCTTTCTATCTAATTAAAAAGGAAGGTTTTAACTTTGACATAATAAAGTTACATATACAAAACAGTTATCAAGAAGAATTATAGTTACAATATTTAGTCCATTTGTATTTGGTAAATTAAGGAAAACAGTCTATCATGTATCCTATCTTTGTGACTCTAAAGCCTCATAACTGATTTATCTTTTATTATAACTAAGGAAAACTATAATTATAACTATCTATTCTTCAACTTCATCGAAGACTCCAGAAGGATATGATATTGCCTAAGTTAACAGGAAGTGCATTGTAAGCAACTTCCAAAACTCTAGGATTGACTGCCTGGACAGTCATTCAAAGTTCTTCTGTAAAATTGGGGCTTCCATCTTCAGCCTACAGACCCATAGTATCTGGCAGACTTTTCAATGAAGCAGAAAATTTGAAAGACTTCTTTGCCTATATTGACAGTTTGTCAGTTACTTTCTTGTGTGCCCCACAGAACATCTGGCAGACTCTTTCATGAAGCAGGAACGTTATAGGATTATCCCATCACTGGGAAAGTTCAGCAGTCACTTCTGTGGGTCCTGTAAATCCGGTTCATACAGCATACCATCAAACAATCCAGGAAAAAGCAGTTTTTGCCAAAATGACTAGCCTTGTCACATTGAAGGCTATTTGATAACAAGTTTCTTCAATGCCTATCAACTTCTCTGAAGGAATTGGAGCTGTCAGAAGCAGACATGTCTCACTATTCATAAAAGTCTGTCCATAAAACATTTTAAATGCCACATTCTGTAAGTCTTTGAAGGTTTGAAGAATACCTATCCATATGAAATGTATCTCTGTACATCTAGAAAACCTAACTAACATGACTAAAAGTTTGATTATTATAAAAGACTATTAATCTGTCTTTATTGCATATCTGTAATCATTTTCTGACCAGGAGCACCCTTTTCTTTTTAAAAATGCTAAACAGGGTTGCTAGAACCAACTCAATGGCTCTGCCTGTTTGCTCTGCTGCATCCAACATGGCAGAGGTATGTTCGCTGCCTCTTGAAGCCATGCTTATCACCCCAGCTCCAGGGATGTAGGGGGTCTATGTCACCATTAAGCAGCTAGTAGCACGCAGCTCACAAACCCATTTAAGTGCAGGAGCAGTTTGTGCTGCAGCACAATCCAAGAAGATCTTTCTTAAAGAAGTTGCCCAGTTTTTGCTGATAGTGCTAAGCCAGGAATCTTTCTCTTAATAGAACTGTGCCTCTGATTGCCTCTAGCAAACAGAGCCCACCTGAGAAAATGTTGCTACCAAGAAGCCATGCTTAACTCCATTCTTTTGTGTCTAGAATTCCTTCTCAAGCTCTCTCAGGTTTTATGTGGATGTAGTTGGCCCACATTGGCACCATCTGTAAGCGGAGACTGCTCTTTCGTTTCCTGACTGCTCAGACACAAATAATCACACAGAAACTATAATAATTACAGGCATATTTTTAGCTAGCTCTTTTATCTTAAATTATTATTTTGTATTTTACCATGAGGCTTGTCTCTCGTTACCTCTTGCTTCTTGGGAAGCAACGTGGCGTCTGCCTCCTTTGGCAGTTACATGGTGTCTCCCTGACTCCACCTACTCTCTCTCTATCCCTGTCAACCTGGCTATATTCTGCTCTGTCATAGGCCAAAGCAGCTTTATTCATTAACCAATAAAAACAATACATGTACAGAAGGACATCCCACATCAGTTAGATTGTTTAAAAGTGATTGGTTTTACACAGTGTATAACATTTGATAGCCAGTTATGAATCTGGCTTTTAGTGGCCATATTGTAGAAACACAAAGTAGTTTGGGATTTTGTTCTCTTTTGTGCTGCCTCAGGTAGAACTGAAGACTCAGAGGTAGCTTGGAGTTTGATGGTTGAAACTAGTTACAGTGATGTGGATTTGTGAAATGCTGAGCCTTAGCAACACACACATGCACACACATGCACACATACATGGATACACAGGCACACATGCATGCACACTTTCATGCACAAAAGCATACTCCTCCCCTCTTTCCTTCCCCAAGCTTCATTGCCATAGTTGAATCGTGACTAAGTGTTTTTCTATTTAGGGATACCTCTGCATTGCTCTATCACAATCTGTCAAAGACAAGTACCTCCCTCTTAGGTTTGCTCTAAATTGGCTTAATGTTTAGGTCAGAAACAAGGGGAGTTGGTTTTGTTACCAAAGTCCATTGTATCTTGACCACTGTTTCCTTCATTTATTGTTAGATTCTACAAATGGACGGTGAAGATTCACTTTTCAAAATGATTTTGACTTCATGTATTTTCAAAAGTTTATTCTTTTCCTTGCAAAGCCTAGAAAGCACCTACTTGGTTCCCTGGGAATGTGTTGCTTGGTTTACTTACTGCGTGAAGCTGTGAATTTACTATCTCTATTGTTCCAGGTCTCACCGAGCTCCCTCACGTGACTTTGTAGTTTTTTTTTTTATTTTATTTATTTTCTTCCTAAGAATTTTTCTTTGCTTAGTTGTCTAGGCTCAGTTGCTAGCCAGAATAGCAAAATTAACAGTTTTATATTTTTCGCTATTTTTTAGTTTTCTAATTTATTTGCCTTTTTATTAAGGCAATTCCAAGGTCATATTTTTGGTTCGGTATATATTGCAGGTATATTTCATTAGAAAAAAACATAAAAAAGTATCAAAATTATTTTCCTGCTTCTTCAACTGTGTTTCTAATACCACCTGGTTGTTTACTTCTTTATATGAAGTACACATGGGCAGTCAATTATACTTGTATGTGTGTGGAAAGTTCATGTTACTCACGAATGTACATTTTAGGCAAGTTTTTCTTCTTTTTCTTTTTAAAATAGTTTTATATCCCCCTACATCGAGATGGAACTGATGGCCAGGCTACTGTCTACTGGAGTTTGAAGCCCTCTGGCTTTAATTCAAAAGCAGTGACCATGGATGATACAGGTCCTTTTAATGGCTCTGTTGTGTTTTTATCTGGTCAAAGTGACACAACAATCAACATTACCATCAAAGGCGATGACATACCGGAGCTGAATGAAACCGTTACCCTTTCCTTAGACAGGTAATAATAGCTCATGACAGAAACGGTAACTTCTGTCTGTTTGATTAATGATTTTGATTTTGTTTTAGTTAATTTATCCATATGTGGTAAAACTGTGGAGAAGGGTTAGCAAGGCTTTCAGATGTTTCTGTTGTGTATGGATGGATTTTTCTTTGACTATGAAGATTATTGTATTTGTGACTCTTCACTATCCTGTTTTTCTCTGTGGGAGCATTATGTAGAGAGTTATTGGGGAGTAGCTGACAGTTATGGGGAGTAGCTGACAGTTATGGGGAGTAGCTGAGAAGTCTGAAGCATAGTCAGTCATATTGCTCTGCTTATGAGGGCAGCGGCAAGCCATCGAAAATGTTAGACCACACACTCATCTTCACTTTCAAGAGAGGAAAGATTAGACTTTTATAAGTGATTAAAAAGACAAGATTAACTTTTATTCTCTTTACATGGGATTTAAGTAGTAAGTAATTTTTATTTTATAGAATAAAATCACACAAATTTATGTGTTAACATTTTAGCCATCAGAATAAGAAATTACTCAGCATTTCAAGGAGGCACCACAATCTCTTTTAGAGATTATATTTATTTATTTATTTATTTATTAAGAAAATGTTTTGTAAAGAGGAAATGGAGTCTAATTAATTGGTACAATGATTTTAGAGAGTTAACAACCTACAGCGCTGTGGGTAGGGTGCGCTGCAGATGGACAGTTAGAAACTCTGAACTTGACCATTTTATAGTGTGTTCTTCATGAGTGAGTCAGGGAAAGCTTGATCGTGTCATCTTTGTATCTGATTGTCACTTCCTAGCCTCCCCATCTTTGTTTGGTCTGGTCTGGAACTCTCTCAGTAGAGCAGACTGGCCTCAGCCTCACAGATCCACCTGCCTCTGGAGAGGAAAGTGCTGGGATTAAAGGCGTACACCCCCTTGTCTGGTGTAGTCTATGAAGTGAATGAACAAAATGTAGACTACAGAGAGTGGGCCTTTTGACAGGCCACTGGTCATTTTGTTATCATCAGAACCATACACTTATTTTCTTCTTTCACAAAAATAAAAAAATAATAAATCCCAACAGCTAAAACCCATAGTCTAAATGTCACCATCCTATAACACCATGATACAGACTGCCTTGTGGAAAACTGCTTCATTTGATAAAAGTTAGTGAAATTCAATGACATATAAAAATTAATTGGAAATTAATTTTTTCCATGGAGCTTTTCAGCAGTTTAGGTCTGAGCACGACTAAAGCACATTGGATAATAATTATAAGCCTGATAGAAACCTTGTTAGCCTGGCTGATCTCAGCTAGATGTTTAAAGAATAATTGGAAGTATGTGTACCTCTGCAAGTCCAGTGGCAATTCTGTGTAATCTTTAAATGTCACATGAAGATTTGAAATAAATTAACTCTTTTTTTTTTAAAGCTTTTTCTTTCCTCTCCTTCTTCTCCCTATGTGGAAGAGTATACCATACACCACAGGAAAGAGCAAATCATAGAGTTCTTTGATTTTTTTTAAATATTGTAGTTTTTTTTTTAAACAGAACCAATCAGTCAAAATCTACACTAAAATGTCAATTCCGTTGGAAACTGGTGTTCAAACAAGAATAGCCTAATAATACTCTTGCATCCAAAGAAATGTTTAGATAAATAAGTGACAATGAAATTTACCATTTGGAAGTGATTTTGTCAAAATCTTCCTTTAGTTTTGCAAAGTCTTAACCAAACTTAAGCAAATAATGAATGAACAAATGCTAGTGTGATTATATCACAACAGAAGTAGGAATGCTTTATTAGAGTAAGTTTCGCAGTTTTCTCTCAAGGCCGACTCAAGTGCTTTAAATTTAAACTAAATATAAGCAGAAGTTGACTTGATACTAAACAGTTAAAAGTCACTTCAATATAATACCTATTAAAAGTATTCTATTGTTTAATATTTTGCAACTAGAAGCATTTTTGTTTATTTCATAAAACAATCATATGGTATATAAATCTTTATTTATAAATGATATGTTCTACGTTAAACTCTGAGCTCGAGAGGTCTTTGTTTTGATGTGTACCTTTCAAGGCTATTGGACGATGAAATACACTAGGGATGAGGAAAACTAGATTTTAACTACACTAAACTGTAGTTAAAGTGACGATGTGTTGTGACTCGTTGAGTATATTCTCTGCCAGTATCGAAAGCCAGAGATTTCTCTGCCACAGGGTTTTGATGATTTTAATGCAAATAGCAACTGGTTTTAGATCTGAGGATGAAAGGTTTTTTTTCCAACCTAATTAAAGTGAGTAAGTAATTATAAGTAGGGCTGAATGAAATTTGCTCAGCTGCTGTGGCTTCTGGAAGTGCACACTTTCAGGCTTCTGTGCTTTGTAGGGTGCCAGGAAAGAGTGCCTTGACATGCTTGCTGGTCATGGGGTCATCTTCTCCGAGTGGGATTTCTAGCATTTGTCAACAGCAGAGAACACAATGTGCACAGTTCCCATAAACTGAAAATTGCTAGCTCTGGGAGGCGGGGTGGGGCTGAGTAGTAAGGGTGCTTCCTTTAACTTTATTTTACCATTACACTGAGCTTCTTGTCCTGAGATTTTAGCAAACGGTATGCTTGCCTCCTCCCTTTCCCCCTTCCCACAGTTCTTTCTGTGTTGACAGGGTAGAAACGGAAAGATTTGTCGTGTATTTTGGGTAAGTATGCAGAACAATGTCTTGTTTTGAGGATTCACTATTTTTTTTTTTTTTCTGTGAGTGACCGTTTTATGATGAAGCTGCCATTCTGCATGACCAGTCTTGAGCAATTCTGCCTGTCTACCTGGCTGTGCATGTCTGTGCAATTTTATTCTCTAGTGACAGTGGGTTTTGTATGAATGGTTTGAAATTCAGTTTTGCGTTCTGAATGCACTTAAAATATTTAAGAAAGCATTGAAGAATTGAGTGTTATCGCATTTTGAAGAGTTTTAAATTTTTACTTTCCCAATAGTTTACACCAGAGAGTAACTGTAGTTTAACTCTGAAATCCTTTATGGCCATATTTTGTTTAACAGAGAACATGAAACCAATGGCTTTTCTGGGTATATGTTTGCAGTTTCTTGCTTTCATGTCTGTGTTTTATATTTTTGAGCTTGTATCATGCATTAGAGTAGCATGTTTTAGAGAAGTCTAAAGATAACTCCTTATTTACTGTGTACACTGATTTGCATGGTTTGCTTCCCATCCAGCTTTCTTGTCTCCCAGCTCGTTTGGACACAGGGGATTCTAATTGATGACGATATTTATAGAAACGAAATAGAGGCATTGTCAAATAGCTGTCTGGAGTTCGCATTACTTCCTCTGTGCTCTCTAGCATGTTGGGTTTTGCTTGTGTGAGTTGTATAAGCAGAAGCATGTTAATCATTTTTTCCCTCTTTGAAACCACCAGCCTGTACACATTTCTTCAGATTGTTTGTGGTTTCATTGTGATTTGGAGGTCAGATCATGACTACACTTTTGCTCAGTAGGAAGTGACATGTGGCGAGGTTCAGTTCAAATCGTGTGGCTCAGACTTCCTGAGAGCTGACTCCAGATCTCAGAACCTGCTCTCTGATCTCATCACAATTATACTCTAACACAAATACCAGAAATTTAAAAAAGCTTATTTATATACCTGTTTATCTACACACACACACACACACACACATACGTGTGCACACAAACATACATGCACACACACTAGTTGTTATTGCATGTCAGTATCTCAGATCCGCTTTATTCCTTTTATTCTAATGTATTTTCTTTTTTTTTCTAAAAAAAGTTTGTGGTTAAAACTGAAACATAGGAAACACTTCAAAGACAAAAAGTATTCATAAAAGTTTAATCAAAATTGTGTTTATTTATGTACTTTTCATCATTTGTAGTGTGTAGTTACCCAGTTAATACATATTATTACACAATTAACATAATCATTTTTAAGGAGACTTAAAAGAAATTCACATGTAAGTAAAATTTAAAATGTAAAACACTTATTAGAGAAGCAGAATGCAACAGCTCTCAGGTTATTTAACTATATTTTCCAACCAATTACAAAATATAATTTTCTAAAGCTGCAGTAAAATTTGACAGTAAAATTTGGCTTTTATATTCTTTGTGTATCTATGCAGTGTTTAGTTCAGTCAAATAAAAGGAAGATACAGAAGTGTGAAAATCTTGCAGTAAGTGTCATCAGTGGAAACAGGTTTGGTGTGAAGTGATTTTAATACTTATAAATTTGCGGTAAGCTTTAACTCTTGGTTGCCTTTTGAATTATCTGGGAGACATGCAAACACTGCTGGTTCTTTCAAAGCTTCAGAATAACAGAGTGCCTTTTCTTCTCTCGCTTTTCAGGGTGAGTGAGGACAGTGAAGTCCTGAAATCAGGATACACTAGCCGGGACTTAATTATTTTGGAAAATGATGACCCCGGAGGTGTTTTTGAATTTTCTTACAATTCTAGAGGACCCTACATCATAAGAGTAAGTCTGAACCTTCACTTTCTATTCGTAACTTCAGGAAAATGTTCTAGAAGAAATTGAATTTCTGTGAATTTTTCTCAAGGAAGGAGATGCTGTAGAGCTCCGCATCACTCGGTCCAGGGGGTGTCTGGTGAAACAGTTCCTGCGCTATCACATAGAACCCAGAGAGAGCAGTGAGTTCTACGGAAACACAGGGCTGCTGGAATTCACACCTGGGGAACGAGAAGTAGTGATCACCTTGCTCTCAAGATTGGATGGCATGCCAGAGGTACCAGGTTTTGAATTTCTCTTATGCTCATGGGGCAGGCTGATAGCATCAGTATATTGAGAATAGAAGTATTTTGAACATTAACAGCAAGATATAAGAAAGAATAAGTATTCATGTTTGGAGTATTTAGAAGCTTGAAAAGAAGAATAAGATTCATTCAGCTTACAAGAGTGTATGCTTGTCCTCCAAACAAGAAATAAAAAAAATTATAAGATTTTGCTTGTATGATCAGTTTTCTCCACTAATGTAAGTTTATTTTATATTCTGTATATCAACAACTCTTACTGGTGTGGTTTTGAAGTAAAGTTTTGCTATAAAATTATTGTTTGGAAAGAAATAAATCTGCTTTATATGAGAAGAATCAGATGTACTTTACTTATGTTTATACTGCAATACATATGCAGCTTCCAAATTAATTTTATTTTTTTACTCTTGCTCATTTAAATGAATACTAGATCATCAATGAAAAGTTCTTGAATTTTTACCAGATTAAAATAGTATCATCATTTCTTTTTCTTTTTTATGATGCATATTACTTCTACTGTCTTTCAGTTAGTAGGCAAATGTTTTTAAAAATTAGAAACAGCATCAACTCTTCGTCATTTTAGTGTGATGTATGTTCCTGAAAAGTTGAACATATTAATATTATCGGTCATTGATACATTGTATTTGCTGTGAGAGCATCAACTTTACCTTTTTTTCTAATTTGGCATGCTTTTTGTAGTTGGACGAACACTACTGGGTGGTCCTCAGCAGCCACGGTGAAAGAGAGAGCAAGCTGGGAAGTGCTACGGTTGTCAACATAACCATTCTAAAAAACGACGAGCCTCATGGAGTTATAGACTTTGTTTCTGATGGCTTGACTGTGTCAATAAAGGAAAGCAAAGGAGAGGATATCTATAGTGGTAAGCTATATGTTTACTATATCTTATTTCTCTTCACTGAAGAGGACATTAATCTCTTTTCACCTTAATTTAAAAATATTTCTATTTGTATATGTATTTGTGTGTACTTGTGTGAATTTATGCGCACCATGTGTGTGCAGATGCCCGTGGCATTCAGACAGTAGTGATGCTCAGCCATCTACCTGGGTGCTGGAACTGAACCTGGGTCCTCTGGAAGAGCAGTAAGCGCTCTGAACTGCTGACCCCTCTCACCACCCCCTTGGTTCATTTCTTTGGTAACTATTGTCAGTTTTCCAGTCTGCCTCGGAAATTACATGCAACTTAGAAACTTACCTTTTAAAACTCACATGCAGGGTTGCCGTTTTCATTTCTCACATAGCATTGTGATGATATTGAAGACTTCAATTACAGTTTGATGTCAGCTAATACATTATAACTCAGACATGTGGGGAGGAATCAAGTCAAGTGGAGCGGACACTACCGCTAAGAGTTATTGTGGAGGAACTATTGCAGTGGGGATGAGAATTCCTTTATTTGAAAAGCAAAGTCTGGGCAATAGAAATTCCTTTGCCTGTCAAGTACAAGTCAAGTTTCCAGTAGTGCCTTTGGTGGAACGACTCGTAAGACTTCATAGTAGTTGTACATAATTCATTGCAATCCCTTTTCTATGCCAGATGACTTTTATTATTGAAGAGGCTCAGTACATACACACAAACACACATGTGCGTGCACACACGTGCACACACACACACGCACACACACACACGCACACACGCACACACACAGTTATGTTAGCCTTGGAGTTTTGCTAAGCAAGTGTTTGTGTGGGTTCCTCTTTGTCTTCTTGCTCAGTTGGCCACCAGTCCCTGAGAACAAAGAAGCAGAAGTCACAACAGAGATCCTTGAATGGTGTGTGAACAAGGGAGACAGCCCTCCAGGAGAGTCTTCAGTGAATACCTCACCCTTATTCCAGAGTATAGGAATATATAGGATTGGGGAGCCTGGGGACAAATCCTAATTTGCATTAAGTGGCACACTCCTTTCACAAGGGTCCTATGGCAGAGCTCCTGTTATCAGTCTTAGTTACTACATGTGCAGCAGGGGAGGCTTCTAGCAGGAAACTATGTCAAGGGTCACCCTAGAGATATATTCGGCATCTGGCTTAGAGACAGCTTTTAGAAACAGTCAGTCCTCCGGGTCTAGGGACGTTCTCCAGAAAGGCAGGTAGAGAGCAGGGAGTCACACTGAGGGAGGGGTGAGGTGGGGAGAGATCCCATGTCCTTGAACTTTGGAAAAAAGCTACCAGGTCATGACAGACTGCAGCCTCCAACCAGCCAACAAAGCCTCCCAACAAGTGTTGATGAAGAGGTGTTTTTTTTTCCTGTTTATTTCAGAAGTTGTTTTGCTTGTTTTAAAGATCAGCCTATGTTCATGTGTGTATTTCCCAGCTGTCTATGGTGTAATACGAACTCGAGGCAACTTCGGTGAAGTTAGTGTATCATGGATGGTTAGTCCAGACTTCACGCAAGACGTGTTTCCTGTGCAAGGAACTGTTTATTTCGGAGACCAGGAATTTTCAAAAACTCTCACTGTTTACTCCCTTGTGGATGAAGTAAGTACTGCTCATATAGATCCCCGCCCTGCTCATTGTAGTTGTTGGATCACACACACCTCTCTATGTGTTGTTCTCATGTAGATCTCCCCTGCTCATTGTAGTTGTTGGATCACACACACCTCTCAATGTGTTATTCTGTTGGTTTATCTTTGTGGTGTTGTTGGGCAAACTCTCTATATGCCATGTGAACATTCTAAATTCACAGCTCACTCATTCTTTTCTTATTTAAGTAATTAAATATCTGCTGATACATTTTGTGATGAAACTGTAATTAAGAGCTCCATTTTGACCGATTGGATAGACAACAAGAAAGCAATGCTATTTGGGTGTCCTTGAAGGCATTTGTACTTTGAAATCCTTACAATTGGTGGTGATTAGAAACCCCATCATATAGCAACTACCAGGATTCAGGCTTTGGGGGAATGTTTAGCAACTGGTTTGTCTTAGGCACTTTGAAGAAGAACCTCCCTATGGGTAACTCATTCTCCACTTCAGCATCAGGAAATAGCACAGGCGTTCTGAGCCGCAAAGGAAAGATAAGGAACTGCACTAAGACGGGGAGTGGACCTCTCTCAGGGCAAAGCTGTGAAATATGTCCCCTGTCCCCCCAAACTGTCCCCCAACAGACAAAATTTCACGTTTTTTCTGTCTTGGGGGGGGGGGAGAAAACTATATCACACAAACAATGTGAACGGGATCCACCTGGGGATAGAAGAATCAGAGGAATGGAAATCTCATCATTTAGAGAGCACAGTAAGGATGCCTTTGGACCTCTTCCGGAACCTTCCTGAAGCTTTAAAGACTCAAGCGAGCGCTAACAGCCTAGCAACTCAGTGCTCTGTCCCGAACTTTACATTGCTTCTCTGTTCCATTTTTTCTTACAGTTAATTTCTTTCCTGTTTTCTTATAGAAATAAAATAAGCTCTGGAATGGTCATGCTTTCCTTACTAAGTCATAACATATGTATTTCCATTGCATGCTATAGCTACAACAAAATAAAATGGCTGCTTGGAAGAATATTGAAATGATTTAGGGGAATCTGAGTTTTATGGGGACATTTTAAGAAGCTTCTGCCTTAGAGATAAAAATGAATATCAGCAGTTATAACTGTGCTGTCATAAAATGAATAGGCATGCAGAATGACATGTATGATTCACTTGACTTAGAGCATGTACCCTTTCCCCAAAGATTCCGGAGGAGATGGAGGAATTCACCATCATTCTATTTAATGCCACCAGTGGTGCTCAAACAGGAAATAGAACAACTGCCTTCCTGAGGATTTTAAGGAATGATGACCCCATTTATTTTGCAGGTAGTATTGCTATCTTGTTTGAATGACTTTGCATAGTTCTTAAATACTAAATATGTTTTAAGACAGTTTTACTTAATTTTGTGTGTATGTATGTTTTACCTGCATGTAAGTATGTGTACCCCGTGCATGGCTGGTGCCTGTGGAGCCATATGAGGAAAATGGGTCTCTACAACTGGAGTTAGGATGGTTGGAAGCCATCTTGTGGGTCTTGGAAGTCAAACCTGGGTCCTCTAATAGTAATAAGTACTTTGAACTACTGAGCTATCTCTGCAGCCCCAATCTATCTATCTATCTATCTATCTATCTATCTATCTATCTATCTATCTATCTATCTATCATCTATCTATCTATCGATCTATCTATGTATCTTTAAGGAGAATTATTAACTGAACATTTTATAGCATTGTTTAAATATAATTTCATGATTTATTTGATGATTGATTTTCATTGTTTGACTTTAAACATTTTTATTTTTAAGACCTTCTGAAGCACAATGAAAACAAAAGAAAGCCCTTGGATAGCTTTGTTTCTTCTTTGTAATCTCATTGCCTTTGCTTTGGGTAGACAAGAGTGTGCTTCCCCAGCCACTTCCTAACAGCGTCAGTTGGGTACAGGGCTTGTGTTCTTCCTATGGGTGGTCACTTGTTACAGTAGCAGGTGAGCAATGGACATATTAATGAAGACTTCTCCATTTTTGTCATTTTGCTGCCTTCTGTACAACTAACTTTTGCCCCTGAGGTATCTTTCAGTTTTGTAAATGAGAATCAGATTTTTAATTCTCTGAAATCTCTTTTATATGATGTATATAGATGAAACTGCTGATATAGTAACACCCTGAGCCTGTTGAATTTTACTTTTGCCATTCTTAGCCTTCAGGTAACGTAGTTAATGAATTAGTCTTGATCTTTTATCCCCAACTGTCATGGCAAAATGAAACAAGAGATTTATATTTAAGGAACTTATCTTTAGTATGTTAAACTGAAGTCAAAAATTAGAAATCTTATGAGCTTTAACGACAGATTAGTTGCCAGAGACACTGGGTACTGTGGGCATTATGCAGGAAAGGACACGGACTCTTGAAGCAGTCGGGGAGGAGCAGAGCAGACTAGAGAACAGACTTTCCTTGTTGATGGCAGGGAGAAAGAGGCGTGCTCTGAAAATGTGCTCACGGGATGGAAGAGGCCCATGGGATGGAAGAGGCTCACGGATCCCTTTTCTATGTATGTTTCAGAGCCCTATGTCCTGAGGATCCAGGAGGGTGACACTGCCAGCTTCACAGTGCTCAGAAATGGATCTGTTAATGTAACTTGCACTGTCCAGTATGCTACCATGGATGGCGAGGCTTCGGGAAGAGAGGGAGACTTTGTTCCTGTTGAACCAGGAGAAACTCTTGTATTTGAGGCTGGGAGCAGGGAGCAGAGTATATCTGTATATGTCAATGATGATGAAATCCCTGAAACAGATGAACCTTTTTATGTAATCCTTTTCAACTCGACAGGTAAATACATGCTGTTCTGCTAAGTATTGTACCAGGCTGACCTTTACTATGACTGTAACTGCTCATGAGGAAGAGAGTTGCTCTGTTGCGTTCTTGACTGGTGGGTGGAGAAGACAGCTGTCACTGTGTGGTATATATTAGATTCCAGTGGGACAAAATTCTGTGAAATCCAGTTTATAAGAGGAAAGAGTTTGGCTCAGAGTTCCAGGGGGATCAGCCCAAGGCTGCTTCACTACATCATTGCTGCACCTGGAATGAAGCCTGGCATTGAATCAAGAAGATGGTGTCAGTGCACAGTCACCAGTCAGCGTTCAGATTTCTTTAGTTCCAGCATTCGCAGCAAAATTACCCCACTGAAATGATGCATTTCATTTAATAGTAACGTCCCTCCAATCTTTTTAGTCTGAAGTAATTCCATAGTTTTTATTTGGCTTTCATGATCTCAGCAAAACCACAAGCTTGAATATCTCTCATATGAGTTTGCCTCATGGGTCTTTTTTATTTGACACAAGTATTTTATCCTTGGTAATAACACCGCGGGGATAATTCTGTATTCTCAATTTCTCGTCAGGATTTTGCTTTGTCCCTTCATTATTTGTTTTGATACAATTAAGGTGATGACCTCCAAGTTTATTTTTTATTGTAATTAATTAATGTTTGTGGCCCTTTATACAGATGTTTGGGTCTGAATGCAAAAGCAGACACATGCAGCAAGTGCTTTACCCGTTGAGCCACCTCCTTAGCCTTTTGTACCTTTAGTTTCACATTTCTTAAAATTTAAGTGAATAAAATGAATACATATTAATTTTTTTGTTGTTAAATTAAAGGCAGCTTCTTTTTAAATTGCTTTGACCTTTTTGTGTTTAATTTAGGTGACACGGTAGTTTACCAGTATGGAATAGCCACAGTCATAATTGAAGCCAATGATGACCCACATGGCGTGTTTTCCCTGGAGCCCATAGACAAAGCAGTGGAAGAGGGAAAGACGAATGCATTTTGGTAAGTGTATTTGGGGAAGGAAAGTTAAAATCGGATACAACAAAATAAGATCTTTAAGTGTGTGAAAATTGAAACACTGGTAATGTCAACAAAAATATAAATGATATAAATGAATTATAACTTTGTTTATGCTCCACTATAATATTTTTCATTAAGAGAACTAACAATGAGAACCACTGATCTGCTAAACAGAACTTAATCTTTTTGCCCTTCTCCCTCTGTGTTCTATCTCCTTAAGCCTGGAGGACCACAGTTATTCAGTCCTCAGCTTCTGACTCCGTACACCTAGTGTTTTTCTTTCTTCTTCTCCTTCAAATGTGAATTTTGATGTATTACTTTTTTTTTGTAAAAAAAATTCTTCTTTCATATATTGCACAGTGACTGCAGTTTCTCTCCCCTCCTCTCCTTGAAATCACCTCAACCTCCCTTCTCCCCCCAGATCCACTCCTCCTCCATTTCCCTTCAGAAAAGGGCAGGCTTCCCAGGGATATCATACAAACATGCCATATCATGTTGTAATAGAAGTAGACACATCTCCTCATATTTAGACTGGGTGAGGTGACCCAGTATGAGGAATAGGGTCCCAAAAGCAGGCAAAAGAATTGAAGAAAGCCCTGATCCCACTGTTAGGAGTCCCACGGAACAGCAAGATCCTAGGAGTCCCACAGGAATACTAGGCTGCTAGGGCCCATAAGAACAGCAAGCTGCACAACCACAACATATATTCAGAGGACCGAGGTGAGACCCATGCAGGCTCCCTGGATATGAGTTCAGTCGTTTGAGCCACCATGAGCCCTGGTTAGCTGATTCTGTGGGTTTTCTTTCTCCCTCAGGCCCCTACAATACTTCTTTTTCCTCTTCAGAAGGATTTCTTGAGCTCCACTCAATGTTTGGGTGTGGGTCCCTGCACCTGCTCTTGTCCTTTGCTGGGAGTCTCTCTCATGATGATTATGTAGGCTCCTCTCTACAAGGATAGCGGAGTATCGTTAGGAATCATTTCATTGGCTTTTTCGTTAAGGGTCCTGTTTGTTTCTACCCTAGGTCTCTGGGCCATCCAACCTCTGGTTCCTGGTGCCAAGGGTGGGCTCCCTCTCTTGGCATGGCTCTCAAGCTGGGCCAGTCATTTATTGGCCACTCCTGCAGGTTCTTTGCCACCTGTACCTCAGCACATTGTGCAAGCAGGGCAAACCGTAGGTCGAAGGTTTTGCGGCTGGGTTGGTGTCCCAATCACTCCACTGGAAGCCTTGCCTGGTTACAGAACGTGGCCGGTTCAGGTTCCGTATTCCCCATTACTATGAGACTTCACTAGGGTCACCCTCATAGATTCCAGGGAATTTCCATTGCACTGGGTTTGCGCATTGCCCTTTAAATATGCACCCCCCAATTTCCAGTTGTCTCTGGAACCTGATCATAACCTGATCACTCTTGTTCTCATCCCCACATGCCCCCATGCCCCTCAGGGAAATTCATGCATCCTCCCTTGAGCCTTCTCTGTTCCTTAGCCTCTCTGGTTCTGTGCTTTGCAGCATGACTGTCCTTTACATTGCAGCGAATATCCATTTATACCTGAGCACTTACCATGTTTGTCTTTCTGTGTCTGAGTTACTCAGCAAGATTTTTCTACTTCCATTTTTTTACCTGCAAATTTCATGATGCTTTTTTTTTTAAACAATGGAGTAATACTCCATTGTATAAATGTACCACATTTTCTTTATCCATTCTTAGGTTGAGGGACATTTAGGTTCTTCCCAGATTCTGACTATTATGAATAAAGTTGCACAAGTGTCTTTGTGGTATGACTGAGCATTCTTTGAGTGTATGCTCAAGAATGCATCTTAAGGTAGAGAGTCCCAATTTTCTGAGGAACTGTCGAATTGATTCCCAAAGCAATGATACTAATTTGCACTCCCACCAGCAATGGCTAGAGTTCTCTTTGCTCTGCATCTTTGCCAGTTTTGTGCATTTGATCTTAGCATTTCTGACAGGTGTAAGATGGAATCTCAGGCACATTTTGGTTTGCATTTCCCTGATGACTAAGGATGAACATTTCTTTGTTTCTCTGCTGTTCGTGATTCCTCTGTTGAGAATTCTCTGTTTAGAGCTGCACCTCATTTTAAATCAGATTATTTGATTTTTGATGTCTACTTTCTTGATATATATATCTATTGGGTATTAGCCCTTTGTCAGTTGTGTGGTTGGTGAACATCCTATACCATTCTGTAAGCTGTTGTTTTGTCCCGTTGACAGTGTCCTTTGCTTTACAGAAACTTTCAGTTTCACGCTCTTAGTACCTGCACAGGAAGTTGTCTCCCCTGCCAATGTGTTCAAGGCTATTTCCCACTTTTTCTTCTATCAGTTCAGTGTACCTGGATTTATGTTGAAGTCATTGATTCACTTGGACTTGAGTTTTGTGGAGAGTGATAGATATGGATCTATTTGGATTCTTCTGCATGCCATCATCCAGCTTGAGCAGCATCATTTGGAGAAGATGCTTTCTTTTTTCCATTGTATATTTCTGTTTTTTTATAAAAAAAATCAGGTGTTCATAGGTGTGTGGATTTATATCTGGGTCTTTCATTTTGTTCCACCCATCTGCCTGCCCATTTTTCTGCCAATAGTGTATGTTTGTGTTACTACAGCTTTGTAGTATGGTGTGAAGTCAAGGTTGATGATACCTTTTATCATTCAGGATTGTTTTTGCTATTTGCCTTTTGTTTCTCTTATGAGGTTGAGTATTGTTCTTTCAAGGTCTGTTAAGAATTGTGTTGTGGGACAGAAAATACTTCTAGCTAGGGTCTGTAAAGAATTGTGTTGGAATTTTAAAGGAGATTTCATTGAATCTGTAGATTATTTTTGGCAAAATGGCCATTTTTACTATGTTAATCATACCGATCCATGAGCATGAGAGATCTTTCCATATTCTGATGTCTTCAAGTTCTTTTGTCAAAGACTCGAAGTTCTTGTTATACAGGTCTTTCACATGTTTGTTTAGAGTTACTCCAAGATACTTTCTATTATTTGTGACTATTGTGAAGGCTATTGTTCCTCTGCTATCTTTCTCAGGCAGTTTGTCCTCTGCATATAGAAAGTCTACTGGTTTTCTTTGAGTTAATCTTGTATCCAGCTACTTCACTAAAGGTATTTATCAGCTGTAGGAGTTCCCCAATAGAAATTTTGGATTTGCTTATGTATACTGTCAAATAATCTGTGAATAATGGTACTTTGATTTCTTCCTTTCTAATTTGTATACCTTTGATTTCCTTTAGTTGCCTTATTGCTCTAACTAGAACAGCGAGTATTATATTGAATAAATATGGAGAGAGTAGACAATCTGGTCTTGTTCCTGATTTATGTGAACTTGCCTTGAGTTTCTCTCCATTTAATTTGATGTTGGCTATTTGGCTTGCTGTAAAATGCCTGTATTTTCTTTAGGTATATCTCTTGTATCCCTGACATCTCCAAGACTCTTATAATGGGCTGTTAGATTTTTGTCAAGGACTTTTTCAGAATTCAATGAGATGGTCATGTGAGTTTTTTTTTTCTTTCAGCTTGTTTATGTGGTGGGTTACATTGCTAGATTTTTATGTCTGCGTTTCTGGGATTGAAGCCTATTTGATCATGGTGGATGATCTTTTTGATGTGTCCTTGGATTCGATTTGCAAGTATTTCATTGAGTGTTTTTTGCATCAATGTTCATGAGAGAATTTGTTCTGTTATTCTTATTCTTTGTTGAGTGTTTGTGTGGTTTGAGTATCAGGGTGACTATAATCTCATAAAATTGATTTGGCAATGTTTCTTTTGTTTCTATTTTTGGAATAATTTAAGAAATGCTGGTATTAGCTCTTCTTTGAATGGCCAGTAGTATTGTGCACTAAAACCACTTAACCCTAGACATTTTTGTTGGGAGAACTTTAGTGACTCTTTCTATTTCCTTAGGGGCTGTAGGTCTATTAAATTGCTTGTATGATCTTGATTAACTTTGGTCAGTGCTATCTATCAAGAAATTTGTCTACTTCCTTTAGATTTTTCAATTTTATTGAGTAAATGTTTTTGAAGTTATGACGTAATGATTCCTTGAATTTTCTCAGTGTCTGTTGTTATGTCTCCCTTTTTGTTTCTGATTTTCTCAATTTGGATGTTTTCTCTGTGTCTTTCAGTTAATTTTTTTTAAACAAGGGTGTGTCTATCTTGTTGATTTTTCTCAAAGAACCAACTCTTTATTTCATTGTTTCTTTTGTATTTTTCTCTTTTTTTCTACTTTATTGATTTTAGCCATCAGTTTATTTCTTGTAGTCTACTCCTTTTGGGTGTGTTTTCTTATATTTTTCTAGAGCTTTCAGGTGTGTTGTTAAGTTGCTGGCATTAGATCTCTCCAATTTCTTTATGAAAGCATTTAGTGCTATGAACTTTCCTCTTAACACTGCTTTTATTGTGTTCCATAAGTTTGGGTATGTTGTAGCAGCATTATTTGTCATAGCCAGAACCTGGAAACCACATAAATGCCCCTCGACCAAAGAATGGATAAGGAAAATGTGGTACTTTTACATATTGGAGTATTACACAGCAGTAAACAAAATCATGACATCTTGAAGTTTGCGGACAAATGAATGGATCTAAAAAACATTATATTGAGTGAGGTAGCCTAGACCCAGAAAGACAAATGTCATATGTACTCACTTATAAGTGGTTTTTAGATATAAAGAAAAGAAAAAAACAGTCTACAATTTACAATCCCAGAGAACATACACAACAAAGAGGACCCTAAGAGAGACAAACATGGATCTAATCTCCATGGTAAGTAGAAAAAGACAAGATCTCTTGAGTAAATTGGAAGCATGGGGATTATAAAAATAAGGAACGGCAGGCTGTGTTCCCACCTGGATCCCGGCTAGCTTACCCCTGAAATAATTACACGGAAACTGAATACTTTTAAACACTGCTTGGTCCATTAGTTTCAGCCTCTTATTGGCTAACTCTCACATCTTGATTAACCCATTTCTAATAATCTGTGTAGCACCACGAGGTGGTGGCTTACCGGAAAAGATTCAGCATGTCTGACCTGGTGTCTGGCTCCATGGCGTCTGCCTCATTTCCCTTCTTCCCAGCATTCTGTTCTGTTTACTCCGCCTACCTAATTTTCTGTCCTATCAGAGGGCCAAGACAGTCTCTTTATTAACCAATGAAAATAACACATAGACAGAAAGCCCACTTACATCAGGGGATTATGGGAGAGGATAGGTGGAGAGGGGGGAGGAAGAGAGGGGAGCAGAGGAAAATATTTAGTACAACAAAAACAATTTAAAAAGAAAACAAATTGACATCTTACAAGCAATAATAGAATATAAAGCAAGAACAAATTTTGGGGGGGGTATGTTGTACACTCATTTTCATCAAATTCTAGGAATCCTTCAATTTTTTATTTCTTTCTTCCTTGACTCAGTGTTAATTCAGTTGAGAACTTCAGTTTCCATGAATTTATAGGCTTTCTGGTGTTGAGGAAATCCTGCTTTGATCTGTGGTGGTCTGATAGGATATAGGGGGTTATTTTAATTTTTTTGTATCTATTGAGACTTACCCTGTGACGTATGTCATCAGTTTTAGAGACAGTTTTGTGAAGGTATATTCTTTTGTGTTTGGGTGAAATGTTCTGTAGGTCCATTTGGTTCATAATGATTGTTAGCTCCATTATTTCTTGCTTAGTTTTTGTCTGGATGACCTGTCCATTGGTGAAAGTGGGGTATTGAAGTCTCCCACTATTAATGTGTGAGGGTCAATGTGTGACTTAAGCTTTAGTAATGCTTCTTTTACAGATGTGGGTGTCCTTGCATTTGGAGCACAGATGCTAACAACTGAGACATCACCTTGATGGGCTTTTGCCTTGGATGAGTGTGAAATGTGCTTTCCCTTCTCTTTTGATTAAGTTTGGTTTGAAGTCTATTTTGTTAGATATTAAAATAGCTACACCAGCTTTCTTTGTGGGTCCACTTTTAAAATCTTTTTCCAACCATTTATTTGAAGATAATATCTATCTTTGATGTTGAGGTGTGTTTCTTGGATGCATAAGAAGGATGGGTCCTATTTTTTTTTTTATCCATTCTCTTAGTACATGCCTTTTTTTTTTGTTGGGGAATTGAGTTCATTGATATTGAGTGACATTAATGACTAATGATTGTTAATTCCTACTATGGTGTTGTTGTTGGTTGTGATGGTAGGGTGTGTGTTCCCTTTATTTTGGTTTTGCTGGTGTGAGATTATTTATTTCCTGAGTTTGCATGGGTGCAGTTAGCTTTCTTGGGTTGGAATTTTCCTTCTACTACCTTCTATAGCACTGGATTTGTGGCTAGATATTATTTAAATTTGACTTTGTCCTGGCATCTGTTGTCTCTTGGAGTTTACAAGACATCTGTCCAGGACCTTCTGGCTTTTAAAGTCTCCATTGAGAAGTCAGGTGGAATTCTAGTTGGTCTGCCATCTCCAGGATTACCTCGGTTTGTGTTTTCTTTAACTGCTTCCATTTCCACTTTCCGATCTTGAACAGTTTTATTCGCTTACTTCACCTGATTTTTTTCCTCAGCCTTTTTTTTTCTTTTTAAAAGGAATTTATTCATTTCCTACCATTGTTTATTTTTGTTTTCCTGGATTTCTTTAATGGATTTAAGTTTTTGCTACTCTTTCCTACCTTTCCTTGGTTGCTCAGTGAGACCTGCTGGCTAGTTCAGGGATAGGTAGAAATATATACTTTTAAGAGAAGACAGAATGCTTTTGTTATAGTTATATTCACCATATACATGTTTCATAAAAACCATAAAAATAATTTTCTTCCATTTTTGCATAGGATTTTGAGGAACCGAGGACACTTTGGCAATGTTTCTGTGATGTGGCAGCTGTTTGAGAATGTTTCTCTGCAGTGTGGACAGGAGTTCTATGAGACATCAGGGACTGTTAGCTTCATCGATAGAGAAGGCTCAAAACCAATCGTTCTCCATGCTTTCCCAGATAGAATTCCTGAATTCAATGAATTTTATATCCTAAAACTTGTAAATATTTCAGGTGAGGGTTTTTTTTAAACATCTCTTATTTATCACCAAAATTTTGTAATATATGATTCATTAGAATTGTTTATAAAATCCAGATGATGGTAAAGTGTTTTATGATTATCTGATTTTAATGTCAGAGTCTCTTTCTTGGTAGAAATTGTTTTGTTTTGTTTTTGCAGTACTGGAGTCAAACCATAAGCCTATGTACGTTAGGAGTGCCCTACCATTCAGTGATCTACAGCCCTGTCTTTTTTTGTTTACCAGTTTGAGACAACAGGTGTCTTTGGTGATGTCCATGTTGGCTGGGTTTGCCATGAGATCTCACCGTCAGCACAGCATGTTCTTAAACACTGGATCCTACTGCCTGCATCTCCAGTGTGCTGAGGTTATAAGCACAAGACAATGTATCTGTCTTAGCTTTTCTTACTTATTCACTGGTGTTAGGCATAGAATCTGAGGCTCTGTGCTAATTAATGTGCTCTGCTATTGAACTTTGCCCTTAGCCTCAAACTGTTAAGAGTTTCAGTTTTATGAATGGAGGCTTGCTCTATCTCACAATTTTTGATTATAAGTGTAAAATTATTGGGGTGGGGCTGGACTTGACTGATTATGAATGAATATGCTAATTGATATTATTCATGAAATTGCCCTTCAAAATGTGGTAAAAACAATATGGTGATCCCATTATTTACTGATAATGAGTAAATTATTTAACTAGAACGTTTTCTATAAAGCATACAGCTTTTTTCTTTCTTAGACTAAAAGGTATCTAACTTCTGGCTTTCTGGTTACTCTAAATTTCTTCCTACAGGTGCTGGAGGTCAGCTAGCAGAAACCAACCTTCAGGTGACAGTCATGATTCCATTCAATGATGATCCCTTTGGAATTTTCATCTTAGATCCAGAATGTCTAGACAGAGAAGTGGCAGAAGATGTCCTGTCTGAAGACGATATGTCTTACATTACCAACTTTACCGTTTTGAGACAACAGGGCATCTTTGGTGATGTTCGCGTTGGCTGGGAAATACTGTCCGGAGAGTTCCCTGCTGGTTTGCCACCAATGCTCGACTTTTTGCTGGTGGGAAATTTTCCTAGTACTGTGCATTTGCAGCCACACATGCGACGTCACCACAGTGGAACGGATGTCCTGTACTTCAGCGGACTAGAAGGTGCATTTGGGACTGTTGACCCAAAGTACCACCCTTCTAGGAACAACACAATTGCCAACTTTACATTTTCAGCTTGGGTAATGCCTAATGCCAACACAAATGGATTTCTCATAGCAAAGGATGACGGCAATGGAAGCATCTATTATGGGGTAAAAATTCAAACAAACGAATCCCATGTAACCCTTTCCCTTCATTACAAAACGTTTGGATCAAATGTTACATATATTGCCAAGGCCACAGTCATGAAATATTTAGAAGAAGGTGTTTGGCTTCACGTTTTAATTATCCTAGATGACGGCATAATCGAATTCTATTTGGATGGAAATGCAGTGCCCAGAGGAATCAAGAGTCTGAAAGGAGAAGCCATTACTGACGGTGAGTGTCAGCTTCATAACTAGCACACCAAATCTGAAAAGATTCTCAATTTTCAATTAAAATTTCATTTTTAAAACAAAGCTAGGAACTGTTTTGAGATGTGACTCTATTTTTCTGTTACAAAGCTGTGTGCCCATGAAGATCAAGATAAGTTACGTTGAATATTTCTAGGGGAATGAGCAACAGGCTCTAGGCCAGAGCTGCGCAAGCAGACGACTATAAAACTTTGTAGGAAGGAAAGGAAAACTAGGAGCATCACTCGTCTCTCCAGTGAGTGGTCAGGATGGGGACTGATTAGCACAGTAATCAGCAAAGGTCTGGAATGCTGAAACAGCCTGCTGTGTCTGGGGATCTGTTTCTCCTTCAGGATGATCAGAAGTGAAAGGCAATGGACATTAGAAAGAATTGGATTAGGACAAAAATATTCACCAAAAATGATTACAGGCTTTATATTATTAGGAGGTGAGTGGATGAGTTCTGTGGCTTACTTTGAAGAGATAATCTTTGTTGACTTTCAGCCAAATCACATGCTCTCTCTCTGAGTAACTCACTGTAGACTGTATGTTCTTGGAAGGCCGAGGCCAGAGAATCATGAGGGACAAGCTAACCTGGGCTACGTAGCAAGTTACTAGCCTGAAGCAATAATGAGATCTTCTCACAAAACTTCAAAACCCAAAATAAAAACAAACCAACTAAACTAAGACTTGACGAATTCCAAACAAAGACCTTGAACATTAGGGATGTATCGATGGCCTGTATGCTGTCCCTGTTTTTAGAGCTCTTTCTGCTAAGACCTGCTCTGTTTCCACACTGAGTTAGGTTTGAGATGAAATGATACAGTTGGTGTTGTGTGATGTTTTACTCTTTTGACTTTTTGGGGGACCCATCACCTAGCTCCCAAAATAATCACACGCAGAAGTTTGTTCTTAGTTATGAATGCCGGGCCTTGGCTTTTCTTGTTTCTTGCCAACTTTTATTTTAACCTCAATTAACTCAAATATCTTTTGCTGCTGGGCTTTTATGTTTCTCTCTTTTTGCATACCTTTCTTTACTTATTTCTTCATGCTTACTGTGTAGCTGGGTGGCTGGCCTCTTGTGGCCTACTTCCTCTCCTTTCTCTCTTGCTCCTTCTTTTTCTTCTTCGGGCTCTGTTCTCCTCCTATTTATACTCCTGCCTGCTGGCCCCACCTATCCTTTTCCTTGGTTCACTATTGGCTTTTTATCTCTTTATTGGACCATCAGGCGCTTTAGACAGGCACAGTAGCACAGCTTCACAGATTTAAACAAATGCAGCGTAAACAAAAGTCACACACCTAAAAATAATATTCACCCACAAGTTGGCCTGTAGAAAACCATCATGTTCCTAGAATCACCACTTAATTTAGCTGGAGAAGAATTTTTAGTCCATAAAACTTTCTAGTTCTCTAGGAGTATAATCTGAAGTTTTAAAATTGGGCTTGAACTGCCCATTGCATTTTATATCAGTAAAGAATTTTAAAGTGTCATAGGACACATGTCTACTCAAATAAATGTACAACACACAAACATGGCTACGTATGTGATACATATATACACATATATAAATTATGCAGTTATCTTCCTGTCCATAAATGATTTTGACAGATGGATATGGCTTACTTTTAAGAGCATCATTTAATTTCAAAGCTGATACTGCAGTGCGAAATCACAAATCCCAGACATTACTGTGCAGGTTCCCTTTTGTCATAATGGAAGGTAATGTTTATTTGATGACTTTTTAGTTAGGCCAGAAGTTTTACTTACCAAGTATATATTTCAGTAAAATTGTCTTGCCCTCTGAATCACATTTATAACTGTGGCAGGAGCCAGCGGCTGTTGTAGCATGTAAACGCATGTGTAATTTCAGGTCCTGGAATCCTGAGAATTGGGGCAGGCATGAATGGCAGTGACAGATTCACAGGCTGGATGCAGGATGTGAGGACCTATGAGCGGAAACTGACGACTGAAGAGATTTATGAACTCCATGCTATGCCTGCCAGGAATGATCTGCACCCCGTCTCTGGGTATCTGGAGTTCAGACAAGGAGAAAGTGCCAAGTCGTTCATCGTGTCTGCCAGAGACGACAGTGACGAGGAGGGAGAGGAATTCTTTCTTCTTAAACTGGTCTCTGTCTATGGAGGGGCTCAGATTTCTGAGGCGAACACCACAGCTAGACTCAGAATACAGAAAAGTGACAATGCCAATGGCCTGTTTGGATTCACAGGAGCTTGTATACCGGAGGTAAGGTGGGAGCTCGGGGAGGTTCCTAGTAAAGCGTTCACTGTAGGCGGATTTGTCTGGGGCTGAGCTAGCTTCCAGCAGCTGAGGTAGCTGTGTTTGCACATATACATCTCAGTCCAGTTCCTGGTGGTTTTCAGCTGAAGTAGCCTTATTGAGGTGAAGCAAAAACAAAAGAGCAAATAACTCCTAGCAATTAGCTGTAAAGTTAATCACTTTAAAGGCCAAGTAATTACGTACCATATATAATTTTGCTAATATTTTGGATACCATATATGTAAATGAAATAATTCATACTGAAAGCCTGTGTGGATAATTAAAATTGAGACTTTATCTCAATTTGCATTTTGTCTTACAGGGAACACTTTAAAGTTGTTATAGGATTCTTCCGAGTTTGTTGTAATTGTTTCTTATCAACATTCTTGGCTGGCTTAATTCACAAGACTGCTTTACTGTTCTTATCGGTTCTAGCTGAGTTTTCAAAGCTACATGATCGATCGTCTCAGTGTCCTGATTAGTAACCCGAGAGTGCCTGCGGCTGCCTCACAGGTGTTGCCTGTGATATCAAACACTGTTCCCAAAACCCTGCCGGGAAACAGGAGAGCCGTTCGCCCCGCGACTTGACACCCGTAGAGTCAGATGAATGCATATGTGACTGGATGATTAAGTGAAATAGGATGAGTAGAACTGGGAAAAGTTATATGTCGCAGGACTCATTGTAGCTTACATTGGAATGCCCAGATCTCTGGAATTTCATGTTGCCTCTTAGTTTCCATGGCAACCACAAAGACGAGATCTTCAGCTGTTTTTGTTAAACTTCAGAAATACCCTATATGCTTATAATGACTGTAAATTGCTTTCACGTTTATTTATTATTTATTTGTTATCACTGCATGTGTGTGGGTGCTTGTGTGCCTGCTGTGCCTCTGAAGGCAGAGGATAACCGCTGGCAGCCAATCTTCCCCTTCCTCCGCGTGGGTCGTTAGATCAAACAGGACGTCAAGCTTGATAGCAAATGTCTTTGCCCTGAGTCATCTCTGTGCTCATAGTGCCTTTAAAGGGGTACCCAGATATCAGTGTTTACATATTCACATGATAAAGGGGGTACCCGACATTAGCGTTTACACATTCAGATGATAAATGTGGTGCCCAGACACCAATGTCTACATATTCAGGTGAGAAAGGGGGTACTAAACATCAGCATTTATATATTCAGATGGTAAAGGGGGTACCCTAACATCAACATTTACATATTGATAACGGGTGATAAAGGGGGTGATAAAGGGGGTACTCAGACATCAATGTTTACATATTCAGATGGTAAAGGGGGTACCCAGACTTCAACATTTACATATTCAGATGTTGCACTTTTCTGACAATTTGTAAGACATACAAAATATCATTGTTCTCATAGATTCTGTAGATTCTGTTCTGTTCTGTAGATTCAGAAACAGAGTTACAGGTCTGAGAAATAACTCTCCTAAGTTGAATTAAATCAGGCAGGATCAAGTCAAATGCCTGTTTAGAGCTTTGCATTTTTTAGATCTTAATGAATATCAATTTCATTGTTTTCCTCTAAGCTATTATAAAAGAACTAGAGTCTGAACCCATCTCTTGTGGTTCTTAATCTGTTTTCTTTCTCCATGTGTCTTTAAATGTCATTGTCCCTAATTTAAGAAGTTGGATAGCTTTAGCGGGGCTGTGAGAACCACAGTGTTGCATGCGATGTTATCGTCCTTAAGTTACCATCCACATCCACATCGCTGCCTGTGATGCCGGCCTTATCTGTGTCATTCCTGTCCTTTGGCTCAGACTGGCCTGCCTTGGTACAATCCAGTGTCAGGATACAGCATTCATCAGCCTCTGCCTTTTCTACCGTTTCCTCCAGGTCTTTAGCAGTAGTTACTCAAGGACACTCTCTTATTTAAAGTGACCGACGACCTTCTCAAAAACTGCTCTTCATCCACTCATTGTTTAATGTTTTTGGAGCACTGATCACATTATCAATTTCCTTCTGGCCTTCATAAATCTACTTCAATATTGCTTACATCTATATCCATCACCCAGAGAAACAGCTCTGAGCCTCAGAAAGGTCTTCTTACTCATTATTGTATCAGTAACACCAAGAATGAAGCTTTGTAGGTGTTCAGAAAACCTGGGGACCTTTTGAATACATCTCATATCAAAATGTGAAAAAGCAAACAGAAATTCAGATAATGTTTAGTTTTAGTTATGTACATAAGCAACAAAACTGGGAAAGCAAAAGCCAACACTTTGAAAATATTTAAAATTCGTGTTCTTAGTGTTCGCTGGTCTCAACCACTGTAGTCCGGCTTTCAGCGCGGGCTTGTTTCTCAGATCCTATTGATGATCTACTTAGCGACCGTTTACTATGTAGTTATGTAACTTCGTCTCAACAGATTCTACCAAGCCCTTCACTGTGGATGAGAGAATTTGTATCCATAGACCACACGACCCAAACTGCACTGAAGTTAGCTAGTCTTTTCAATCCTATATGAGATAAAATGAATGCATTGATATTTGAAAGATAAATGTTTGGTGATTAAGAGAGGAAAATCATTGAGTCTAAAAGATTAAACATTGAAATTGATTTTTAGAAACGTTACACAATTCTTATTTTTGAAATGATAAGAGAATCCTGGATCTCCTATTTTTATCATCAGTACTCGGGATGCATGCTGCTTGTGCTGCTTGTGTTGTGATTACTCCTTTCATTTTTGGACTTTTAGTGCAGTGGATGACAATGGGCTTCTCTAACATAGAAGCTGTGGGCACTTCTCGGTGAGTTTATGAATGTGCGGATTGCACAAAGGAAAATATTTGAGGAGTCTTGTTTACTGTGTGCCTCTTAAGACTGAATTTAATAGCTACTTGGTTCATTTTCAGTAGTGTTGAAAGTGATCATAATTACTTTGATGTTTCTTCTTTGCCTAGCAAGGTACATGCACACCGTGTCTCGGGAAATAGCAGGTGCTTAGTGGCTATAATAGGAAGAGTCAAATAAACTTCTGAGCAGATTGGAGCTCTGATAAGCCATATCTAATGATTATTTGGATTGCAGTTGGGATCTGTATTGAATAGAGGGCTGATCGTTTTAGACCCAGCTTGGTACCAATATCACCATGCTTTGTTATTCTGTATCATTTCTATGTTATTTCTTCTCTAACTCACTTTATAAAACCCTGTATTCCATATAATTAATTGATGAAATTACTTTTTCACAATAATTCATAGAACTTGTGAGACTCACATTTTATTTGAATTAATCCTTTGTTTTACATTTTGATACACATGGCTTAAGAATCGATTTAAAAATGGCTTGGAAAGACCACTGTGGAATGAGACACTCCTTTCATTAGCTGTGTTCTCAGTGCCTCTTACATGAGATGAATACATTCTAGTACAGTACAGCCCCTCACAAAGCCGTGCCCAAACACAACACAGAAAAAAAAAAACTCAAACTAGATTTCTAATTCTTTAGCTTCAATTTTTCTGTTTCAACTATGAAGCCCTGTTTCTGAATAAATGGACTTGAAAACTCTCCTTATTGATTACCCTTGCTTCTGGTCTTCCATTGATATGAATATTTGGCAAAATGTTGGCTAAGCACAGGGTTCTGTGGAGATGGCTTGGTGATTAAGAGCATGTACTGATACTTCAGACGACCTGAGTTTGTTCCCAGCATCCATATTGGGCGGCTTTCAACTCCTGGAAGGCACCAGGCACTTGTGTACACACACCTACACACTTAGACATATGTATCATTAAAAAGAATTAAATTTCAAAACAAAAGAGGGCACAGTGTTGAGGACTGCTGGCCGTTTGCCGCGTGAAACTGGATCAAGGTGGCTCTGAGGATTTCAGGGATCCACCCACTGGCCTAGATGCTTGAGTCAAGATTGGAAAGTCAGTTTAGATAAATATGGTAATGTTAGGTAAAACCTTTAGATATGTTTTCTATCTCTTTCTACACTTCATATACTTTGGAAAAGTTGAGGGCTTTTCCAAATGTGTCAGAAATGTCAAGTTTGTGTTACTAGGCTTCCTGACTCAGGATACCATTCTGGGTTTAGATGTCTGGTTGTGGGAGGGAAAATGAATAAGCCTGAAATTAAGTCTCTGTAGATGATGTCCTCCCCCACAGAACAGTGGAATAGTGGATACAACGTGCCCATTGCCCAGCTTCGGTAATTAACCGTTTCTCAGAACTGCTTCATCTTTTTGACCTAAGCATTTAAAACAACAAAATATCAGGGGATGCCATTTCTTTTATAATATTTGTGAATGTTAATGGTATATTTCTTTAGCCTACCATTCTAAGTGATTTGTTCCTATGGAATCTTTCACTGAAAGTTTTTAAAATATACTTTGCTGAATACAGCGCAAAGCCGTCACTTATGAGGTTCTATATGAACCTCACATACAGCATGGATTTGAACAGACTTGTGCAGGGTGTCAGGAGGACAGCAGGATTTTGTTGATGGTTTTACTAGTTGAAGGTCTAGTGTGTAAACAGAGCTCCCCTCTAGTTCTGATCCCACCTGGTCATGCTTTGAAGTCTAGAAGGGCCCTCCACACCTTCCTGGGTGAGTCTTTGCATATGTTACTCCTGCGTTTTGCTGATTAGAACGGTTGAATATTTCCATATTCAAATTAGTGGTTTACTAGCTTAGATTGTACAAAAATATCATTCTCATTAAAATTTGGAGTAATACCAAAATAGATCACTTGCTTTGCTTAGGAGGAACTGGTCAACACAATAGGACTCCGTGTGTGTGTGTATGTGTGTGTGTGCGTGTGTGTGTTTTGTTTGCTTGTGTTATTGTTTTGTTTCAGTTTAGTATTTTTTTTTTAATCGGAGAACATGAAATTGGATTGCTGGATGGTAGACTGTGAGAAAAGATGGGGGAGGCGAAAGAATATGATAAAAATACATTGTATTTATTTCTCAAATAAGAAAACATTAAATTGGAGGACAGATTGGAACAAATAAGTTGTTATTGTGTTGGAAGTTGTTTCTCCCTTGGGAGGTCACATAAATACACTGTGGGAGGGGTCAGGACATGGCATGCTGAGATTTGGAGTCCAGACCAAAGCAACTTCCAGGTCAGGGAGGTTGGGATGGATGCTAGGGGCTGGGCACTACGCCCCCAAGTTAACACCTACCATCTCACTTGAAGTGAATGCACTTGAATGGCTAGTAAAAGACTCAGCCAAGTTGCTGGCCTACGGTCCACCACTGGTAGATTTGGAGTGTTCTCCCCAGGATGTCCTATGTGCACTCAGTGCTGTTGTCAGCTTCTGAGTACATTATCACTGAACTAAGGCTCAGGAAGCCGGAAGTAGAAGTGACACTGACCATAGCTCCACAAGTTTTTCTGATTCATTGTCTGAATCTGTTTTCAACCTTCATCCTCCACACACTGCCACATTAGAGGTTTTACAATGACTGGCTTTCTGGTGAAAGATCCTCGGAGAGGAGTCTATGGGGAGTTCTCCACTTAAGAACCAGAACCAATCCACTGGATGCAAAAGCACGAGGTAGTTTATTGGTTACAGAGGCGCCTGTGGATGCTACAGCAACCAAGTTACTGAGCATGCCGGGCTGAAGGCACATTATATATTTATAGGGATTTAAGAGTTACATAAGAGGCTGCATAGCAACAAGCATTTCATTGGTTCTCAAATTGGCGGACTTAGCTCACCCCGGGAATGGCCCCATGTCTATTCTTGAATTTCCCCGAAAAAACCACAAAGCTAGATAGAGAACCCTGCAGCAAGTTGACAGTTTCGATAGAATGCCTTGAGGGTGTGGTACTCCCTCTCCTCAACCTAGTCAGCTAGTCTGCAACCCATAGATATCCTGTTTTAGCATCGGCTGGGGGCAGGGGATGACGGACTTTCCTTCTATGGCCCAGCTAAATTTCGCAGAGTCATTAGCTGAGCCTGGGGGCTTTCTTTCTATGGCTCAGTTAAGTTTCAGCAGAGTTTAACATAGTATGTGGACATGGGGGTCTTTCAAGTATGGGGGGCCCTTCACTGGGAATAATTTGACTGCCAGAAGATACACTCATGACTCCCTCCACTGAACTCTTATCTGGGTCTTCATCTTGTACCACATGACCAGCAGACTGTGTTTGCCCTGGTGTGCTTCCTCCTGTTTACTTCAGAGCCTACTGGGTTCCCGCTGCCCCTTGAAGTTCAGGATTTGTTGGAGAAAGTCTCAATGCATGCAGTCCACATGCATTAAGAAATTGTTCCACTGTTCCCTGCTAATAGACAAGTTCCAAATCAGCTTTCTTCAGCCCTACCCACCAAAGTGAGTCTTATACTGTGGGAGATATTTACCTCTGCTCAGACCAGTTATTTTCCCATTTTACAAATGTAAAACAAAGTCAAACCCAAGCCCTGTGGAGCAGATGTCCATCTGTTTAAAAGACACCAAACTTCTTGCTCCATATAATTTTGAATCATTGTCTTCAGTTGTTTAGATCAAATATTATCTTTTGCAAGAATGTACACAGATATGTTTATGCATTTTATGTATGAGCAAACAAATAAATAGATTCCAAACATAATACAAAATGCACCTTTTATTCTGTTCCCTCCACTTGAGGCAATTACTTCTTATTTATTTATTTATTTATTTGTTTGTTTGTTTGTTTACTTACTTACTTACATATGGAACCAGGGCCTTGCCGCATAACTGGAGCTGGCCTACAGCTCACAGAAGTCCTAATCTTCTGTCTTGTTTCTCAAGTGCTGGGATGATGAGCCACATATCTAGCTAGACAGTTCTAAAATATTTTCCTTTTGTGCCTTTTGTCACTCCCCAATGATTCCAACTAATATTGATACTTTTTAACCCATTTCTAGAATGTTCTTGATGTTGTGTCTGGCCTTCTGCCATTCACTACCCTGACCTGGTCGTTTGTTATATTGTGAGACTGTTGCCTTCTTTGGTCTTTCTTTATTCAGTGGAGGGTTGTGCATTGTTATATTGTGAGACTGTTGCCTTCTTTGGTCTTTCTTTATTTGGTGGAGGGTTGTGCATTGTTATATTGTGAGACTGTTGCCTTCTTTGGTCTTCCTTTATTCAGTGGAGGGTTGTGCATTGTTATATTGTGAGACTGTTGTTTCTTTGGTCTTCCTTTATTCAGTGGAGGGTTGTGCATTGTTTTGCAGAAAAGATCTTTTGCAGCCATCACCACTGGCACTGTGTCTAGCAGGCAGGAGCTACCAGTGAATGAACTACTTAGACAGGAAAGTGATTACAATTGCTTTTGCTTTGTACCTAACACCCATGGGAAGAAAACAGTGCTCTCAATTACACATCGTAAATGTAGAAATCTCCAAGCCTGTTTAGACACATGGGAAGTCATAGAACTAAGGTATAAAGAGCAGAAGGACTCAAGAAAGCACTGATTTTTATCACTGCTTTTGAATTTAAAATTCATTTCTATTCATTTACAGATTACAGAGGAGGGGTCCACCGTTTCCTGTGTGATAGAGCGAACAAGGGGCGCTTTGGATTATGTTCATGTTTTCTACAGCATCTCACAGATCGAATCGGAAGGCATCAATTACCTCGTTGACGATTTTGCCAATGCCAGTGGCACTATCACCTTCCTCCCTTGGCAGAGGTCTGAGGTAACTCCACGGCTGGGCTTCTTCTGATGCTTCTGGGAAAGTGTTTCATCCCTTTATTTATTCGTTGATTAGCAATTCCTTGGTGTTTATGCATTTTAAACTATCTGGGAAATTAGGTGTGTCTACTATTCTTTAAAACAAAAAATAATTTAGCTCTTCTGTGAGAGAAAAATTAATTTTGAATGTTAGTTTCATAAATTCTTTAGTGCTAATACAGTAAAATTAACACAGCTTGAGGATGTACCATTCCAGATTTGTTTTATTGCGTATGTTATTTACTTGCCTATTTTGAAACATATGGCCAAAGTGGGTCTTGCACTTGTCATCCTCCTGCCTCAGCCTCCTGAGTGCAGATTTTACAGATGTGTATTACCATTGCTATGTGTTTAGATTGTTATTACAGAATACTTTACCTCGGGGAGTCTGTAAACAACAGCATTTTATTGTTCACAGTGTGAAGTCATGGGATACCCAAGGGCAGGATGCCTGAAAATTCAGGGTCTTGGGAGGCTCCTGTTCTGCTTTTTACCTGTGGTGTGAAAACTGTGTCATCCGGTAGAAGGAGTAAATGAGCCCCCATGGCCTCTTTCATAAGGGCACTGATCCTGAGCCCATTCATTAAGTGTCCTTTAATACCCAGTTTTCTTCTGAAATCTCCACTCCTAACACCAACACCCTGGGAAAAAGATGTTAACTTGTGAATTTTGGGATAACACCTTCAGTTTATTAAAATAAACATTATTAAGGAGTTAATATCCTCAGATCTCTTCTTATTTTTATATGCACTTATGTGTGCACATATATGTGTGTGTGTATGTGCATATATATATATATATATATGTTTCATTGTTATTGACAATTTCAATCATACATGGTTTAGTTGGCTATTTTCCCCGAGTAGTAATTACTACCGTGCTTTTGCTTTGAACAGGTCCTGAATCTATACGTTCTTGATGAGGACGTTCCTGAGCTTAATGAGTATTTTCGGGTGACATTGGTTTCTGCAGTTCCAGGAGATGGGAAACCTGGTTCAACTCCTCTCAGTGGTGCCAGCATAGATCCTGAGAAGGAAACCACAGACATCACCATCAAAGCTAGCGATCACCCTTATGGTAAACCGCTCTCTCTGGCAATGATTGCTGCTTCTCGTGCTGTACTTGGCTTTGCTAAGAACTTCTTACAAGTGAATATGAAGTAAAACTCTCTTAAAGCCTCTTAGTGCTATCATAGATCTTGGTTGTAGAACATTGTTTATGAAAGAAAATGTAAAAATCAATTGTTGCCCTTAAACAATACATTCAGAAACCTTGCAGGGTTATTTAAAATGAAAGGTACTTTTTTATATTTATCAAAACTTCTACGATTATGATATTTATGGTGCTATGTTAATATTGAAGTAACTAAAACCTGTAAAATATGTCTTACTGGGTTTCAGAAAGTGGAGTGCTCACTATAGCAGTTTGACTCTTACACTAACAAGTGATGGTTTTAATTGGGACCTATAATGAATGTTGACAGCTTTTTATTAAAATGTATTTTGTGTGTGAATGAAGGGAAGACATCTTTGAGTGACTGGGTAGGGAATTAGAGAATCTCTTATTATGTTTTTAGAGTTAAGGGAGGGCCTTGGACCCTCCACAAGGTGATGTGCCTTATAGGCTCTGAGGATAAGATGGGGGTGGAGTGGGAGGGTGTGTGGAGGGAATGGGAGGAAGGGAGGGAGTGGGAAGTGGATTGTTATTTTTTTAAAAAATATAATAAATAAAAAAGGAAATTTTTTTAAAGAAAGTATTGCAGATTTTTTAGAGCCTTGTCAGACTGACTGTATATCAATTCTAGAATCCAGAAACTTGTCAAATATGAGTCAATATTTGGAAATACATATTTTTAAATTCCCTTAATGTTTCTCTTACTGATTGTTCAGTGGGATTAAACACTTGTCTTTGAGTAAAGACAAGGAAAATTAGCACTTTAATGTTTGACATTATGAAGGCCTAAAGTCATTCTGACATTCCTAGAAGACAGTCTCAGAGGAAACACCCTGTTCCTCTGACTCTCACAATGTTTCTGGCCTCTCTTCTGCAATGATTCCAAGCCTTTGGCGTAGGATTTGTGTTATAGATGTTATTAGTTCGGACAATTCTACATTGCTGACCGACTGAAGTTTCTATAGAGGTCTCCATCTGTTGCATAGAGAAGTTTCCTGGCTGAGTGCTGAGGACTTTGTTTACCTGTGGACATGAGGACAAACAAATAGAACCTAGTTAGGGATTATGCCGGTTTATTAAAGTGGGGCTATAGGTTTTCCTACAAGATCCATGACTTCACTAGCCCTGGTTACTGGCTGGGTTCACAGTAACAGGCCTGATTTCCTTCTTGCTTAGGGGGTCTTGAGTCCAATCACAGAGCTACAGGTTATTGCCAGGGTATGCATGCTGCACTCTTAGGATCACCGTGCCACAGTGGTTGTCAATGGTCATAGATGTCCAAGCTGGGTAGGACTATTGGTTGTTTCCCTCATACACCCTCAATAGTCACCACTAGAGAGAGTCCAAAACAATTGTGGGTGCAGCTTCTGACATTTCCAGAAGACACAAACTCATATTTTACTCACCAGCATGGCTGCCTAAACATGAGCGGAACAAGGATGGCACCAGTAGACATGTTAACGTAACATGGAAAAGCTCGTGAGGCCTCAGCACTTAGAACTACGCCCACCAAGGGGTGCTGAGAGTGGGAGAAAGTCTTCCTTAGCAAAGAGCGCACCCATTGGTTACTGAATACTACATAGTCAACTATGGAAGTTTACTGTATCATTAACGTTATACAGGCTGACAGACTATATTTATGAATTCAAGAATATTCCTATACATACATATATGTACATAGCAATAATTAATGAAAATGAGGCTATGAATTTGAAAAACAACAAGGAGGGATATATGGGAGGGTTTGGAGGGAGGAAGGCGAAAATGTAATTATACTATAAAAATAAAGGAAATTATTAAAAAGTTGAAAGGAAACTATCCCGCATCAAAAGTATGTTAATTAACTCTTTAGTAATCTTTTATGTGGAGTCCTCAGGTTCTCAGCCTGATTATAGAAAGGACTGTACGAGATTGCTTCAGCTGCGTAAGAAATGCTCCACAGATGAGTAAGAAACCCCTGTCTCTGTCTCTCCCAGGCTTGCTGCAGTTCTCCACAGGGCCGCCTCCTCAGCCTGAAGATGCAATGAGTCTGCCTGCCAGCAGCGTGCCACACCTCACCGTGCAGGAAGAGGATGGCGAGATCTGTCTACTGGTCGTTCGTGCACAAGGACTGCTTGGCAGGGTCACGGTGGAGTTTAGAACAGTGTCCTTGACAGCATTTAGTCCAGAGGACTACCAGGTATATCACTAAGAATTTGAATTTTTTTTTTTAATTTTATGTGTACCTGGGCACCATGTTTATGCCATCCCCACCAAGGCCAGAAGAGAGCCTTGGATCCCCTGAAACCAGAGTTACAGAGAGCTGCCAACATGTGGGTCCTCAGGATGAACAAGTGCTCTTAACTGCTGAGCCCTTTCTTCAACCTATCAGCACACCTTTTAAAGCTGTATTTGTACTCCTGAATTCGAACACAGTCCTCACAGAGGGTTGGAAGTGTCTTGCATCACATAAGGACCCTATCGAACAAGAAATAAAGCACCGGTTATTTTATGACCTTTTAAATTTGTGTAAGTTGGCAAGGTTATTGCAGTGGAATATGACGCAGATATCATCTACCATATTGTATGTTACACTCATTGTAGTTTTCCCTGTGTAGTTTGTTATAATGGCATCATTTTGGCTGGATACATGTAAAAATATGATTCTTAACTATTTCAAACTCTCTATGAAGGTCCACTAGGTAAAATCAAAATTTCGAAGATATTATGTGTCCATGTTTCTTTCAATTCTATCATTTTTTTTTTCTAAAGGAGAAACAACATGACACTTTAGTATGGTACTAAGTATCTAGAAATGGATAGTACCAAGGTTTGACTTGACTTCTATATTTGTGATGGTGGAAACTCATGTTTCCTACCTTTAATTTCTTTATCTATGAAATGGTGATGTCTTCATTGAGCAGGAACACCGTGGAGATGAATGGCAACACTGTTTGTGTTGTTCACTGTGCATGGCACATGTGTAGTAACATTCAATCACCACTACCTGCTCATAGGGTTGATAAAAGTACTTTGTAAAAAAATGGCTAGAATTTCTTCTTGAGAATCCTTCTCAAGAAAGATATTACATACTTGAATATTTATTGATTTGCAGGTAAGCTTTCAGTATTAGTTCTTGCCCCTCACCTTCCTCAAGAGTCGACTTTGTATCTGCTCTTCCTTCTGGGCCATGGAAACCCTGGCTAGCTGAACTCCTTTCTTTTCACTTCTAATCCAGTTAGCTCTGGATTCAGAGAATTCTTCTTCCACTAACTCTTCTTAGGAAATGGTTATTTCTTTTTTTTTTTTAAGCAAGTATTGTATCTTTAATGAGGCTGTATATAGCTCATTCTCAAGGTGTATCTTCCTGTTTTAAAGCATTCTCTGCATTTTTAAAGCAACACTTGGGTACTCATATTAATAATCTTTAATTTCTGAGTAGCCGAAAGAACCACAGCTTCTGATTTTATTATCACTTTCTATGATAAATGAAACAAAACAGAAAGCCTATGCAGTCCTTTGTGACAGATAGGAAGTGTGTGTCCTGGGAGACAGTTCTTAGTAGTTCCAGGGGGTACTGAAGTCCTGGTTGGGACAACACCACTTTTAACTACTTATTTTTATTTAGCTCTGATAACTTGATAAGGTTTGCCTTCATTAATTCTTGTGATGCATCATCTATCTCTGGTCTTTAATATCATAGATTAATTTAAAATATAGTTCAAGGAAAGGTCCCAGGAGTGATCACATATGGGAGAAGAAACAACTGAATTTCAAATATTGTTGTTCTTAATTATATTCTAATACCCAAGTGACAAGTGAGCCTGCCTCCTAAGTCTTTCATCCAGCTGTTTTCATTCCTTTTTTTTTTTCATTTGTTTGAGAATTTCATACATGAGTGTAATGTGTTTGGTCAAATACACCCATGCTCTCTCCTTGCAAACCTAAATCAGCTCCACATTTTTACCTCCCAACTTCATTATTATTATTATTATTATATTTGCCATTGAATCCATTTAGTGCTGCAAGCATGTGCATAGGTGTAGGGACCTCCTCTGAAACTATGGCCTCTCCAGGCCATAGCCAAGGGAAAGTGGTTCTCCCTCTCCCAGATGCTCTAAGTGGCCAACAAGAATTAGGACCATGACTAGTTATCTATGGGATTATATCTTTAGATAATGTCTAGGCTGTGTTCTGTGAGTGGTGGCTCTGATTTCTGGTAGGCCGAAATCAGAGTTTTCTGCTGATTTCTGAAGTTTAGGAGGAACAGTGTAGATGAAACAGGGGCCAACTAGTAATGTGGTATAGTTGAGAAGGGCCCAAGTGTTGGGAAGGGCCGACCTGTCAAAGGGACTTCAGGAAGGCCATTTTCTCTGTGACATGGAGGGCTAGGTGTGGTGAAAGAAGACATGTCCACACTCTTTCATCTCTGCAAATTATTTATTTATTTATTATGTATACAGTGTTCTGTCTGCATGTATGCCTGCAGGCCAGAAGAGTGCGCCAGATCTCATTACAGATGGTTGTGAGCCACCATGTGGTTGCTGAGAATTGAATTCAGGATCTCTGGAAGAGCAGTCAGTGCTCTTAACCTCTGAGCCATCTCTCCAGCCCTCATCTCTGTAAATTTTAATTAAAATTTTGATATGTATTGGTGTTTTGCTTGCATGTATGTCTATTTACCATGTGCATGCCTGGTGCCCACAGAGGTCAGAAGAAGGCACTGGGTCCCCTTGGACTGAATCAAGGGTGGTTGTGAGCTGCCACGTGTGTGCTGGGTCCTTTGGAAGAGCTGTTAGTGCTCCTAACTGCTGAGTCCCTAACGCTCCTTTTAGAACATTTTCCAAGGAGTCTTACTGGTCTTGGCTGCTTTAGAATCTCAGTCATGTAGAGTTAGTGCCATGCATGTTCTCCATGTAGAATAAGAGAGTGAGCACGCGCATCGGCGCCTTTGCCTCTCCTGAGAGCTCAGATTACTAACAGCTATAGAAGGTGAAGTGCACGCGCTCACACAGCTGACACCAACAATTTAAATGGCTTCCAATTTGCAGCTGTAAACTCAAGAAGAAAGTGGTTTTGTCAAATAATTGAAGAGTTTTCTTATTCAACCTGAAGCAGTTTTGTAAGAATCTGAGGTGTTGGCTGGCTTTCTCATTTTCTTTCACTATTTCTTTATGAATAAAAAGTGAATAAGACATAAGCCCATTTACTTATTTAGTTAGAAAATAAGTATTCTTTAGGGCTTGGGAATCATCTCCTTGGTGGAGCATTTAATTATGTGCACAGTCTTGGGGTCAGTCTCCAGCGTCACAAATAATAATCAACCACATGTGTTTAGGGCTCGTATTATGAATTTTCATATTAGTTATATGAGGTTCAGTTTTTCCATCTCAAAATTTATGACAATTTGATATATAGTAAACATTTTCCTTTATCTGTTTTACACAAAGAACAATTGTAACATGATGTATCAATTTCGTTTCTGTTTCAGAGTGTTGCTGGCACAATAGAATTTCAACCAGGAGAAAGATACAAATATATTTTCGTCAACATCACTGATAATTCCATTCCTGAACTGGAAAAATCTTTTAAAGTTGAGTTGTTAAACTTGGATGGAGGAGGTAAGACGGGTATTTGCTTGTCTGCCGACCTTGATGCGACCAGACAATGCAGCTCAAGGGTTCCTTCGCGTCACTCACAGTACGGCTTCACTCAGTGCCAAATTCCTGCTGCCGTTCACATTGGCTAACCCCAAACCACCAGCTATTGACCTTTTGTTTGAATTTTCTTAATGTGTACACTAGAGCCATCTCCAGATAGAATGTAGGCGTCTATAAGCACAGTCCAGAAGATGATTATAGGGAAACCAGGCCTGTAATGTCTTATTCTTCATTCTAATGAACAGAAAACCAAAGGTCTCAGCAGTTTAAACTCAATGCACTGGCAACATTTTCTGTTGTAAAATGAAGCTGTTCATGGTGGTTATTCCACTTAGGTGAGCTATTTTTATGTTTATTTTTGAAATATAAAGAAAATAAACACATTAGTATTTATCAGGTGTGCTGGTTAGGCTGTGATGGAAGACACATAGTATGTACCTTTGGTACATTTAAGAAAGGTAGTATTTTTGTGGGCATTTCCTTCTACTACCAAGCCTGGCTTTATCTCATCGTTATTAACATCTGCATCATTTAATGAAGAAAATCATAGTATAGGAAGCTTTCAAACTAAAAGTCTAGGTAGGACAAATACATCACAATTGTCTTTTTGTATGAATAAGATTGGGGGTAAGTAAGCAAATTTCCCCTTTCTTGTGTTCCTTAACCTAAGTGAAGAAAAAGGGCACCAAGCCAGTGCTTGGGAACAGAGTACATACTCAATAAACGGTGCCACATATTGAATGTCTAAACAGGAAAGAATACAACGGAAGGTTCATGTACAAGCACCTGTGTTGTCTAGAGACAAGTTCACATGCCACAGCAGCTCTTTAAGCCAGCAGTTTCTTTAATGAAAAGATTAACATGCACTATTTAAAGTCGCCGGCTGTATCACTTAAGAATACTTAGGCAATATAAAGAAAATGTCAGTGATTGCTAGTAGTATTAGTAATAGTGAATCATCAAGGGCCGGTTGTGATGTCACATACCCTTCGTCTGAGCACTTTGGAGACATAGACAGATGGATTGCTGTTTCGAGCCCCTGGGCATGTGGAGTCTCTCAAAAAATATCATCAAAATTTTACAGGTCTGGGATCAATCCCAAGGCCCTGTGCATACCAGAGAAGTGACTGCCCACTGAACAGCATCTCATTCCTTGATCATCAAACGTAACTGGGATATTTATCACTACAGTAAGACTTGAGAGTTTATGTAGAAACATTCCTCAGATATTTAGAATATGCAGTTATATTCTAACTGGTGATAGATTCTCATTTGTAGTTTCCTAGGAAGAAGTAGTGATAGGTAAATTAAATTTTCACTAGTGAGTTGAGGATAGGAGGGAAAGTGGTCTAGACATCGACTCTTTTCTGTATTCATTGTTAGGAACTGTGCAATAAGTGAAGCAGTTTGCAGAGCTAATACCTTGTGGGTCAAGAGAGCACTCCGTGTGCGGTACCGTTTGGTTCCTAAACTTGATTGGGGATGCTAACCATGACCTTAAGAGATGTTTGATTCTTATCAGCGTATATGTGGCATTGAACTTTACACTTCTTTCTTACGACTTCAGGACAGTGTGGGAACAGTCATGAACTGTATAGTTGCTGGCAATCCATTCTGTCTCTGAGATGCTTTTAGGCCATGGGTGTGTTATAAATTCTCAGGCCTGGCATATTCCAGTCTCTTTTGAGGGAAGGACAAAAACCAAGACAGACCTTAATCTGTCAGTTAAGGATATTGGTAAATGTGGCTTGCTTTTCTTACTCTGCTTGTTCGTTTCAGTCTTCATTGCCCTTCCTTTCTTTGTTAATATTTTGAAAAATCATGGCTGGAGTATCATATATATGAGACATGAATGTATAACTATTTTATACTTATTACACTTCTATATTCTCAGCATTATATATTTTAGGGTATTGTTTTAAATATGTTTTTTAAACTTTGCGAGATCTCTGTAAAACCCAGCACCTTTTGCAGGCGAGAAAGTTGAGACCCCGAGGAAGTGAAGTGTTTTGTTGACTGGTTACTACTGATATCCCTATACCAGGGTTAAAAGAGAAACTTTCAACTGATGATCTAGGACTCTTCCTACAAATTCAGTGTCTAATGGGCAATTAAGTTTGAGGATGGTAAATGTGGGGTTTGGCTGTGTGGATGGGGAAATGTTTGATGCATCTCCCTCGTTTGAATTGGTTGTGATTGACAAAGTGACCTTCGCTGGCTTATAAGTCTAAATATATGATTATATGCACAGATATTATCAAAAATTTAAAAATGCTATGGATTAAAATTGCAGCGAAGGGTAAAAATTTCCAAATCAAATTATTTAGATTATTGAACATGAAAAATATTAGTTACTAATTAATTATTTGGAGCTTTTCCCAAAACTAGAAAGATTTAGTAATTTTATACATGTTACATATCATCATACAAAATGACCTATTGTCTGCAGAAGAATGTACATGCTTGCCGGCTATTACTGCATTTTCTTCTTTTCTTGATACATTTTAAGTGCTCTTAATTTTCTCCTTGTGTTGCTGTGTGTTGTGTGCGCTGTGTCTGTGTGTCTCTCGTGAAGAACTCTTTAGGGTTGATGGCAGTGGTAGTGGAGCAGGGGACATGGATTTCTTCTTCTCGCCTATTCACACGCATGGTAAGCAGCTGTCCCAAAGTCCCTTTCTAGTATTTTTATTTTAGCTTCTCATTTCAAAGACAACAATACTAACCACGCACTGTCATCTTCAGAAACTAGATAATCCTTTGTGTGTTTTCACTCATTAACCAGCACAGCAGCTTTATGAAGATTTATCTCTCAGTGAAAGAGACAAAAACCCCTTCTTGTCTGCTTCTGGTGACCAGGCACCCCTCAGCACATGGGCCCGACAGGGTTTGCTGATTCTGAATGAAGGGAAACTCTGCTTGTATAGCATTATAAATGAATTATTGTTGAGAACACTTTCCATGGCTTACAATGCCTGTAAAGTGATCGATGGAACGTTTGCATTTTCAAGTTAAACCATCCAACTTATTTTCAGTGTAGAGAATCATATACAAATGGTCCTCAGCATTTTCCGCAGTAGTTTTCTCGTATGTGCAGAGAATTTTTAAGATAGCTACCTTGTGAAGGATCACACTTCTATCCCTCAACTACCCCCTTTCCTAATGTCAGGCTTTGCATGTTGGCCCCAGAGTGCATGTTACTCCTGCTAATACCCATCAATGTATCATATCGTGTCTGTAACTGTTGCTTTTAGGATTGTACATTTTCTTGCTTTCAGGCATTAATAGTAATAGTAATAATAATAACAATAAACATGCTAATTAGGAGCACATTGAGTGCCCCTTTAGGCTTTAGAATCTTTGCCACTATAGGCATGGATTACTTGGGATCTAAGGAAACTCATCTATAATAATATGAGGAGGCTTAGCATTAATGCACATTAGAAACTAAAGGTACTGCATTTACATGCGTTAAAGCCCCAGAGAGGCCATTGTACCAGTGAGAGACGAGTCGCTTTGGCTTCTTCAGAGGTCAGCATGGTCGTGGGAGACCCTCCTCACAGGGCTTTGTGTGGGAGAATGTGCTTTCAAAGAGAAAGAAAAAGGAAAACAAATTTTCCCTGTTCATCTCCAAGTGCTTCAGCAGCCCTTGCTGCCAGAGCAGAGAAGGGTCGTGAAGGCACAGGGATGTGTGGCAACCATCTGTGTCCCCCTTTCTTCCTAAAACCAATTAGCATGTGCTTCATGAATGGAAAGCCTTTTCATTTTTTCCAATAGTTGTTCATTGGCTTTTATGGTGGTTTGTAAAATACTGATTAACATTTTTTTTTCTATTTGTGGGATTTGTTCATGCAGCTAGTCTAGGAGTGGCTTCCCAGATTCTGGTGACAATTGCTGCTTCTGACCACGCTCATGGGGTGTTTGAATTCAGCCCCGAGTCACTCTTTGTCAGTGGAACTGAACCAGAGGATGGGTACAGTACTGTAGTGTTAAATGTGAGTACTTCCTGAGACACTCCCAATCTTAAAACGATGTAATATACTAGTAAGACATGCTTTTCCCTTTTTTTAAATGTGTAAGTGGTTTAGGGTGAGCCTACAGGTAGCAAGAGAGCAGATAGCTAACCAGTGATTTAGTGTTTTGGTGTGGTTGCGTTTCCATAGAAATTCATTTTGTGATTTTGAGGGTTCCCTACCTTTTTAGAGAATATTGTCCTTGGATTGATGGAGGCAACTTGGAAATAAAATAAAGCAGACAGCCATCTCAGGAAGGAAGCAGAATTGTTCTTTAATCAGAACAACAGAAGGGCTTGGACGTGGACGTGAGACCATGAGAGCATGGCATAGACCTCTTGGGGTTTTATAGGAAGGGGGCGGGGACCTTGGGGATGGGAGAGTCCATCTTCAAGTCTGTCCCCTGCAGTGTGGAGCGGTAGACAGTGCTGGGTTTGGTATGCTTAGAGCTTCTCGGTCCCCTTGAGGCATTTGAATCCTTACCCTTCACGGTGGACATTTGCTCTAATTCTGTCTCGTAGATTTCTGCATTAGTTCAGATAGACTGTGGCAGCAAATGTTTCAAAATCTCCGTGTCTTAGCACAAGGAACACATTGCTTCTGGGCCCTATTGAGACAAATGACTTAGCAGGCAAAGGCACTTCCCGTCAGGTCTGACAACCGGAGTTCAAACTTTGAACGTCCACGGAGGTGGGAAAGAACTGACCCCTGGAAGACACCTCTGTCCTCTACACTCTCACCAAGGCACCCCCAAACCAGCATACAGCCAAATAAACGGGGAAGCTACTTTTAAGAGAATTTTTTGTTTCTTCTTCCTGTCCATCCAACCAGAGCTGACCAGAGGACTCTGATTCATCAGTCACTTTAGGAGTCAAAGATAACTTCTCTCCATCAAAGCATGGTTGGGGGTTGTGAGTGTTGAGAAAGAAGTGACTTAGGTTATTTCTGTAAGGGAATTGCATCACCAAGTGGTTCTATGCCACCTCATATAGAAGAAAAGGAAATCCGAAAGATTGTGAATAGTAAAATTACCACTAATATTTGGTTTTGGGCCTGCTCTTCTGGGTTGTAGCAGGCACTGAGAAGGATTACATTGGGAACTGGCCCAGCAGAGCTCAGGCTCACTCAGCTTCCTCGCTTCTCATGGAACAGCGAAGAAAGGTGTGCAAGCACGTCCTTCTGTACTCCTAAGCAGCTTTTTCCTGTGTGAAGAAAGGTGTGCACACACGTCCTTCTATACTCCTAAGCAGTTTTTTTCCTGTGTGAAATAATTGAATAAATCTGCTGTGAAATTAGTTGAACAACTATAGAAAGAACTTAGGACCAAAAGTAAGAAAAAGTAGCATACCTCAATAAAATTATTGTCTCATTTTATTTTGAGTTGAAAATAATATTTTAAGTACAATTAAAATTATTATTAGGACTAATAAGTTAGAATTTCTTTGGAGCTATTTTAAGCTTTTCATTCTTAAAATATTGAAGCATTTCATCTAAATAACTTTTCTGAAAATGTTACTGTTATACTCTTTACAGCAGAGGCTGCTCCACCTTTTTCAGTAAGTGTAAAGAGTATCTCGTGTGTGCACATAAATAGAACACATTGTCAGCTACATTTAATTCATTGTTGACATGTGTTATAAATTCGCTGAAGGTACCAGCTATGATGTACTTGGGAGTCGAACATTTTATGTCATGTGTGGTTTCTGCCATAGTGCCTCTGCCTCTGTCTCTGCCTCTCTGTCTCTGTCTCTCTCTCTCTCTCTTTGTCTGTCTTGGTTTTTCAAGACAGGGTTTCTCTGTAGCTTTGGAGCCTGTCCTGGAACTAGCTCTTGTAGACCATGCTGGCCTCGAACTCACAGAGATCCACCTGCCTCTGCCTCCCGAGTGCTGGGATTAAAGGTGTGTGCCACCACTGCCCAGCATCATCGTCTCTTTTTATACACCCTCCATATGTAAGGTGCCTCGAGGAGTCAGGGATCGGTAGTACACGTCTTTACCTTTAAGGACCTCAAGTCTCGAGAACTGGAAATGAAATGAAAGTTAAAATCATAAGTTAATGAAAACTAAAAGTTCTTCGTGGCACTGTTATGAACTTAAACACAATTGTTAAATCTGTCTTCCAGCTTCTCTTTTAATGCTTAAATGTTTCTTAGGTCACACGAACTCAGGGAGCCCTGTCGCATGTAACTTTGCATTGGAGCGTAGACTCTGACCTGCATGGGGATCTCGCTGTCACCTCTGGCAACATCACGTTTGAGATTGGGCAGAGAACTGCATGCATCACTGTGGAGATATTGCCAGATGAAGAGCCAGAGCTAGACCAGGCGCTCACCGTGTCCATCCGCAGCGTCTCCAGTGGCTCGCTGGGAGTCCTTACTAATGCCACATTGACAATTTTGGCTAGTGATGATCCTTACGGGGTCTTCATTTTTTCTAACAAAACTAGACCTGTTAGTGTTGAAGAAGCAACCCACAATGTCACATTGTCCATAATAAGGTTGAAAGGCCTCATGGGAGAAGTTGTGATCTCATATGCAACTATAGACGATATGGAAAAACCGCCTTATTTCCCACCTAACTTAGCTAGAGCAAGTCAAGGAGCAGACTATATATCAGCTTCTGGATTGGCTCTTTTTAGAGCTAATCAGACTGAGGCAACAATTACTGTTTCAATCCTGGATGATGACGAACCGGAACAGTCAGAATCTGTGTTCATTGAACTAGTCAATTCTACTTTAGTAGAGGGAGTACAGAATCGCCCAAGTAAGTATCTATTAGTGTGTTATTCTTAGAGGTAAGACAATGAAAATGAAAAACTTAAATTGTGTATAACAGAAAATTCTACAAGGAAGGTAAGATCAAAGTTAAGTAACGCTACCTTTAAACAATTCTCTTTATTTAGGTTATGTGTTTGTGTGTGTGTGCCCAAGTATGTGCATGTGTACCACATGTGTTCAAAATAGGGCAGCACATCACCTGGAACCTGAGTTACAGGTGGTTTTGAGCTGCCCAATGGGGTGCTTGGAACCAGTCAAGTCCGTCCCAGAGCAGCACAGAGCAATCCTTACCCACTGAGTGCTCTTACCCACTGAGCTCTCTCCTCAGCTCCAAGTGCTATCTTTGGAAGTCACCAGTGAAAGATTTTCTTTAAGACAACTGGAAATGGGGCGTATTTTTCCTCAGAAATCATACTTTAAAAGAGTAGTTATGTCCCCAAAGTACGTTTGGGAAGTTCTGTGTCATGGTTATGTAACTGACCTAGTGTTGTTTTGTTGCTTCAAACTCTTCTGCAATGAGTCAGAAGAGCCCATATTATAGTTCTTGTGGCCACACTGTGAGCTTCTTTCACACTGGTCCACTTCTGCCAGACTTCCTCATCAGCAAATGTGTGCAAGACGAGGAGAAAGGGCTGTTCAACTATAGGAACTGAGAACTTGTGGAGCTCCACGGGGTAGGAATTAAGATCCAGATCTGCCTGTTAAAATACGCTGCAATATTAACTAAAAACTCCCTGCAGTCAGTGTGCTCACCTTGCCTGGGTCAGTGTCGCATAAGGTGGACAGCAGTCTTCTGAACCAACCGTAGGTGAGCGCTGCAGAAGAAAGTGTACAGATTTCAGGCTCAAACTTTTTCACGAAATACCTCTGCTTTTCTTCTAGGATAGATTAATAGAATCAGTAATAATAGCAAAGAAGTTGAAATAAAACTAAATAACTAGTCTTATTAAGTAAAAATTATAAAGCACATGTTGTTTTTCAAGCAATTTGTAGCTCATTGAGATTGAAATAAAACCAAAGGAATGGCTGCATATAGCAGTGGCATGGAGCTGTGTTGAGATCAGAGGACTTTGTTCCATTGTACAATAATAACTTGTTGGGCATAATCTTTAAAAGCTCCATTCCCTTATATAATTAGGAAATAATAGGAGGGTAGATAATTTATTTATAATACATATGGGGATTGCATGTGGTGATTGACGTAAAGAGTAACACAGTGTCTGCTGTATTGTAAGCTTCCAGTAATCGTACTTGTTAGTAGCCCAGCCACTGAGAACCCTTGCGTTGTTGGGATGGGGGAAGTAGTCAGCACACCTTTTTATGGAGAAATACAGCCCAGCTATTATGTAGGCCAAAGAGTAGACAAGTGCAAAGTTGAGAGGGGGAGGGAGAGAAAACCACCGATTTTAATAGACAAAAACTAGTATGAGGTCTCGCAAGTTTTCATTGAATGTGGTCATTATGTTTATAAATGTGAGCAGTCTAAGAGTATTGGAAGTAGGGTGCCCACTGGTGGAAAATTGCAGGCATTACACATGGCCTTCTGAGATTTTACCTCTGGAGGAGAAAAGGAATATAGTATGTTTCTTGGTTATGTCTGACAAGCACTAATATAAGATCTTAGGTAATTTCATTAATGCCTTTATTGCATTATTTCATTATCTGTATAAATGTGTGCATGTTTCTGTGTATATGCATGTATATATGCAATCCAAATATATCAATTATATATACAAATGCATCAAATATATTATGCTGGATAACTTTCTGCCTATTTGACACAAGCCATAGTCATCTGAGAGGAGAGAACCTCAACTGCAAAAATGCCTCTGGAAGATCCAGCTGTAGGGCATTTTCTTCATTAGTGATTGATGGGGAGTGCCCAGCTCATTTTGGGTGGTGCTATCCCTGGGCTAGTGGTCCTAGGTTCTATAAGAAAGCAGACTGAGCAAGTCATGAGAAGCAGACCTATAAGCGGAATTCCTCCATGGCTTCGCATCAGCTCCTACCTCCAGGTTCCCACCTGGCTTGAGTTCCTGCTTTAGCTTCTCTCACTGTACTGTGACTCAAGGTATGTAAGCCAAATAACCCTCGGCAAGTCGCTTTTGGTCCTTGTATTTCATCTTAACAATAGTAACCCTGCCTAAGGCATATATACAATTCAGATATATCAGCAGATGGATAGAAAAAAAAGTGCACACATTATTATTATTTGCATAAAGGTATTATTAGTTGCTTCAAAAATTACACTTGGATCATCAGTGTCAAATGCTCATTAAAATATCCTTACAGTCTAACTGTTACTTTGATAATGTTTTTAATTTCTAGAGTATGTGTTAAAAGAGAGCAGAAAGTTACTTTTAGCTTTGATTTTTATTCCCAGTGCCCAGATTAAGGCAGAAAGGTATACATATTTAGACTTTTAAGAACGTAAACAGGGGCGAGAATAAGAATTCTGTCGGATTCCTCATGGCTGTCAGTCAGGTCTTCAGATTCGCGGTATTGCCTCTTATGTCTTTCAGTTCAGCATTCCCCACGCCTTGGGCCCAAGGTGGAGACTGTGGCCCATCTCATTATTGTTGCCAACGATGACGCATTTGGAACAGTGCAGCTGTCAGCACCAGTTGTTCGTGTAACAGAAAATCACGTGGGACCCATTATCAATGTGACTCGAAGGGGAGGGGCGTTTGCAGATGTCTCTGTTAAGTTTAAAGCTGTGCCGATCACTGCAGTCGCTGGTAAGAGAAGATGGGGGAGGCGTGCTGTGTCTCAGGGTGTGTCCCAGAGTGACTGGTGTCTGTGAGCAACAGTATCTCAAAGACGTGATAGGACGACCTGTGGTGCTGGCACACGCCTTTAATCCCAGCATTCGGGGGAGGCTCGTTGTGAGTTCAAGGTCAACCTGATCTACAGTTTCAGTTCCAGGACAGGCTTCAAAGCTGTAGAGAAACTTGACTCCAAAAACCAAAGGCAGTGGGAGGGAGGATGGACAAAAGAGGGAGAGAGATTGCACACACATTTTTAATTGTTTTTATTGCAATAAACATTTTTCTCCGCTTCCATTCCTGTCTTCCCCCTCCTTTTCTACAATCTACCTTGACCCCCAATTTTCTCAGGAGACCTTGTCTTTTTCTCCTTTCTATTTATATCCATGTATGTCTCTCTAAGGGTCCTCTTTACTGTCTAGGTTCTTTGGGGTTGTGGATTGTAGGCTAATTTTTCTTTGCTTTATGTCTAAAAGCCATTTATGAGTGAGTACATATTATACTCTTTATATTGTCTTTCTGGGTTTGGGTTATCTCACGCAATATGATTTTTTCTAGATTCATCTATTTGCCTGTAAATTTCAAGACGTCATTATTTTTTACCACTGAGTAGTACCCCATTGTGTAAATGTACCACATTTTCTTTATCCATTGGTCCATTGAGAAGCATCTAGGTTGTCTCCATGTTCTGGCTATTACAAATAATGCAACTATGAACATAGTTGAGCTTATGTCCTTGTGGTATGAATGAGCTTCCTTTGTGTATATACCCAAAAGTTTTATTGCTGGGTCTTGTGGTAGATTGTTTCCTAATTTTCTGAGAAATCACCATAGTGATTCCAAAGCAGCTGTACAAGTTTGCAGTGCCACCAGCAATGCAGGAGTGTTTCCCTTACCCCACGTCCTCTCCAGCATAAGTTGTCAGCAGTGTTTTTTATTCTGGCCATTTTTACAGGTGTAGGATGGAATCTCAGAGTTGTTTTGAGTTGCACTTCTCTGATGGCTAAGGATATTGAGCATTTCCTTAAGTGTCTTTTAGCCATTTTATATTCCTCTGTTGAGAGTTCTCTGTTTAGGTCTCTATCCCATTTTTTATTGTATTATTTGTTCTTTTGATGTCAAGTGTCTTGAGTTCTTTGTATACTTTGGAGATCAGTCCTTTGTCCAAAGTAGGATTGGTGAAGACCTTTTCTCATTCTGTAGACTGTCATTTTGTCTTGTTCACCATGTACTTTGCTTTACAGAAGCTTCTCCATCTCAGGAGGTCCCATTTATTAATTGTTTCTCTCAGTGTCTGGACAACTGGGGTTATATTTAGGAAGTAGTCTCCTGTGCCCATGCATTCAAGTGTACTTCCCACTTTCTCTTCTGTGAGGTTCAATGTGATTGGTTTTATGTTGAGGTCTTTGATCCGTTTGAACTTGAGATTTGTGCATGGTGATAGATATGGATCTATTTGCATTCTTCTACATATTGATATTCAGTTATGCTGTCGGGTCCAGGGGGGGGTCGCACAAAGATGGGGAAGACCACCGAAGTCTAATAAACCAGAAGCAAACTTTATTCCAGGAATCAGATTCCAGGAAAAAAATAAAACAAAAAATCTCTATGGGGCAGATCCCCTGCAACTGGATCTTCAGACAGCTGTGAGTTTTTGTGTGGGTGCTGGGAATTGAACCAGGGTCCTCTGGAAGAACAGTCAGTGCTCTTAACCACTGAGCCATCTCTCCAGCCCCAACAGTTAATCTTTAAGCTGCTGAACAAGCTGCTGACAGTATGATCTCATTCTCCTAGACTTACGACTTTATATTTCTTTATTTTTACATTCCTATTTCTGGAATCTATGTTTTTTATATTCTTATTCTTGGACCCTTCAATGCCAGCACCATTTGTTGAATATGATTTCTTTTTCCATTTTATAATTTTAACTTCTTTGTCAAAAATCAGGTGTTGATAGACGTGTGGATTGACATCCAGGTCTTTGATTCGATTCCATTGGTCTTTCTGTCTGTTTTTATGACAATACCAGATTCTTTTCAGTATTGTAGCTCTATAGTAGAGTTTGAAGTCAGGGATGGTGATGCTTCCAGAAGTTCCTTTATTGTACAGGATTGTTTTGGCTATCCTGGGTTTTTTGTTTTTCCATATGAAGTTGAGCATTGTTCTTTTGAGGTCTGTGAAGAATTTGCTGGGATTTTGATAGACATTGCATTGAATCTGTAGATTGTTTTTGGTAAGGTTGCCATTTTTACTATGTTAATTCTACCTACCCAAGAGCATGGAGATCTTCCCATTTTTTGGTGTCTTCTTCAATTTCTTTCTTCAGAGTTTTAAAGTTCTTGTCATACAGGTCTTCCACTTGTTTGCTTAGAGTTACTCCAAGATATTTTATGTTATTTGACACACATATTTTTTTTAAATACTGAATTTCATTTAGCCAAAGCTATCTTCAAACTTCCTATGTAGCTAAATATGGCCTTGAACTTCTGATTCTCATCTACAATGTCTGCATAATAGGTGTGCACCACACTGGGTATATGCACTGCTGCAAATCAAACCCCTGTGCTTCTGCTTAGGCAAGCAATCTCCAGCTGAGCTACACCCTCAGCTCCCAATACTGATGCCTTTTTAGACACACAGATAAATACTTTTCACATCTGTGACACTGAACGTTTGAATTTGTCGGAACTGGTAGTAACAGTATGTATAGATTGCGAAGCTCTGGTGAGCAAGAGATGAGTCACCTGCAGAGGACTCAGACTTCGTGACTTCATGTTCCTGAAAGGCAGCCATTGCAGATAACTGCCGAGATACACAGGAAGAAGTGAGAAAATGGCTTCCAGGGCCCTTCGGTTGACGGGTCTCTGGAGCCATTGCCTTACGTCTTCATTTAGTTTTGAGGAGCATGGACAGGACAGTGTGTAGAGTTGGTGATTTTATATAGAGAGAAAATGATTTCATTGCTGAATAGGAGTCATGCCACTGCCTTTCTATAATGTCATCCTAGCTTGTAGAGGGTGATTTTCCCCAGAAAACCCGTTAGAGCCTTTCTAGCACCTTCTCACAGTGGCAGGAGTGTGAATGTGCGTGAGTGCGCACACACATGCATGCAGATTTTGTGGTGAGCATCCCTTTGGTCTGTGTGGCTGCCTCCAGCCACAGGGAGCAGTGATGAGTGCTGGGTGATGAGTGAGAAGTGATTAAGCGCTCCAGGGTGCTTCCTACCCAAATTGGTCCTCAGCAGCTGATTGAGCCTGCTGTGCGGGGACATCTCTCTAGCTGGTCAGTAAGGATGCTCACCTGTAGCCCTGGACACTGCAGCTTGTCTTCCCACCGAGATCACGATTCTAGTTCTGCTTGTTCTGACAGCACTGTACACATCTTTTAAAAATTGAAACAAAGAGTCATCATTTTCTCTTTGTCCTGCTTTTTATATAGTCTTATCCATACAATACAGATTTCTCTGAAAACTTACTATATTTAGGTGTGCCTGGACACACATCTTCATGAAGGTGAAAGAATAGACTTGAACCTGCAGGAAGATGACTGTTACCAAACACACATTTTCCTAGTTTGAAAAGCAAAACTTTTCAAGTGAATGTAGCTGATCTCCTCTAAAAATGTCTTTCATGTGCGTCCAAGAAGTTTGACACGGCACTTTCCAAGCACATGGCGAGCTTATTATAACATAAGCATTCTCAGCAGTGATGAGGGCTGTAGCATGCTTCTCCTGAAGCGAGCTCTCACCTCTCTCTTCTTGTCCCTGCAGGGGAAGATTACAGTATAGCTTCCTCAGATGTTGTCTTGCTGGAAGGGGAAACCAGTAAAGCTGTGCCGATATATATCATCAACGACATCTACCCTGAGCTGGAGGAGGCATTTCTCGTGCAGCTGCTCAATGAGACCACAGGAGGCGCCCGACTGGGGGCTGTAACAGAGGCAGTCATAACTGTGGAGGCTTCTGATGACCCTTGGGGATTGTTTGGTAACCACATTAATTCCTTTAACTCTCTTACTCTGCAAGTCAATGATAATGACCTTTTCTTTATTTAAGATTGATTTGAGCAAGGTTTTTTTGTATTGTGTGTGTGTGTGTGTGTGTGTGTGTGTGTGTGTGTGTGTGAGAGAGAGAGAGAGAGAGAGAGAGAGAGAGGTTATTACTTATACATAAGATTCCTGGCATAGGTTAGTGATTACCTAGGAAATGAAAAGTAATCAATCACCTATTGGCACAGAAACAGTTGTAAAGTGTTTGATTTGTGTCATTCTGGCTCCTAGATGTGTCCTGTAAAGCCTCTTGCTGAGCTTTGGGAGACAATGCCTTGCTACCTGTGATGACTGGGCTCTCTAGGAACTTGAGACTCTCCCTTTGAGTCTCCTGAATGCTGGGATGACAAGCCTGGACTACCATGTCCAGCTTTTACTTTTATATAATGCTTTTAAATAATTAATAAGCAAAATTTGCACTCATAGTTGAATTGTTTAACTTTTTGTATATGTAGGAAAAATGGTGAAATTGAGCCATTTCTCCTCAAAAATAGTCACTACCTTTATAGCTCAGGCTGGCCCTGCAGTAGCTGCTGGGCTCACTGGGTTTATTCAACTCATGCTGGGCAAAACTATGGCCCCTATAGATATCTATGACCTGCTTTTACCACAAAAAAAAGTCACTGGGAAATCTTGGTGCTCTTGTTCACCTTGCATCATGGCATACTGCCAGAGCTGCCTAGGGGGCCAAGGAGAGAATTCCTACTTTCAGTGGTCCCAGCTTGGTTTTTGATTGTCATGGTTTCACTTTGTGCCTAAAAACAACTGTTCTGTCTGCCCTTCAGGTTTTCAGAATACTAAATTTATTGTAGAGGAACCTGAGTTTAACTCAGTGAGGGTAAGCCTGCCAGTAATTCGAAATTCTGGGACACTCGGCAGTGTTACTGTCCAATGGGTTGCCACCATTAATGGACAACTTGCTACTGGCGACCTGCGAGTTGTCTCAGGTAATGTGACCTTTGCCCCTGGGGAAACCATTCAAACCTTGTTGTTAGAGGTCCTGGCTGACGACGTTCCGGAGATGGAAGAGGTGAGAGGACTAACTAGTATAGAATGATGTTGTACATTGTGGCGTGTCTTACAGAGTGGCCAGAGCAGATAACTGTTGTTGAGGACCGAGCCGTGTAGAACGACGTAGTACATTGTGCCTTGTATATAGTGACCACACAGCCAACCGCTGCGAGAATAGCAATGACATGATTTCTGTAGGGAGTTCACAGAGCACCAGTCTAACGGTGCTTCTTACCAAGCTCAGGAGTGCATGGTGTACAGGCCAGCTTGCCAATTTCAGATTGCCTTTGTGTGTGCAATTATGGTGTGTTTTAGGAACTTCCCCTAAGTGATTATGTATATCTATCATAATTATGTGACATTTGTTTCATGTAATCCTGACTTGTATCTCTGCTCCCATCTGCGTGTGAGCCAGTTACAACTAAGTGTAGCTTTTGATTTTCCACACATTGACTCCTCCTGTTCTTCTACTATTACAGCAAGCACGCTAGGTCCATTTCCCTGGTATTTCTCATGATGATCATGCAGTTTGACAGATAAGAATAAGTTTATTGATCAATAACATATTATTATAGATAATCTTATTTTAAGAAATTCAAATATTGTTAAAATCTAGATCTCATATTCCTTTTAATAACAGTTCCATTTAACAGCATATGAAATCTATAATGTTTATTTTTATGGCTAATTATACCATTATTCACTTTAAAATATTAATCATTCATTAATACATTAATATATTTTCTTTTCTTCTTTTGAAACTTATATGGCATCATGTTTTTTAAAAGTTTTATTGATAATTACCATTAAGATATGGTAGGGGAAACCAAGAACAGATTTACTTACCACCGAAAAGGATTTGCAGTATTTTTTCTAAATAAAAAAGGCATAGGTTATAAAAATCATATTGTTACAATAAGCAGGATTTAAAAACTGATTCCCATGACTGTCTAAGTAAATACTAGCTGATTTCAACAGCCTGTGTTTCTTATGTATTCTTGTGCTCTGCTATTGAAGCTTGATTGTGTATTATTTTGTTATATGTGGGCTTCTGAGTATATTTGAGGCAGTATCTTTAGAATCATTTATATTTCATTGTATTTTGTTCTTATGGATGTGTTTGATTTTTTTTTTTTTTTTGCTTTACATAGTTTTACTTCAGAACTGGGATGCTGTTAAGGAAGTTTTCACTCTGTTTTTAGGTTATCCAAGTGCAGCTTACTAATGCCTCTGGTGGAGGAACAGTTGGCTTAGACCGAGTGGCAAATATTGTTATCTCTGCCAACGATAACCCTTATGGTTCAGTAGCCTTTGTGCAGTCAGTTTATCGTGTCCAAGAGCCTCTGGAGAGAAGTTCCTCTGCTAACATAACCGTCAGGAGAAGGTGTGCGCGATGGTTGCTGCGTCTGTAGGAATGTGGGCTGGGGAAGTTGCCTGGAGTAACTAAACAATTTAGACTAATATTTTTTATGTTGTAACATTCCATACATTATTATGTTAGTTGGATTGTGTGTACTGATAACCTTAATCACATATATTAGAAGTACGGTTAATAAAATAGAGATGACTTATACCATTGTGCTTTCGAGCTACCAAAATCTATTGTTTTACTATGTAGCATGTTCTAATTAGAACTTGAATACAGCTAGTTTTTAAACTCAGATGCTGCAGGAAGGGTGGACTTTTAACTTCTGTTTTTCTTTCATTTCTTTTGTAGGGAGCATAATGTCCACTGTCCTCCTTTAGAAATAGAACAAATAGAAATAGGTTGAGGGACCTGTTGCAAAACTGTTGCAATTCTCTAAATATCTTAATTTTGCTGTCATTGTTATTTTTTCAGTGAAATCTAATAAAGTTTTATAATTTTGTCTGGAAATTCTGAAATGGCTACAACTTGCCTACCCTGCAAAATGTTTTTGTTGCATGTCTAAACGTAAGCATTATTGCATGAAAACTAGACAGCCTTGCTGACACTAGAAAATAAAAATTTGAAAGACAAACATAATTTAGAAATGTGGTTGTTTTAGTACTAGTGTTAAAATATTACCGAAGAAGCTTCTCAGAACCATAACCCACGCTGTTCTTCCCTCTGGGTAGCTCAGTGTATAGTGAGTCCTTAACCTGTTTTTCCCTTGTCCTCACATTTCAGCGGAGGACACTTTGGCCACCTGTTGTTGTTCTACAGTACTTCTGATATTGATGTAGTAGCTCTGGCAGTTGAGGAAGGTGAAGATGTATTGTCCTACTATGAATCGCCAACTCATGAGATGCCTGACCCACTCTGGAGAACTTGGGTGAATGTCTCTTCAGTGGAGGAGGCACAGGACACCTGTGCCTCTCTGTGTCTCAAAGAACATGCTTGTTCCGCGTTTTCAGTTGTCAGGACCACTGACGGTCCTCAGTGCTTCTGGATGACGTCGTGGGTCAGCTCAACTGTGAACAGCTCAGACTTCTGGACCTACAAGAAGAACCTGACGAGGGTGGCCTCTCTTTTTAGTGGCCAGGCAGTTGCTGGGAGTGACTACAAGCCTGCGATAAGGCAGGGGGCCCTGATGCTCGAAGGCCATGAGTTTGCAAATCTCACTATTTCCCTCCTTCCCGATGACATTCCAGAGATGGATGAAAGCTTCCTGATTTCTCTTCTGGAAGTTCACCTTGTGAACATCACAGACAGCTTTAAAAATCAGCCAAGCATAGGGCAGCCGAACACTTCTGCAGTGGTCATAGCATTGAATGGCGATGCCTTCGGAGTGTTCGTGATCTACAGCGCTCGTCCTAACACCTCTGAAGATGGCTCATGTGTGGACGTGCAGGAGCAGCCACAAACCTCTGTGGAGCTGGTGATCCAGAGGACAGGAGGCAGCTTGGGGCAGGTGACGGTGGAATGGCGTGTTGTTGGTGGAACAGCTACTGAAGGTTTAGATTTTATAGGGGCTGGAGACATTCTGACTTTTGCAGAAGGTGAGTCATGATATGTATGGATATGCTAATGTTCATAAATATTTTATTTACCTACATATTCCTATTCATATAGAGATGCAGTGTGGTTTTGGAAGCAACAGTGATTCAGCTTACAAATGATTAGCCTGTCAGGCACAGACTAACATGACCTTATATGTGTATGTCTTTAACTGTTTAAAGGAGAAGTTTAGGGAAGATGTGAGTGTTAGCCCTTTACGCGTGATGACCATGCTTTCCTGTGTCAGAAGCAATCACAAGGCAGGTTCTCATTTCATGAGGAAAGTTACAGGAATGAGCTGTTTTCCTACGACCCTTTGGTGTTGAAGAAGCAAGGCTACCTGAGAATAAAGTATTTTCAAATGCACTAGATATAGCAAGATAGAACTTTAGTGAAAAATTTAAGTAAAAATAGTCTGGTTTGACAGTTGTCCTTATTTTAAAGTGATCCTTGTCACAGATTGATTTGCTACTCTGCCCCAGAGTGCCGTGGGGTTTTCATAAGCGATGTATGAGATGCAGCCAGCAGACTTGGATGTAGATCATCTTCAATCTTAGCAATAGTTGATTTATGATATTTAAAATCTGGGAAGTTCCTAGTTAAGCTTGGTAGAGTAGAGGTAATTTTATTCTTGGTACTTTTTTTAAAAAAAAACTTGAGTTGAACAATAAGAAAAACCATAGTTCTCAAGTGTTTTTTTCTTTCCTTTCCTGACTGAAAAAGTTGCACATATTCATAAGAACCTCAGACTATACACTGGGTAAAAGTTTAAATTTTTAGTTATTCCATGTCTCAAAGCAATTCATCATATCTAGCTATATTTTAATGCACACACATTTTTGAAACTAGAAGCTATCTATCTATCTATCTATCTATCTATCATTAGACTTAGAATATCTAATAAACATTGTGCTTGAAAATATAATTGTAAAGTGTCATAAACCTGGTTGTAAATGCACTCAGCCAGGAGAATGTTTGCCTGGTGTTCACGAAGCCCTGGCTGAAATCCCCAGCAGTCCATAAACCTAGAGTGGCAGTATACACCTGCATCCCCAGCACTCCACTGATGGAGTCAGGAGCCGGAGGGCCAGGGTTTACCACCATCTGCAAATGTACTAAGTATTGCTGGGCTCCCGTAGATGACTATCTCAAAACATAAAATAAAATAAAAATTAAATACTAGCAAACATTTCTGTATAAATCATTTCTTATTAATCATTTGGGTTAGAAAGGTATCTGAATCTTTAATGGTGGAAGGAGGTAGGTTGGTAATTGGTGACCTTTTCCCCTGTTTGAAAGTGAATAACAAAAATACAGTAAGATGGGATACAGGTAACAAGTTATTGTTAAATTTTCTCATGGCCTAAATATAAAAGGCCATATCATATAAAGCAGCACCATTATATAAATTATTATTGCATTGAATTATAAGTTTAGCTTTATACAAAGTAGATTTTCTTTTGTGGCTAACTTAGATTGTTAGGTAATATTTAGTCTCAAACCAAGATCCTTGGTTAAATGCCCAGAACCATAAGGAAAAAAAAAACCCAAAAAAAACAGAGATAATGTGCCCTCTTGAGGCAGTCGTCTCGGCCCTGAAGTTCTGAGGAAATGCCCTGGGATCTCTCAGTTTTCATCTTCTTTCCCGAACATGGGAAGGAACTAAGCAGGATCTCACCCGTGAACAGCAGAAGCAGGGCGCATCTTCTGGACGTTTCTCTACTAATTGAAGCCTGTGTCAAACCCTTCACCCTTCCTGGGCTCCCCGTTTTCATTGCATCTCTCCTTTATCCTCCTAACGTGTCCTGGGAGCTAACATGATGCTGCCATCTCAACTCCACCCCAAACTCATCCCACTCTTGCTGGCGTCTTTGCTCAGAGTTTGTTGTTCCTCTGGGTCCCACTTTGACCCCATCCCATATGTGGTGGTGGCCTTTGAGGGAGACATTGTGCTGAATAAAACCCTTCACAGTAATGGCACAATGGGAATGGAGCTACCATTTCCTTAATGGAACCCCTCCTAACCATGACTAGCACCTTTCCCCAGGTAGATCCTTGTTTTTGACAAAGACCTGGATGGAAACTGTGATTCTTTGGAATAGTTCTCCCCATTGACTTTGCTACAGCTGCGTGTCCTCCAGGCTCTGTCCACGTTGAGACTTTTACAGTGCCTTATATGTAAGAAATCAAGTAACGTAGCATATACACTCTCTACTACGGTAGTGGCAATGCTGCTCACAGTACCGGGCTGTTTTTATCAAAACATTCTTACTTACCTCTGAAAATTAAAGGTTAGTTTGGGCCTCTCTGGTTGGTATTTTACTGATTTAACTTTTAATTCCACTAACTTTTTTAATAGGTGAAACCACAAAGACAGCCACTTTGATGATTTTGGATGACCCGGAGCCAGAAGATGACGAGAGCATCCTTGTTCGTCTGGTGCACACTGAAGGCGGAAGTGGAATCCTGCCAAGCGCTGACACTGTGACAGTGAACATCCTGGCCAATGACAATGTGGCGGGGATTGTCAGCTTTCAGATGGCTTCGAGATCCGTCATAGGCCTTGAAGGTGCGTCCCTTTCCTTGTTGAACAAACACATCCTGATTTCCACAGATGTTGTTTTTGTCTTGTGTTTCTTTCTTTCTTCTTTTGTTGAACCATGTGTTTAGTCTGTGCAGACTCCCTTAGAAGAGAGCACCTGGCATACCTTGCTAAGTGTCGGGGCCTCACACACACTGCTGGGAGCCTCAAGGCTGACAGGCCTGGCCTCATCTGCTAAACCACAAAACAGTCCATACTTTAGAGAGTTCTGTGGGAGGAGCAAGTGACCTGTAAACTGGGAAGTCCTTAGCTTTTGGCAAGCATAGCGTGTATATTTTGGTACCTATTAGTATTAAACAGTGAAACATTGAATTTATGTGAAAATATTCATAATTTGTGGATATGCTAGCCTCAACTTTGTAGTTTTCTGTGTTTTATGAATAGAGTCCCATACCAGAAAAACTGATACAGTGTTTATTGTTTTAAACAAAAGATTTTCCCTGAATCTTTAGTATTCCATGTCATAGACAGTCTACTTTTTATTTGATTCAGATATTACAATGATATCTTTTAATAAACCTGTTCTGAAATTAATGAAACATTACAGAATGTACTTTACCACATAGTTTGAATCCTGTATCTGAAAATAATTCTAATTTAAGGACTTAAGAGATGAAAATGACCTGACTCATATGTTTGGCACCCGTCAGAGGGAAGTGCAGAGCTGAGATACAGATTTAGTGACTGACTTGATCGGGCCAAGGAGGAAGGTAGTGGCAGAACTGGGGATCTAAGGCATACGCGTGCACCTGTTGTCTGTCTCTGCTGTAGACTTCCAGCTTGTGAGTCTGCTGAACTTATCTAAACCTGGGAGCCATTTTATGACACTCTTTACATTTATTAATGGCTTAGAATTGCATCTTGTCATTCAAACAATGAATAAAAGTAGCTGATAAATTGTCATAAATCTACTGCAAAGACAAACTGCTATCAAAAGCTCTTTGTAGTGTACGTTAAAACGCCACTCCAGGGATCCTCAGCATGGCGACAAGTTTACAGAGTGTTATCTGTGCCAGATTCACGCCCATTAGTTCCTCACTTTAGCCGCAGTCCTATGGTGCTGAGTGTAGGATATTGCACACCCTGAGAGACAGCGACAGCGTCACCCCCACAGTACCGGAACCCAAGCCCATGCTCCTCAGCAGGGTCTCTCCTCAACAGAGACTCTTTTGCCTAGACTTGTATCTGCTACAGAACCTGACAGTGAGGAAACTGGGAAGAGCTGAAGCCGTCTTAGCTGCAGGACTACTAAATCTGAGCAGTGCTGTCTATCTGAAAGAAGGAAATCTGAAAAAGAATCTTGCCCTATTTGTAATTAGAAGTGGAAGCTGGATTTCCATAGACATCATGCACTGAGAGAACAAGCACATTACCAGCATGGAGCAATGTGGAGCAACAGATTAAGGATTCCTCTTCCTCCTGGAGAGGAAGCCGTTGTGACAGGAGAAGGTGCAAAAGACACCCAGGAGGAAACGACTTCAATAGTGACCCAAATCGTCATTGCTCCTAGGGGCGAGGATACTAATATAATGCTACAGGGGCATAGTGCTAAATGAGCTCCAGTAAACTGTTATACTCATAGGTCAGCGCATCTCTCAGCCCTCATCAGAGAAGCCACTTGTTGGGGAGGAGTGGACAGGAAGATAAGAGCCCGAGGCAGCGAATAACTAAAATAGACATGTCTTCTGAATGCTGCAGGGCAGCTGCACATATGAATTCACAGTGTTATGACAGCACGCACAAGTCCTGCAGAAGTTCACATTGGATGAAATGCCAGCATGAGGTGGGGGGAGGTGGACGTGCAGTCCCGTCCCTGCTGGGAAAGGATGAATCCGTTTTCTCTATGGCTGTGTCCCCTGGTAGGCAGAACTCACTCTAGTGGCCACATACTCAAGCATCTGTAATCATCACTGATTGTAGCAGATGACTTGATTTATATATTTGTTTATTTATTTATTATTTAGAGACAAAGAGACAGAGTCTTGCTATATAGCCCTGGCTGTCCAGGAACTCATTCTGTAGACTAGGCTGGCCTTGAGCTCCTAGGCATAGACACCTAGCATCCACTTATAGTGTTTTTAATGTCATACAAACTTATTCTGTAAGTGCTAAAGTATTGATAGGAGGGATGTGGGTGGAAGGATCTGTTGGTGGCTACCATAGCATCTTAGAGAATCTGCAGACCCAAGAACCTATATCTTTGGGAGCTGAATGAATTTTACCTGAAAACCGTATTGTAGTTGTTTTGGTTCTGAAGGCCATGTGTCTTCAACAAATACAATGATGAGGACATAGTAATTAAACTAACTTAATCAGTAATCAAATGCAGTCAGAAAATTCTTATTCTGAGTATGGTCTCCTAGATTCAAGGGCTCTTAGGTAGGAAGTGACCGCATTGGTGAAAACTGAAGCTTGGTGATCTGTTGCATGGTCAGCCACCAAGTCAGAGCAGATGCTGGAGGGACAAACACGAGCAGAGCATACTCACCGTGAGGTCGATCTCACAGTTGGTGATAGAAGGACAGAAAATGTGGCAAATGTGGAAAAGTCATGCAAACCTACAGAGGACCTGCAATCTTTCCCAGTCTTTGCCTTCTCAGATCACACAGTTGAGTGAGCCTGTGTGAGCCCAGGGAATTGCTATGCTTGCCAAGGAAAACCGGCAAATCCCCTTGAATTTCTATAATCTTATCTTGAAAACAAAAAAAATCAAGACACAGTCTGAAAATCAAAATGGATTTCTCGGGGAGAAAAGTAAACTTGTATTTTGACTGTAGATTTATGTGAGCTGCATTAATTTCCGTGGTTCCCCTCTGTTTTAGGACTGTAAGACCCTTCACAGACTAAAATTTGTCACTGGAGTTGCAGCAGAGAGAGCGGAGTTCCTATGTTTTTATTCAATCACCAAACTTAATGAGAAAAATCTGCATTCCTCCTCGGAATGTCTTTAACTTTATTTTTAAAATGACCTTCAAAATAAACACTCAAAACACACACACACACACACACACATGCACACACACAGACACACACACACACACACAGACACATACACATCCAGCCTTTGCTGGCTGTGTGGACTTCATATCAGATGATTTTTCCAGTGTTGTGTAGCCCCTGGTAGGTGCAATCATGCCTCAGCAAGTTATGGGAGGTGGTTCAGGATCCTGTGAAACATTTGAATTTAGAAGTCGAGCATGCCCTCCTGAGGCTTCCCTCCAGATCATTGCCTTTCTAGGTCCGTTTTTTCCTTTTCCTGCGACTGTTCTTTGAGTGCCACTTTGTGAAGGCCACCTCTGACGTATATGCCTTTTCCAAAAAGGCAATTTCAATGACCTTGGGTCTTGGGAATGTTCCTGAAAAAGGCAGAACCATGTCCTTCATTGTCGCTATAGCTTAGAAAAATTTTCATGCTAGCCTCGTCCTGGCGTGGTTAAAGCTCTGCAGACCTATGAAACGATATGGGGGAAGAAATACCTCTTACTTATGTTAGGTAGTGAATGTCAAGCTTTAGATTGTGTTCCTGCCAATAGATGACTTAAGGTAGATGCTAAAGGAGCAGTGGTAGATGCTGAGTATTTTACATGAGGCAGGTTTGAAGGGATGGCTTTACTGTTTTCCTCCTCTCCTCATTTTATTTTTGCCTTCATCACAGAATGGTGTCTTTATTCTTGTATCTTTGTCTACAGCTAAACAACCTCAGTCTTGTACTAAGAGTGCAGGATCCCCTTCAACATTGATGATATTAGCCTACCCATTCCCTTGTCATTTGTATTCTTTTTGCTTTTTTCGCACTTCATGAAATTACCACTATTTTTGAGGTACTATCAGGTTTTGTGGTTTTGAGAAATTTGCACACCATGACTCTAGAAACCTTATCACTGACACTGCCCATGAAGCATGTTGATAACTGCAGCGTTCTCCCTCTGCCTGCAATGCAGACATGCCCTGAAAGCAGCTCTCAGTGCTGCATACAAGAGGGCTCTAGAAGTTCATGCTTGTGCTTTTCCATGTGGACTATACACATGTAAAACCTTCAGTGATGTTCAGGCAACAGTGGCCGATTGCATGTTTTCAGTTATTCTTAAGTCTTTGAAGTATTCTCTTCATGATCATCAATTCCTATGTGTAAAACAAGAACACAATCAGATACATAGTCTACTCAAGTCATGAATACTAAGTACTTTTGTATTAAAATACTTCAAAAGTATTTAAAAATCTTCCTGCTTTGCCCACAGATAATTCATTTTAATAAAATTTTGTGTTTAGACTTAGCATTAAAATTTTATTTTGTTGGGGCTGGAGAGATGGCTCAGTGGTTAAGAGCACTGGCTGCTCTTCCAAAGGTCCTGAGTTCAATTCCCAGCAACCACATGGTGGCTCACAACCATCTGTAATGAGATCTGGTGCCCTCTTCTGGCCAGCAGGCAGAGTACTGAAAATACTGAATATATAATAAATAAATCTTTATAATAATAAAAAATTTATTTTGTTTTATTCATAATTTTAAGTCTTTACATTAATTGAGCCATGATATTTTAATTTAATATATTTATTTTAAAAATAATGTTTTGAGGTCTTAAGCTGCAGCTCGGCGTGTGTTGGCCTAGCATATATGAGGAAGCTGGGTGGGGTTCTCCAGAAATACCAGAAATGAAACTAAAAGAAAGAAATATGTGCTTACATTGACTGTATTTGGAAGTTTAGAAATGTGGTAGTTTTGAAAAATTATGACATGGTATTCATATTTTATTTCTCCTCTTGTTTGGAAAGTGTCGGAAGATGACCAATGCACACAAAATCTGTGAGATGGCATGTTAGATGAATATTTGGGGATTTCAACTTCATTTCTGTGCTACAAATTGCAAATAAGCATGTGTTCTTAAAACCTTTTAAAAAACACTGATTTGTATTTCATCTTAACTTCCCTGACTTTGTTCATAGTGTACTGTAACTTGTATTTATCATTATTCAGAATTAGCAACTTGAGCATAATCTTAGCAAGCCATGCAGCCATCAGCATAACTCCAAGTCGCCTCCTTTGTCCTTTTGTCAATTTTAAAGAAATGACCCTGAAGATTTTCTTCTGTTTTATAAAATGTTATGATTGATAAAAGCCAAGAAAGACAAGCAGCTATGCAGTTACTAGGGAATGAAAATGTAACCGTGGTGAGGCGACAAAGGGACAGATTCCATCGACACCTTTCTTTGTGTTTCCTTTTACAAAACAAAATCCTTGGTGGTACATGTAAATTGAAACCTAAACAAATGCGATTTTCAGGTATCTGCAGCATTTTCATGCATGCATTGTGTAAAATCACATTGCCTCCTGGTGTAAGGAATTTATGTCCTTGGGGAAACAAACACAGGAAGGAATTCTCGTGTCCTTACTAGCTCTGACCATGCAGATGTTCTGGTGCATGGTTTGGAATGCTTACATATTTCTCATTTTACCAGCTGCTTTTTCAACTTTTGTGATACACCTTGTATTTCCTGAAGTTCTATCCACAGAAAGTATTTGGAAGTATAATCTCTGTGCTAATGAATAATAAGCATATAATGAATAATAGACATGTGTAAAGCACTCAGAAGAATCATCATAACAGAGCAAATAGCTCTGTTACGTTCTTGGGAAAAGGACCCAGAATATTTGCAAGCTGAGTTTGGATTCTATTAAGTTCGATCATTATGTTCATTTCCAGTAAGTGCTTGTTAACCCGTGTCTTTTACTTGCAGGAGAAATGTTGCCATTCCATGTGATCAGAACACCCCCTGGTCGAGGAAATGTCACTGTTGACTGGAAAATTGTTGGACAAAATCTTGAAGTCAGTTTTGCTAACTTCACAGGCCAACTCTTCTTTTCTGAGGTAACACCACGAAGGAAAGTTTTGCCATACATTTTTAGAAGAAAATGCAATATTTTGAGGAAAGCAGAGTAGAAAATGAACACCACTAACCTGTGTTTATCATCACTTTGCCCACTCTGTGCCTACCTTGTTTGTGTTCTCCGTTGAGGCATTTAGCTTTTGTCTTCGTTTCCACTGCTGTGACGTGGAGACAAAGTCCAGTTTCTATCGCCTTGTGTACTGGGTTGAGCATCTCATGACTGGAACCCTGAAAAACTTTTGCTTTCTCATCTTTTTCTATCATCACTCCTGCAAAGATCTCTTCATGTTAATCCTCTCTCAAGTTCATCAATCACTGATAAAGATTTAAATAGATTGACTCGGGTCAATTTCCGGTTAGTGTCTCTATGCTGTAAACCTGCTACTCCACGAGTCAGTGGTTTCTGATTAGTTAATTTCTAAGGCAACGTTTGGTTCAGATAGAGCTGTGTTTGACTGCACAGCATCAGTATAAGGACAATGAAAGCAGGAGCTAGTTTATGTACAGTAACCACACACCCGAGGTTATTTTTCTTTGTTTGCCGTAGGGGACATTGAATAAAACAATATTTGTACATTTGTTGGATGACAATATTCCTGAGGAGAAAGAAGTCTACCATGTTATTCTGTATGATATCAAGACACAAGGTAATTAAGAATTTGGTTTTGAGCTTTTCTTTGGTATTTTCATTTCAGGCCAGAAAGAAATGAGATAGCTTCTGTCACTGTGTTTAACAAGTATGTTTGTGCCAACCTAAAAAAAGTTAGGTTGGAGCCAGCATGGTGCTGTTCATCTGTGATCTCAGTGCTTGGAAGGCTGAGGCAGGAGGATTGTGAGGTTCAGTTCACACTGTAAGTGCAGGTCAGCCAGAACTATAAAGCGACATACTCTCTTTTAGAAAAAGCTACTTTAAATATTATCTATCCCACAGAAATATTTTATTGAAAAAACCTCTAGGATGGCATGGAAACACTTATCTTTTTGTGCTGGAGAAAACTATTCTAAAATTTTTCTATTTAGGGCTGGAAGGTGGCTCAGGGGGCGAAGTATTAGCTGTGTAACTGTGAGGAGCACAGACACCCACAACCATACCTGTAATCCCTAACACTCCTACAGCAGGGTGCGAGATGGAGACAGGAGAATTCGTGGGAGCTCACATGCTAGCTAGTCTGACACATACAATGGCAAATAACAAAAGAATTTGTTCCAAGTAAGTAGAAAAGGAACTGCACCCAGGGTTTTCTACTGATGTCCACATGTGCACTGTCATGCTACACACACACACACACACACACACACACACACACAGGAACCCACCTGCACTCATCCACAAGCAATCAGAGCAATGATGTAAGATGCTGAGCTGCTATGCAGTGGTTAGTCGTCCGACACTGCATCCTGCTATGTAGACCATAGCAGGCCACATAGGCTGGCCACAACTTCATGTTCTCAGAGTTATCTTCCTACCTCAGCCTAAGCCAGGTTTGTTGACATGTTGGATATTTATTTATTGAATAAAATACATTTCTAAAGATGAATATTTCTGAATTTGTTTTTCTGTTAGAAAACCAATTTAGATTTTGTATCAATTGCTGTTTATGGATAATTTAAATTTGGCCATTTTTGAGCAAATTACTTGGGTGAGTTATTTCCCATCTATTACTTTTTATAATTCAGACAACCAGTATAGTCCGTAATGACAATACCATCCACACAGAAGAGTTCACAGTTTGTTGTGTGGAAGGAAATCGGGATGCTTGTTGGTTGTCAGCCTGCTGATTTCTGGGAGGGGCCTGAGGACTGGCTAGGCTCCCCGGGCTCAGCAAATATGTAGCATTTTAATTTGCTACATAGCATTTGATCTCCTGATGGGCTCCTTGGCGTTTAGGAGTCCTGCCTGCGGGAGTCGCTCTGCTTGATGCCCAGGGATATGCAGCAGTCCTGACGGTAGAAGCCAGCGATGAGCCACATGGCGTTTTAAACTTTGCTCTCTCCTCAAGATTCGTTTTGTTACAAGAGGCCAACACAACGATTCAACTCTTCATCAACAGAGAATTTGGATCTCTAGGTTTGTCGGAATGAGTGGTAAATAGGGTGCCAAGGGAAGGGCCTTTAAAGATTTAGTTTTCAAATTCTGTTTTAAATCCATGAGGGAAAATGATGTTCAGGATAGTACTTTGTAACTGCTCTACTTTACCAAAGGATTTATCTGTTTTCATAGAAATGCTGTGTACCAAACAGCCCTCTAGTCTCAGGGCAGATAGCGGACGCCCCGGGCTCTGCCTCCTAGGCTGGGCTCATTCTATGTGGCTGTTCCTCATGTTTTTCACCATCCTTTTGGGATAAATCAAGATAGAATAAAGCAAACAAAAGTGTACAGGCCCCCAGGGTATAGACTTAAAATTCCTACATTACCACTTTCACCCTGTACTATTGTCCAGAACAAGTTACATAGCCAAATGAAAGTCCAGAGGTAGGGGCCTGCATCTTGGCAGCAGTCCGCCCTCCCTGTGCACACATGCGACAGACTGAGGGATTGGGGCCGCTCATGGGACCTAGGTAAAAGGAGAGAGTTCACAATGAGACATGCTTTAAAGATGTGGAAAATCATAAAATCTTTTTACAACAAACTCCCTTAGGAGCTATCAATGTTACATATGCCACTGTTTCTGGAATATTGAGTTTGAAAAATGAGACATATGGAAATCCGGCAGAGCCAGAGACTGACTTTGTCCCTGTGATGGGCTTTGTGGTTTTAGAAGAAGGGGAAACAACAGCAGCCATCAACATTACTATTCTTGAGGTAAACACGTATGTTATTTCTGTGATCTCATATTAGGTCTAAATAGCCACAGGAAAAGTAGAAATGGGTGGAATAGTCTATCTATAGCAAATGTGATTAGAGATTTCTAATAACTTTGTGTTTAGAGGTAGCAATTTTCATGATGATTAAAATTACATAATACCTTTACTTGTCTCTATATTAAATATTATTGTTTTTAATATTTGCAAATTTTCTTGAAAATTTGAGAACTCTACAGTGTTTAGAGATCTTGAGAATCCATTTGGTTGGTCTCCCCTGCTGATGACTTTAAATTAGTTTCTTGCTTTCCCTAATTTTTTCCTTTCAGATCCCCAGGAGTTTCCATTTGTGTTTAGATTGGGTAGCCTGCTGCTATGTATTTTATTATAGAACTATTGGGTGACAGATAATTTCCTTAGGACTCTTTCCTATAAAGTGACTCTGGCCTAAGAGGATCCAAGGGAGCATTTTGAGAAGGCCAAAGAATTCCCTGAACCCACAGATTCATGTAGATCATAATCTTTGTGGGTAAGATTAGCTAAATCAGAGAATGGCAAACTCTCTAGAGGCTGATGGCAGAAGATAAGGTTATGGTCAAACGTAAAGTAATCGGTGGTGATTGAAATTGCACTTTAAATGAGTTTCACACTGTGAAATCTTGTGTTGTTTGGGGATTTAGGTTCAGCTATCTAAATGCACTTCTAAGAGGTTATGGAAAGAATTCTGTAAACAGAAAGGGTAAAGATGGTGTATAGTATGGACGTGAGAATGACTGTATACGTGAAGGGTAAAGATGGTGTATAGTATGGACGTGAGAATGACTGTATACGTGAAGGGTAAAGATGGTGTATAGTATGGACGTGAGAATGGTTGTATACTTGAAGATACATTTCTGTTATTTTGCATTTTCAAGTTTTATTTAAAAGCTTTTATTCTGTCAGAGGCTTTTTATAGTTTTTCAATATCGCTAGTGATATAAGCTATATACCCTATGAGGATAGTTGTCCTGTGGCCCAATGAAACACGAGACAACTAAATCCCACAAAAGGCGCTATCGTGTCAGTGTGTGACAGATAGAGGATCTGACAAAACTGATAACCAGTCCTCATCCGTGCCTGACCTGCTGCTCTGACTAACTGTCTACCTCCAGTGCGCTGTGCACACACCACACACGCACATGCACACACTAGGACTGACTCCCTGGCTATGTGAGCCTTTAAAGCCGAAATGCGTGCCCTCTCCCCACACCTCCAAGTGTAGTTATGTAAGTGCAGATGTTTCCCGACACTGCCTTTTCTGTTTGGTCATTTTCAGCCCCTATTCTCCGAGCAGCCCGACCTGCAGACTTGAAGCACCGTGGGGTGGTTAGGGAGGGTGTTGCTCATGCTCACCCACACACTCGTGTCTAGAGGCCAGTTTTCAGCTTCTTGTTTTCTCACACGGAAACTTGTCTCCAATAAGTTGAAAAACATGTTCGTATTACAAATTTATATTTTAGAGATATCTGTCTGTCCGTCTGTCCATCCGTCCATCCATCCATCCATCCATCCATCCATGTATCCATCCATCCATCCATCAGTACACACACACAGTTTCTGTGTAAACTTTATAAATGTTACTCTGTTAGTCACTTCTGAGATGGGCTTTACTTCTCCTGTGCTTAGTGCAGCTTCTTTGTTTTCATTGTTGACTGTGGGACTATCGATTAATAATAATCACTATTGCTTTCATGCGGGACTATCGATTAATAATAATCACTATTGCTTTCATGCGGGACTATCGATTAATAATAATCACTATTATCACTTTCAAAGGATCCTTGAAGCAGGATATCCTGCATCCACTATTTTGAATTATTACCCACAAACAATACTAGTGTGGTTATTACTTCTCCATGAATACACGGTAGATTTGAGGTCTTGGAACGTAAACAGCTCGTCTCAAATTCCAGAGATTGCCCTCAGATTCCTGCTGCAAAGCTTACATTGCTTCTACAGCATCCATTAGGGAACTGGACACCTCTTGCTTACATTGTATTTAAAATGATTAGGTTCATATAGTTAGGTAGCTGATTTGGTTATAAACCGTGTTTAAAGTATTATAATTTTGAGGTGGTTTCATAGTGCTCAACCTAATAACTTCCATATATAAGTTTAACACTGTTATACTTACACTTTCTAATTTTAATATATTTTTATGTCTGTTTTCTATTGTGTTTTTGCTGTTCATGCATATGCATTTGTAATATAACTTAAAAACATCATGTGAGGAATAATTTCTTTGAAATAATTAAGGCTTTTACTTAATGATTGTAATTTTTGCAGGATGATATACCAGAGCTAAAAGAATATTTCTTGGTGAATTTAACTCACGTTGATCTCATTATGGCTCCTCTAACTTCATTTCCTCCAAGACTAGGTAGGGTGACTCTCTTTTGTGACTTTTCTTGCTAACTTCAAGTGAAATGAAGTGACTGCATTTTACAATCCGGAATATTCCTCATTATGTTTGATAATTTTAGCTATGTGTGACAATAAGATGAACATTTTAGACTAATTACAATTAGAGACATCATCATAATTGTGTAAAGCAGAGTGAAGACAGTTATACTGTGATGCTCTTTGAATTACAACTATGTTATAGCCAAATCTGCAGTTCGCAAAGTAATAGTGCTTCTTTCAAATGTATTTTTATTTCATTTTCTTTTAAAAATATAATTAGCTATTTTCCTAAGCTGTCCACCTTATTTTCTTTTAAGTTTAACACATGTTTTGTGTGTTCTGCTTCTTGCATTTCTGACCTTTGATCTTTTTTCTTTTCATGCTTTTAGAAAACATAATTTATTACAGACTGAAAGGTAAAATTTGAACCTTGGTGTAAGCTTACATAGATTCTTCATAAGATACACCCAGGTCCTGCTGGCAAGTGTGCTGTGTGTGAGGCGGCACTGAGTAGCATCAGGGTCAGCCTGTGCTGTTGCTCCAGCCACGGTCGCAGGTCTACGGGACAAAGTGAGCCCGGATAAGGAGGAACAGCAGAGACCTTGGACAGGTGTAGCGGCCTGAGGACTCCTTTCTAAGGCTTCATATAACAACTTTGAAAGTAGTAGCGAGTTTTCCATATGTCACTGGTTAGTTGTAGATGATTCCAATGACTAAGCTCTTTATGACAAGTGTTAATATAAGATTGCTATCTCACACGCTAGGAGAACAACACAGTGCTTCATCTTTCCATAGCTCCTATTAGTGCAATTTGAATAGAGCTGTTTCTCGTCTGGCCCTGATTCTGACTGTTATGTGGTAGTGCTATCCTTTCTCACATCCCCATTTTACATATGAGACAATGGGAACTACAAGAAACTAGTAACATACTTCGAATTACAACCAGAACATGAAAGAGCTGGCTTTTTTCTTATAATCTACAAGTTTAATTTTAATAATCTGTGATTTAACTCTCCTTTCAAAAATATTTTTTGTTTATTTTTGGAATTGTAATTTTATTTCAACATTTCTTCCTTCTTTTTCTTCCCTCCAGACCCTCCCAAAGCCTCTTGACTGTTCTCCCTCAAATTCATGGCTTCTTTTTTAAATTTATTGTTATAACATTAATAAATATGAATTTGTATATACATATATATTCACAAATAAAACCTGTTGAGTCCATATAATGTTATACACACACACACACACATATATTTTTAATCATTTGCTGTGATGTTAGAATGTCTGACTGTAAGCCAGGAGTCCATTGAGTATAAGTCCTGATTTCATACTGTCTTCTGAACATTATGATTCTCTTCAGTTTAAAGACAGTTGATCTTCTTCCTTATACACCTCAGCAGCTATGATAATTAAGTAAAAGATAGAGAACACACACACACACACACACACACACACTGGGCGAGAATTAATGTTTCGATATAGAAGAGCAGCTATGTGTAGTCCACTGAACTGCATGGACAGAAATGCAGCACAGATACAAGAACTGTATTAATTTTTACTTTATAAAAGCCTTTCTGTAGTAGCCTGTGTTAATGTTTCTCTTTGAGTCACTCATTCACACACGTATTTTCTGTGACCTCCTAACTTTCCCTTTTAAGTTTGTTTTTCTTTTTTCTTCTCTTTTCTACTCTTCTCACTTTCTCCCGTACTAAAATACAAGAGACATAAATACTGTTTCATTTATTCAAAATGAACAACTCTAGCTTGAAATGCCATGTTGTTCTAGTAAAATAGTTATATACTAGTAACTCTTGATATTCCTTTTCTAATGTCACCGGCACTGTTTTTCTATTTTCTTAAACATCTTTTCACTACCTATATACCTATATATGAAAATTTATATAACTTCCTTCTTTAAATTCTGTGCCAGACAGTGTCTGTAACTATAGTTTAAATGGCATTATATTCACTTATATTCATTTAATACATCTCTGTTTAACCAGACTCAGAAGGCTTGACTGCACAGATTGTCATTGATGCCAATGACGGTGCCCAAGGTATAATTGAGTGGCAGCGTAGCAGGTAAACCCAAGGCTGTGTAAGCTCCTTTCTTAATTCTGGATTCTTCCTGATTACCAAACAAAAGTTATGAGAGAAAAATGAATCTGTTCTCTTCATCCCAGATATGAAGTGAATGAAACCCACGGCACTGTAACATTGGTAGCCCAGAGGACCAGAGAGGCCCTTGGCGACGTCTCACTGTTCATGTATGCCCAGAATCTAGAGGCCCAGATGGGGCTGGATTACATGTGCAGTCCGCAGGTAAGGCTCCGCATCATCTGTGACAGTCTTTTATAAGCATTGTCCTTTGAGAATTGTAGTGATGTGGGGCTTCATGAATAAATTAATCTTAACAACTGCTGTGTACGCTGCTCCGTAGTGAGAGCAGACAGAAGATTTCTATACTGTATTGTTCTCTCTGCTGTAATAAGCCATTGAATTAAGCTTTAATTCTATTCTAAATGTCACTCTGAATTCACTCTTCTTTGCAGTATTTAATTCTGAAGACTACTAGGCCACACATTACAAATGTTAATCATGAGACTCTCCCAGAGTGTATCTTATCTGCTGGAAAGCTTTCACTCCACTCTCTCCTTGTTTTGATTTACTAAGACACCTCAAGCTCTTAAAATACATTTAAGATATTTTTCTGTTTATCCCCTTTATTCCGTAACCAAATGTTTGCTTTCTTCTACTTTGTAAATTTGATTTGAAATATTTTCAATTTCAACAAAAAGAGATAGGTAAGACCGTGTGTGTCTGCACACGCGTGTGTGCCAGGAGGATTCCCGAAGAAGGTGTCAGATCAGTGCAGCTACAGTTTCAGGAATTTACAAGCTGCATGCTGAAGGTTCTGAGGATCCAACTTGGGTCCTCTGAAAGAAGAGTAAATGCGTTTAACTGCTAAGCCATCTCTACAGCCCTTAAAATAGTTTATTCTCCACATCAAGGGTTATGTGGTATTGATTTCTAAACATTTTATGAAAACTCAGAGTCAATTTATGTACATGGCCTTTTCTTCTATCTTTTTGACTAGATTCTTCATTTTGCTGATGGAGAAAGGAATAAACATGTGGAGGTTGTGATCCTGGACGATGACATTCCAGAAGGAGATGAAAGATTTCAGTTGATATTAACAAACCCTTCTCCTGGACTAGACCTGGGGAAAAATACAATAGGTAATTAGTCATTTCTTTCCCAGTCTCCTTTTTCTTGTTCTGGCTTCTGCAGTGTGGGGGCAAGAGGGATGAGCCTCTTCCTAGTCTCATAAGGAAAGACCCCCAAGTCCTACATTTAAATGTCCTATCAATGATAACGAGTTGAGCCTGTGCGTTTGTGTATATGAAAGCAAGGTCAGAGTAGGTTGATACTAAGAGTCGTATTAAATGATTTTCTAGTTACTGTAGTTTTACTTAATGTGTAGTCTTTTCCTCAGGACTGGAGTTCAGCTCTGGTTGTTTTTAGCAGAGAAAAGAACAATGACGACTGTTCTTCCAGTGTTGCTTCAGTGCTATGGGACTTATATACAGCGTAAGAGGTGCTGAAGTCTCCTTCATGTCATGAGAGACATTCAGATTCTCGAGTTGGAATGGTTTGGTATTTTCACTGTGGGTTAGACACTGTGATAACTGCTCAACAAGGGCAAAACAGTAGCGGCAGAGAAAACCTCATGGATCTACGGAATTTTGTTCAAGAAAACCTATTTATTTGTGTACTTATAATTTTTTATTCTTTGAGAATTTCATATGCATTTACAATGAATTATGCTTGTATCCACTCACGTTTCCTCTCTCCACTTCCCCTTGGATCCCTCTCTTCCAACATGTTCTGTAGATGGAGGGCACCGAGCTGCAGGCATGGTCTCAAATACATTCCTCCCAACCCTGAATGGGCACACAAGCACCCAGACCTGAAGTATGTGGTGTGAGCATCAGCCCCAAACATTCGTTGGGCAACATTCTGTAGACCAAGGGTGTTGTTTGTTTGTTTCCCGGATGCTTAGAATCAAAATAATCACACAGAAGGTGTATTAATTACAACATAGCTTGGCCATTTAGCTCATGCATATTTCTAACTAACTTTTACATCATGAGTTAACCCATTTCTATTGATCTATGTATCACCACAATGCTCATGTTTTACAAATAAGGTTCTCTGGTGTCTCTCTCCTTTGGTTATTACATTATGTCTCCTTGACCTTGCTTTCTTTCTCCCAGCATTCAGTTTAGTTTTCCCACCTGTCTATTCTGCCCTGCTGTAGGCTAAAGCAGTTTTATTCATTAACCAATTAAAGCAACAAACATACAGAAGAACTTCCCATACCAATGTCTGCCTCCCAACTTCCTATTATCACCTTCATTTTATTCCTCCTTCTTGTAGTCATCATATATTCTTCTTCCTCTTCCTCCACATCTTCATCCTTCTGTTCTTCTTTTTGACATTCTACCAAGTCCATTAGTGCTATCAATATGTACATGGGTCTAGGGCTATCTCCCAGACATGGGAAACCTACTAGTGGCAAAAGCCACAGAGGATACTGATTTTTTTCCTTAATACCTTGTGATTGCCAATAGTTCCTCAGTAAAGTGTGGACTCTTTAGCTTCCATGACAGAATTTTGTCTGGCTTTATTTTGAGCGAGTCTTGTGCAGGTAACCCTAGCTTCTGTAAGTCAATAGGTGCAGCAGCCTTGGCATTTTCTGAAGACAACATTTCACAGTACTTCTCCCCTTGGTTCTTACATTATTTCTGCCCCTCATCTATGATGCTCCCTGAGCAGATGGGGAGGGGTTGGAGCTTTGATCAAGAGGTCACATTTAGGGTTGAGCAATCACAGCCCTGGAGGAACTTTTAAAAAGTTTCTTTTAGATGAGAAGGTAGCTCATTTGGTGCTGTGTTTGCCTAGCATGCACAAGCCCCATGTGTGATTCCCCAATACCACATATACTGTGTGTTCTGGTACAGGCCTGTAATCCTGATACTCAGAGGGTAGAGGCAGGAAGATTATGAGTTCAAGGACATCCTTAGCTTACATGTGAAATGCAAGCCCAGCCAGAGGTTCCTGAGACTTTGTTTTTGAAAAAGAGCTAGTATAAGTAGATGGGGCTGAAGCTCTGTGGAGGAACACACATAGCATTTGAGAGTATTGGTACCCATGGTCAGGGTTTGCATTGGATTGTTCCAGGGTCCTGACCTCTTATTCAAGAATTAAATAGTAGTCACACACATTGCAAAGTAGCAAGGAAGGGCCATTCAAAAGCAAAGGCATAAAACAGATCAGAATTTAGTGTTAAGACTGACATCAGGTCATGTGCATGAGGGTATCATGGTCTGTTGGGGCATCTGTGAATGGGGATTAGGAGAAGGGAGAGTTTTGTTCCTAAGGGGCATAGTAAGAATAGCTTTCTTTTACTAACAGATTAAGTCATACAGTCAGTTTGCTACTGCACATATCCCTTCTTGTATCTGGTTTCTCTCATTCATGCACATTTACACACAGGCATATGATAATAAGTAGGGGGTCTCTCTAGAAGTTCACTTCAGGACATAACTTACAGTACATGCCCCAAGATCAGTTTAATCTAGACTATCACTTTGCCCTTAGTTCAGACTGTATTCCATGGTGTGTTTGAATAGAAACAGGATATTGTGGACAGATTGCTAAGGACTATAACTTATTTTCATTGTATAAAACGGGTATATCTGCTGATGATTCAGGATGGGTTCCTAAGGTGCAAACAGATTGCTAGGTACATTGCTCAAAGTTGGGTGTTTCAGGTTGCTAGGCCATTCCTTAATCTTGCCTTGGGCCTTAAGTTTACTCCTTAGTGTCCTCCCCAGAAAGGTCACCTCAGCTCCTTCTGATGACACATAACTCAATGTGCTTGAAAAACCAAGTGGACACAGAATCTCTAACCTGTTTTAGTCAATGGTAACTTTTATGTTCATAAATTACTAATCTTGATATAAACATTTTATTTATAGAAAAAATCTGAATTTCTGTATCCAAGACATAATTTTAAATTCATTGCTACATTTATAGATGATTATTTCTAGGTCCCCAGAAACCATTTTTAAGAATGTGGCTCTTGTTCCACATTAAGAAAGCACAAGTTTAGGATGAAATGATTTTCTTCTAGAGAAGAACAAATAGAAAGGATTGTAGGCATAGACACCATGTCTTTGCTAAGAATTATTTGCGTGTATTCATTGGAAACTTAATTAGGATGGATTTAAACCAAAAAAAATCCATAGGTTTACTTAACTACAGGGATCAGAGCCATATGGCTTTAGGTGAGGTTGGTTCTAATTATAGCTCCCAGGCCTCTGCCTTTCTTACTTTTTCCTTGCTGTTGGAATATTGGCCTCACCCTAAGTCCTCTTTAGCTATTGTTGTAAGAGGCTGTTCAGCATCACTCTTCAAAGGCATATACATAACAAGAAAGAACATGCTCGGGCTCTAGAGTTCCGTAAAGAGCTCGACAGAACTCTGGCTAGAATTATAGAGGTGCTTTCCTACTTTGCTCTCTGTCACAGTGGTAACCATGACCACAAGCAAGTTGGGAAGCAAAGGGCTTACTGCAGCTTGCTATTGTAGTCCGTTATGAGGGAAAGTCAGGGCAAGAACTCAAAACAGAAACCTGGCGCCAATAACTGAAGCAGAGGCCATGAGGAATGCTGTATACTGCTTTCTCCTCCTGGATCGCTTAGCTGGCTTTCTTGTTCAACTCATCCATCTGCTCATGGGTGGGTATTGCCCATAGTGCTCTGAGCTCTCTCATGTCCATCATTAACTCAGAAAATGCCCCACAGGCTTTCCTATGGACCAAGTTGATGGAGGCACTCTCTCAGTTGAAAATCCTTCTTTCCAGATGACACTGGCTTGTGTCAGATAACAAAAATTTGACCAGAATAGGTTCCATGTCTCCTATCATGAGTGGAAGAAAGGAACATTGCTAAACACTGTTTGTTGGAGGAGGCCATTTGTTTCATTCCCTTCCTTTTAGTCCAGAAATAACCACACAGAAACTGTATTATTAAATCACTGCTTGGCTCATTTGCTCTAGCTTCTTATTGACTAAATCTTACATCTTAATTTAACCCATTTCCATTAATCTGTGCATCACCACAAGATTGTGGCCTACCAGCAAAGTTTCAGTCCCTGGCAGTGGCTCCATGACTTTTCCCTGACTCTGCTTCCTTTCTCACAGCATTCAGTTTAGTTTTCCCTGTCTATCTCTGTTCACTTACAGCTCTGCTGTAGACCCAAAGCAGTTCCTTTATTAACTAATGATATTCACAGCATACAGAAAGGAATCCCAAATCAACTGTTAAGCTTACTTTCGGCTTTAAATTACAATTTTTAAATATTAAATTTACTCTGAATTCTAAGTCTTTTGATAATGGGTAATTTCTTAAGCCAAGCCAACTTCATTGACCTTTAAAGCATTTCTAATCTTTCATAAAATATTAATCAATTTTTGTATATAAATATTTTTGTGCTGTTTGTGCTAAAAACTGAACTCAGGTCCCTCATACATGATAGACAAGTGATTTACTACCTAGCTATATCTCCAGGCCCCTTTTAACTTTATTTTTAAATTGGTCTCACTAAGTTGCCACACTGACTTTGAACCCATTTTGTATCTCTGGTGTGGGAGAATTGTCTGTATTCTGTCAATCATGTTTTAAATAAATGCTGATTGGCCAGTCAGGAAGTATAGGTGGGTAAACCAGACAGGAAAGAGAAATGATGCAATGAGAACAGGAGAATTCTGGGAAGGAGGAAGCTGATTCCTCCCACTCCTGCCCAGATCACCGAAGCAGCAGGATGTGATCTGCCAGCTAAAAAAGGTACTGAGCCATATGGCTAACATAGATCAGAAAAATGGGTTAATCAAGATGTGAGAGTTAGCTAATAAGTAGCCTGACCTAATGGGCCTATCAGCTTTCTAACTTATAGAGATCACTGTGTGATTTTCTCTGGGACTTGCTGGCTATGGGGTACCGGGTGGGACAGAAACCCCAACAGCCAGCCCCTCATGTTACATAGCTCAGACTTGCTTTGAACTTAAAATCCGCCTGTTTTAGCACCTTGCATATCTAGGAATACAGGCCTCAACCACCAGACCAACTATAAATGTTTGCACTTGCAGACAATCTCCATTCTACATTGAGCT